AAAATGTTAATGAGTATGTTTTTAGCTGGTAGTTAATCTTTCTAGAACCCTAACTGGAAGTTACCCCAGAAGGAATTTTTGTGAAAGTGGGTGTGAACATAGGCATGAGTGTGGTTTTAGATGTGTTAGGAACACAGGAATTACCGCAGGTCCCAGTTAGTCTAGGAAAATAGAAATTCCTTAGTGGATGGTTAAAGACCTGCCCATAAGGGAAGTTTCTTCCTAATCCTCATCAGTTAGTGATTGGCTCAAGCTTTGAACAAAAAGGGTGTATCGTCTCTTAACTGTTGTAACTGCAACCCTTGTCAACTAAGATTATGCATGTGTACAAATTTAACAGGATAAACTAACAACTCTCTCCACTCACCGCTAGAACATATTCACAAACCCCAGTGTAGAAATATTTGATTTAACTTTCCATAAAAATGTATAGTACTGAATTTGTATAGTGAACAGTTTCATAGATTCATAGACCTGTATAACACAGGCCATAGAAGTTCTCCCAGTAATTCCAGCATCAAACTTATAATTTCTGGTTGAGCTAGAGCAGCATCTCCAAACTGTGGGTTGTGACCCCCCCAGGGGTTGCAAAAGGGCACCAGGGGCTTGTGAGACATGCGTGATGCACAGTGATAGGTGGCTGTGTGCACCACCCCTGCCAGCCACTGCTGCCTTGACATGCTGCGCAGTGAGAGGCATGTGAGTCATCAGCATGCTCATTCTTACTCCTGAGGGAATTCTGCACCAAAAAATTAAATATTCTGCACACAGTATTTTAAAATGCTGCAAATTTTATTTGTCAAAATAACACAATATAATCACACCATTTTCAATTATTTCGGTAATTTATTTCAAAATACTTATCAGCAAATAATTGAAAATGGTGTGATTATATTGTTGTTGTGTTTCTGTGTTATTTTGACCATTAAAATATGCAGAACTTTGCAGAATTTTAAATGTTTTAATTTTTCGCTGCAGAATTCCCAGGGTTCTGTGTGGCGCAATCTGGGTGTGGGGGGGTCTGGGTGCAGGACAGGAATCTGGGTGCACAGGGGCTTGGTGCGGGGTTCTGGGTAAAGAGGGAATTGGACTCTGCAGGGGGGGGTGAGATGATAGTGGTTAGGGCTCAGTGTTGGGGTGAAGTGGGGCTTGGTGGTGTGGAGGGTCATGGTACAGCTGGTTGGGACTCAGTGGTGTGGGGGGCTCCTGATTCGGAGGGAGCTTGGTGGGGGGAGTGTTCCAGGTGCACAGGTTGGAGGGTCACTGTACAGGGAGCTGCTCCCCCTGTCCTCACAACTCCTGTGCATCTGAACCCCCCTGCACCAACACCCCCCTCCCACTGAGCTCAGCCCTGCCCCCCTCGCACCTGGGAACCACCCTGCTTCCCCCCCAACACCCCCCCCCCACACACACACACACGGTGCAGAGTTTTCCTGCAGCCAGGGGATGTTTCTGGAGCTTGATCTGACCCAGCCACAGCTGTTCCATGCAGGGAAGAGGGAGGGGGAACTCCATCTCTGTCCTCCTCCCCTCTCCCCTCCCCTCCGAAGCTGGGACCGACATCCCTGGGTGGCCAGGGCATCCCCAGCCCCCTCTCCCTCCCAGTGATTTACCTCTTCCCCTGGCTGCCTGAAGAGGTGCATCTGAGCTGCGGGGAGGGGTGAGTGAGCGCTGGTGCAACTTCTCTTTGCTTCCCCACAGAAATCATTTTCTGCAAGGAAATAAAGCGATTCGGGGGGGGGGCGTTTTTCTGCTGCACCACGGTTGCACACAGTTTCCCCAGGAGCATCATTCTGCAGCATAATGAGGTGGTGGCGGCTGGTAGGAATGGGACTTGCAGTCACCATGTTGACCCCCATGGGCAGGAGGTGGGGGAGCTAACCTGATCCTGAGGGGGTTGATTTGTCTTGAGACCTGAGCCAAACAAGATGCTTGTAGTTGGATCCCATCAGGCTTTGGGTTTGGTTTCAGGGCTCTATTTCAGGCCCCTGGGTGTCTTGTGAACACAGATGAGCCCAATGTGGGTTGCAGCATGAAAAAGTTTGGGAACCACTGAGCTACAGCATCTCTTTGAGAAAGACTGCCCAATTTAATGTATCAATATATCTTCCTTTTGCTAATCCTGTCCTGGGAAATATTCAGTGTTCAGTCTTGTGGCTGATGTGCAGTTTACTTGTCTCAAGGAAGCACAATTGTAGGGTCTTAATGATCAGAGAATAATGAATCTTGCTGCATAGCATTCTGTCATTAGGTTGCTCCTCTAAGTTGTGTAATTACAGTGGTAACTTTACACATGACTGATCTCACCATGAAGTAAAACTGAGCATGGGAAGAGTCCGTCTAATCTGTGGATGTGGAGTTAACGAGTACGTTTTTGCTATGTAAGTGGCGAAGTTACTTTTTCTTGTAGCTGCTTTGTCGTTACATCTCTCTACTAGTTCCTGAGGAGGAAGGGTTTTTTTTTTTTTAAGTCTGTCATGGAAAATATTGAATAAGTTATCTGGATATGTTGCTTTGGGAGGATGAGAATGAAACTTGGGCAAGAAAATGGGCAGATCCTTATTGTGAAATGTATGTCATGGGATCTTTAATGTAATTACAGACCAGAAAAAAATCTTGTGTGAAAAGGCATTTGGGATCTCCATCCTCCCAACACAAACATGCACATACTGTGGTACTTCGTTTATTTACCTCGAAATGACTAAAATGACCTTACTGGGTAGCAAACCAGTATTTCAAACATGAGGTTTAACCCATTAAGGCATTCTCTCCAACTAAGCATTAAAATGGTTTAAATTTAAATTTCTTTTCTTAAATAGGGAAGAAGGCTAATCTGTGAGCATGTAATATTTCATTCAACTTTTTTCCCTCTGTGTTTGAAGTGGCTGTAAAACTGTCTCAAGTCTTATGAGGTAAAGATAGTGTTATTACTACCATGTGATGGACCTGGGCATGTCGATGTAGGTACTCCAAAGGAAGCCAAGGGTTGGCTTGTTCTTTCTGAACTTGGCTGAGATGGTTGCTGAATTTCCTTCCTGTATCTTCAGGGGGGAACTTCTCTCTGGCTTGTGGTTCCAAAGACTTGGAGGGCAGGAGGCATCTGGGAGAGGAATGTGGCCTACTTTGAGTGGCGCCAAGGTGAACATTTTAATGGCAAGATAACTTATTTTCTGTCTTGGTTTATCCACCTCAGCCCTGAAATCAGTTCTTACCATGTGTTGTTTAAAGTCTAATGTCATGGAAAAATGCTCCTTCCATTGGTTAGAGCTCTTTGGTTTTCTCACCAGCTGGAGTGGAATAATTAGCATCTATTTGCTATAATTGTGCTACTGTGTATTTTAAAAAAGCCAACAGCCAGGGCCTGGTAACTTCCAGGGCAGGTATCAGTGCTCATCTATTTTCCCAGGCTTTTCTGGGGAGAGGGAAAGTTTGAATAAGATTTTTAAGGAGAAGGAAGAGAAGAAACATACATTGGTGGATTTGGAAGGTCTTTCTATGACCCTTCTAGCCTGTTGAATTTATAGTGGTTGTATGGTACCTGGATCCCTGGATAGGCACTTCTGCAAAGGTTAATAAGCATCACAGTTTCAGCCTTCTAATGATTTGTGTTAGCTTTTTCTGATCTGATATTTAGAATGATTATTCTAACACTGAATTCGTTTGGGCCCACAGTTTGACCTGTTTAAACTCCTGCAGCTGACAATTTCTTCTGTTTCAAATATCTTGAGAAACACATGTAACTCTTGGAAAAAATTAGTCATTCCCCTCTGCTGGCTGAAGAGAAGCAGTTAAGTTAAAAAGCCTGTGCATAGAAATGTGTGGACAGTGTCACTGAAACTGGTATACAAAGGACTGTTCTTATTTTAGTTTCACTACAAATGTGTGGTGAGAGATAATTTCCATTTTCAAACTTCTAGGTGGATATTACAAATAATGAGATTAAGTTATTTGTTGTTTTACTGAAAATAGGTGTCTGAGGCTTGTTTGCAAAGTAGCTTTTCATCTTTGGAACCCTATCTGGCTATTAGACGAAGGTTCCTAACCATCAGAGGAGTGAAGTTCTGGAACAGCCTTCCAAGGGAAGCAGTGGGGGGCAAAAGGCATATCTGGCTTCAAGACGAAGCTTGATAAGTTTATGGAGGAGATGGTATGATGGGATAGCCTAATTTTGGCAATTAATTGATCTTCGATTATTAGCGGTAGATGTGCACAATGGCCTGTGATGGGATGTTGGATGGGGTGGGATCGGAGTTACTACAGAGAATTCTTTCTTGGGTGTCTGGGTGGTGAGTCTTGCCCACATGCTCAGGGTTTAGCTGATCGCCATATTTGGCGTCAGGAAGGAATTTTCCTGCAGGGCAGATTGGCGGAGGCCATGGGGGTTTTTCTCCTTCCTCTGCAGCGTGGGGCACGGGTAACTAGCTGGAGGATTCTATGCACCTTGAAGTCTTTAAACCACGATTTGAGGACTTCAGTAGCTCAGACATAAGTTAGGGGTTTGGTACATGAGTTGGTGGGTGAGATTCTGTGGCTTGCATTGTGCAGGAGGTCAGACTAGATGATCACAGTGGTCCCTTCTGACCTTAAAATCTATGATTTTGTGATTATACATTATTGATCACCCTGATTATCTGTGTGCATGAGTTCTGAATTTTATTACATTTTTGAATGTAAATTAAATTGGGCAAACCCATACAAATCGCTAGTAGATTATTGTTAATATTAGAAAACTACCACATAATTTGGCGCACTTTAGTCTTGATTTTTCCATGCAGAGAACAGAAGGGTCAGGGTGTTACACAGCTGGTGAAGAGTCGGATGCATTGGGGGTACACTGTGTGCAGGGTAATGTTGACTGTATAAGAGGGTATCTAGTGAAACTGGAGGTATGAAAGTTGTTTATATTCTTGGTAGCTCTGTTTCTCCTTAACTGTTTTAGTTGTTTAATTCTTTTCCTTTGATTTACACTAATTACTTATTTTTTCTCCCTTTCCTTTTAGGCCCTATGAGAGAAAGGGAAAGCTAAGGATGCTGGAGCAGAACAATGGATTTCTCTTTCTCTTTCATGCAAGGGATCATGGGAAACACAATTCAGCAACCACCTCAGCTCATTGACTCAGCCAACATCCGCCAGGAGGATGCCTTTGATGCCAGCAGTGACATCGCTGAAGATGGTGGTCAGACACCATATGAAACTGCCCTGCAACAAGGCTTTCAGTACCCTACTCCAACGACAGAGGATCTTCCACCGATCACTAATGGCTATCCACCTACAATCAATATGTATGAACCTCAAGCCAAATACCAGACATACAGTCAGTATCCCAATGGTTCAGCTAATGGCTTTGGTGCAGTTAGAAACTTTAGTCCCCCAGAGTATTACCAAATGGAAAACTCTAACGTGAGGCCGCATGAAGTTCTGGAAAAACCTTCCCTTCCACAACCCCCACCGCCACCACCTCCTTCAGTACCACAAACGGTGATTCCAAAGAAGACTGGTTCACCAGAAATCAAATTAAAGATAACCAAAACTATCCAGAATGGCAGGGAGTTGTTTGAGTCCTCTCTGTGTGGGGACCTTTTGAATGAAGTACAGGCAAGTGAGTATGCTAAGATGAAACATGAAGGGAGAAAGGAGAAAAGGAAAAAAAGTAGCAAGCATGACTCTTCCCGATCAGAAGAACGCAAGTCACACAAAATTCCAAAACTAGAACCAGAGGAACAAAATGTAAGTGGAATAACAGTTTCATGTTTTTGTGATTTATTAATAGGGAATTCCTTTTTTGCAGCTTTATATTTCTTATTAGTTGTTTATGTACTTAATAGGCATTGTGAGGCTGTAGTTCACTGTCTGACACAGTATGCAATGATCAGAATTGTTTAGCAATTGTCTATTATGGCTCAGATGCAAAGCTTATGTATCAGAGAGGAACAGTGGAAAGAATTATGAGTGGTAGTAGTTAGATTGCAGTAGTGCTCAGAATTGGGTGCTTTCCAAACGTAGAGGAGGACACAGTCCCTGCCCATAAAAGTATATTATCAAAAGATTCTTGAATTCTCTTTTTTCAAAATGTGATTTACTGGGGTTTTATGGCATTTGAAGTATTCATTGTTAGTGCTCATAGAAACTTAGCGAAATTTTACTTATTTCTAAGAGGCACCTAAAAACATGTTATAACTATCTAAGTATACTGCTTTCTATACAACACTTAAACCACATGCTTTAACTGACAGTTGCTATTGAAATCAATTTTAATAACTATGGTGGATTGTATGATACTAAATAACGAAGAGGTGGCTGTATCTTGTGTACATACCAGCAAAAATTAGTGTACTAGTGTTGCATGCAAATTAGAAATGTCAGTTGACTCAGTCAGCCCACACTGATTGAGAGACTTCTGTATCAGTGTCCATAATGATTTTTGCTAGGTGCAGGGGATGCCAAAATTTCATTTTGCAATATGTATGTGTACACTGCGCAGAAATAATAGTATTGTAAGTTAACCCTTAGTACACTGAGGATAAGTGTACTGGTTTTCAGTACCTGCAGCCTTTCTCTGCCTCCACGCTCAATAAAATGAGCTTCCCCATGGACACTTGGACTTCTGCCCCCACCTTAAGAGCACACACTGTGCATGACAACATGACCACTTTCCAGCTAATTGCTCCTGCCAGCCATGTGCTGCTGTTATCCTTTTCGTATTTTTTCCTGGTTTGAGAGGGACTGTCAAAAGAGAGGTGAGACATGTCGGGAATATGGGAATTGTCAAACTGCAGGGTGGTTGGTGGTGTGTTTTGTTTTTGTTTGGTTTTTTTTTGCACCTTCCTATGAAGCATCTGGTACTGGCAGCTGTTGAAGACAGGATACTATGCTATATGGTCAATGCTCTGGTCTAGTTTGGCAATTTCCATGTCCTTGACATGTTCCCACCTCTTTCCATCATCGTAAGCAGGCTGGTTTGGCCCCATCATATCACGTTCATTTCTGTGTTTTATAATAGTTTTATATAGCTGCGGGTTGCCTAGGATGAGGACTTCTGAAGAACTGGAGTCAGAGGCAGTCAGGGCCCCAAGCAAGCGTCTCACCTAACTGTAAAAAGAAAAGGAGTACTTCTGGCACTTTAGAGACTAACCAATTTATTTGAGCATGAGCTTTCGTGAGCTACAGCTCACTTCATCAGATGCAAAAAAGCTCATGCTCAAATAAATTGGTTAGTCTCTAAAGTGCCACAAGTACTCCTTTTCTTTTTGCGAATACAGACTAACACGGCTGTTCCTCTGAAACCTGTCACCTAACTGTGCCTCTCAGCAGCCAGAAAACCTTCCTTTTCAATACCATTCCCCACAAGACTCCAGTCCTCAAGTAACTCCTGTATCTAGTCTAAAGGGCATTGTTTTAACGCTTTTGGTTGTGTTTCAGTATTGCATTTGGCAGTGACTATTTCCGTTCTACAGCAGAAAAGATGGCTTCAGACACTTGAATGTGGGCTTTTCCCAAATACAGATCTCCCATGCAGTGGTTCATAGGCTTAACCATCAATCCACAGCCTTGAGTGTTACCTTTATGTTTGCACTTTTAGCAAATGAGAACTGCAATAGGTCCATTTTGACTTAAATTTAAAGCCTTATGCATGTTAAATTTTTTTTAGCTGCCGATGTAAACTATATTGCATGCTGCTGTGCCTCAGTTTCCCTTCTTAGAGCAAATGGTGCATAACTTTGTTTCCAATTAAATCAAACCTTCTTTAATCTGGTTTGTTAATATAATTCAGCGAAGTATTCACCCTTGTATCTGGGCTTCTTTTCTTGCCCTTTCCATAGCATTGACAGTCACCTTTGCATCAGGCCTTAGTCAGTGTTGTATCATAGCTTTGCCATGCTTCCATAGCAGGGCCTCTCTTCTGTCCCAGTTCTCTCTGTGTTGGGATCTTTGTTGATCCAGACCTGCTGCCTGGCAACCATGAAGAGCATCTTCCCAGGTGTCCCCAGACTGAGCCAAAATCTTTGCCTTATGTAATCCCACAGACAGTCATAGTTCCCAGTCACTTGATCCTCCTTCGGTTATGTGCTCTGTCTGGCAGCTAAAATTCTCAAAACTCTTGGAGTCTGGTTTTAAAGGTGCTATATCCCTATTATGGGTATATGGGGTTGCACCTGCACTCAAAGGATTATTGACCTGCAAGAGATGGTAATTAGTGTAGTATAGCACTTTGTCTACGAGGAACTGGAATTATTTTAAATTTGCCCCCTTTCTATCTTATGCTTGCCTTTCAAGGGACGCTGTCAAGCTAAAGTTTTTTAAAAGTTAATACCCGTGTTTCAAATAATAGCTCTGAATACTGAAAATTTAAATTAATTTTTAAAAGTTTACATTTTGCTTTTTATTCAATATGGGCAGTGAAACAAGAGTGATTTGTAGTCATTTACTTCCTGCTTCTAATGTAGAAATCCAGTGCCACCCAAACTCTTCCGGGGAATGTTTATATTTAAAATAAAATGAATATGGAATTAAAACTTTATCAAAATTAAAACACTGAACTTTATGCTTTGAATTTTTGTTTGTCAAACAACTGGTTAGAACTTGCTTCTAGGAAACTAAGTGAGAAGTATGCAATCTTTTGTTTGGACTATCTTTTGTGTGATTAGCTCAATTGTTTTGGCAGAAATAAAGTTTGTCAGCTCATTGTAGGTAGAAACATAGGCAGAAGATGTGGGTATATTTGCCATTAACAGGTTGGTGTAGCACGGAAGAATTTGTAAAGTATGGGTATTTATTTGGTTGAGGTTAGACAACCTGTAGAGAACAACTCTTGTGTGCCACTTTAAAACAAAGTACTAACATTTCTATGTATCTAAAGTAACACATGTTGAGAGCTCTAATTGGCGTGTACTAGACAGTGTGTTTTAAGTGAAAGTTTTTTAGACGTTTCAGTGTGAAGCATGCATTTATGATTATCATGGGGCTAATGTGTAATTTCGTGGGAACAGATCTTCATTTTAAGTGGACTAATTATAATCTAGCTGAATGCTATATTAGAGTTTCCGACTGAATGCTTTGTCACGCACACCCTTCCCACGAACGTCCACTGCTTTTCCCTTTGAGTGTCTCCATTGACTACCGCTTTTCCACCATATTAAACACAAGCTTTTGGTCCTTACACTTAAGGCCCTTCACAACCTAGCTATCTACTTACCAGCTATTATATCATGTGCCTTATTATATCTACTCCTCTGGCAATGCTAGTTCCTATTGAACTTTTATCTCCTTTTCCCACAAGCACATAATACTCTCCTCCATCCGATTCCTTAAGCATGGAATGCCTGCCCTCCTTATATTAACCTGTAAAGCCACTACCCTTTTCTCTTTCAGATCCTTCCTACAAACCTGTCTGACATAATGTCTAAAGTGAACTGCTAACTAATGTTGTTCATGTTTCTTGCGGTTTTTTTAAACCAATAAATAGCTCTAACACTGCTGTCTATTTATATAACCAATTTACAGTGTGTAACTGTGTGCTGCTCTGTTTCCTTTCCTCCCTTCCCTATTCCCTCGGAGTTGTATCTCAGTTTAGATTGTAGGCTCTGTGGGACAGTGACTTCTTTATTGTAAATTGTACAGCACCTAGCACGAAACCCTGGTCTGATTGGGTGCTACTATAATGAAAATATATTAAGTAGTGTGGGGGAGATGAGTATTTTAAAACTGACCGTAGATCAGTCATAAGGAGTTGATCATGTTTTCTGATTTTATGGTGGTGTTTTCTTCTCTCTGCTAATTTATTTTTCTCCTGCTCCTATTCTCTTTGATGTGTTCTTCTGTTCTACCATCCCCTTATCCTGTTTACTTTTATTTTCCTGTTTTCTCCTTATTGTTACCCTTTTCTTAGAGACCAAATGAGAGGCTTAGTGTGCTATCAGAAAGACCAAGAGAAGACATACTGTTGGAGGAAACCCCGGTTAGTACTGATGTAAATTAACACATCTTGGACTCTTAGTATTATAGACATTGTTTTGCTGACTCATTACAGTATGAACATTTTATACGTTAGTATCAGAGAAATCAATCACTGGTGTTGGAAATGCCTATATAATTATTATTCAGAGTAATAGCCGTGTTAGTCTGTATTTGCAAAAAGAAAAGGAGTACTTGTGGCACCTTAGAGACTAACCAATTTATTTGAGCATAAGCTTTCATGAGCTACAGCTTACTTCATCGGATGAAAGCTTATGCTTAAATAAATTGGTTAGTCTCTAAGGTGCCACAAGTACTCCTTTTCTTTTTGCATAATTATTATTGTGGCCAGTGCTCACTGTAACTGTATATGATGACAGAATAAAGCAACACCAAAATCACATTTGTAATTGGTTTACTGAGTAGAACCTTTCTGTGGCGATATCTCCCCTTTAAAATGTCTTTATTATCAATCATTGCTCGTCCTCAGTGAACCATGCAATTGGAGTCTGTGTCCCTTGTTGTCATGGTTGCATTTGACCATCAGTGCCAGCTGAAAGAAGAGAGGAAAAACTAAATTGATGAAGAAATAAAAATTAAAAAAATCCAAACCAAAACACCTTATGAATCATTGTGCATTAGTGAGTCGTATTAAATTGTTTTCTTCTGCAGCTGATATGACTGTTATCTTCTTTATAGGTCCAGCAGTTCTCACCTTCTCTTCCAACGCAAGTTACAACTGCCGTCAAATTTCAGGTTGGCGATCTAGTCTGGTCCAAGGTGGGAACTTATCCTTGGTGGCCTTGCATGGTTTCAAGTGATCCACAGCTTGAGGTTCATACCAAAATTAATACAAGAGGTAAAGGAGGACCATTGAGTGGACATGTTAGATACTATATCAGTAATTGCTCCTTAATTAAACATATTGCTATAAAATACAACTGACAACTTATGCCAATTGGGAACAGCTCCAGAGTGAAGTTAGCAATGATGAGCCAAAAAACTAACTTTATTTAACTCTCTCAATGTGACGCAAACAGATCTCTTCTGTTGCTGTTCACCTAGTGCAATTCAGAAATGCAGAATTGTCTTGATTTCTGTTTATAAATACATTCAACTGTTCATTTAAAAACAAATCAGAGGAAAGTATGCAACTGAGTAAATGATTGATTATTGATTTATCTTTTTTTCCTAATATTTGTTTTAGAACATGTGCTCATATAAAAACAATAACCGATTAAGTTATTTTGGAGTGAATTTAGAGAAAAACAAGTTGTCCACTAAGTGGCATTTTTGCGGGGTCATTGACATCTGGATATTTTGAAAATGAAATTTTGAATGATTAAAAAAACCCAAGATTGCCATTGCTACTTCATTGATCTGGCTTAGCTTCCCCTGGTCCCAGCTGGAAGATGTGGCCCTTATGGTCTTCCTAATGGGATTAAGCATTCAGCCTGTTAAATAGGAAAACTTCAGTCGCACAAAACATTGCATGATTCCTATGTTAGTAATATGAATAAACAAATGCATGTATGTACTCAGACCATGTGTTTACTTAGTTTAGAGAGAGATTCTGTCACTTAACTCTTGTTGAGTTAGTATCCTTACGAGTAGTCCTACTGCTATCCGTGATACTGCTTGGTGTGAGGACCAGGTACTGCCACCCTTAGACTGTAACCTGAAGGCAGGGACAATGCCTCTTTACTTTCTAAAGTGTTGTGAAAAGTTGTTACAATACATAAATGTGCAACTTCAATTTCTCACAGAAAGTTAGCTTTGTTAAATGTTTCTATTTTAATAGAGATGAGTTTCAAGCAAATTAAAAAACTAGGTGGCTAGGATGTTAGAGTAGCCGTTCGTGTGGTCCGTTCCCCCGTCCCCCCCCCAATTGACTTAGTAGCTCTAGTTTAGCTTTTAGTCTGACTGCATAATCTTATATAGGCACTTTTATAAAACCATATCAGATGTATAAGAAATGGAGCTGCATGCATTTTATTTTCTAGCTTCTATAGAGCTAAGGAGAACTTCTGTCTGTAAGAATTGAATGAGTGGAGTGGAGTAAGAATGTTAGGCTAATATATCCAAGTAAACACATGAACTGACTTCTGTTGATAGTACTGCTTACTAGAGTGTGTTTTAATTTCAGGTGCACGTGAATACCACGTTCAGTTTTTTAGCAACCAGCCTGAGAGGGCATGGGTGCATGAGAAGCGGGTTCGAGAGTATAAAGGACATAAACAGTATGAACAATTATTGGCAGAGGCTACTAAGCAAGCCAGCAACCACTCTGAGAAACAGAAGGTATGTTCAGCACTAAATTCAGAGTGTTATCCACAATGTCTATCAAAGTAAAACCTAAACTTACAAAGGGGACCCATCCTGAAACTTATTGTAGACTGATGCATATTCGAATGTTGGAAAAATAAAGTACTGTGTGCATTCCACCTGTGACTAAGTAATCATACTTTGCAAAGATAGTTAAATGTTTCCATATGCCATTATGTCCTCCTTATGGATAAGCTGTTATCTGAGCTTGTTTTATCCCCAGTGCAAAATTGAGATGCAAGTATTTGTATCCCCCATCCCCTTTCAGTAACTTTCTTGGCTGTAGTCCTTTTCTGGACACTTAGTTTGTGTGTGTGTGTGTGTGTATGTATGTAACTTCAGAATAAATATTAGATCACTAATTTTCAGTGTTTCCGTTATTAATATATTCCTTAGAAAGCAGTGTACGTTTTAAATAGCAATGTTTACGCTCTCATCACCATCCCATACGTTTCTGATGTTATGTAGATTCTGCTTGTTAGCAGTCCCTCAGTTGCCAGCAAAAGTTGCTTTTATCCAATAATTGCTAATAAATGGAAGGCAGGTTTGCAAGGCAGCAGCCAGGGAAGGAAGTGCTGGGAGGTGAACCTGCCTGCAGGGAGAATAACCGAGTGAAGGTGCAGCCCTCATGCTGGAGCTTTCTGCAGGGAGCGGGCGTGTTGGGGCCACAAAGCTGCACAGTACCTCTCCCTGCATTCTTCCATGCATCTGATGAAGTGAGCTGTAGCTCAGGAAAGCTTATGCTCAAATAAATTGGTTAGTCTCTAAGGTGCCACAAGTACTCCTTTTCTTTTTGCGAATTTAGACTAACACAGCTGCTACTCTGAAATCTTCCCTGGTTGCATCTCGGAACGTCCCAGTGCAGCCCCCTGGCAGGGATCCTGGAGAAGGCAGGGAGAAGTACTGTGCAGCTCTGGCATCTGGGCTGCAGCCCCCTCCCTGCTGTTGCCCTGCCCACAGCCTCTCCTCTCTGTCTGCTGCCCCTTCCTGTGTGGTCCCTGTGTGCATTCAGTTTTTGCTGGGCTGCAGCCCCAGAAGGGAACACTGGGACATGCTGAGCACTGGCTGCAGGCAGATTTGTGAGGCTGCAGTCAGAGGAGGCATGTCCCAGCACTTCCTCTCCTGGCTGCAGCCTCACAAATGTGCCTGCAGAGGGTGCTCCACATATCCCAGGGTTTCCTCATAGCGGTGTAGTCTTACAAACATGCCTGCAGATGGTTCCTTTCTTCCAAAAAATGTTGCTAATAAGCGAGCAGCATGTTGTTGCTAATATCCGAATCCTATCAACATTGATATTAATGGGATGGATGGTTCCCAGCCATATGTTGCCATTAACCGGAAGTTGCTAATACCAGAATTGTCCTTCAGCGAAATCTACTGTATTTGTTTAATTGAGAAGGGAACTATTGGCCAGACCGCCAGACTTATCACTATATTTTGGTGGGCTTCTCAAGTAGATATTTAAGTTAATTAGAAGTAGTAATGAATGGGGAATGGGAGGTTTAGAAGAAGAAACAGGATTAAAATAAGTGGGTGAATTGGATTATCTTCTGGCTCATATATCTACAGAATTGTGGATTAAACTTTGCCTGCCATTGTCTTTAGAGGGGTTGCTCAGAGCAGAATCTGATTCACAAATTTCACTGGTGATGGCCCAGTAAGAATCCAGTTTGACTGTCAATTCCAGTCCGAGTTTGCAGGCCTGGTCCCCAGAAATATCTTGTAAACTGAAAAAACATTCACCTGCAATCTGAGATACATCAGGGTCCTTGGAATGGCTTACATAGGGTCATTTTGTAGAGCAGGGCCACATTTTAAACTAGTTTATTTTAATTGAACATTTATTTTAATGTAGCCAGGAAGCTAAATAAAATACATGTAATAGAGTTCTCTTTTTGTCTTAAAGATTCGTAAGCCAAGGCCACAAAGAGAGCGTGCTCAGTGGGATATTGGTATTGCCCATGCTGAAAAAGCATTGAAAATGACTCGGGAAGAAAGGATAGAACAGTATACCTTCATTTATGTAGACAAGGAGCCAGAGGAGGCTTTGTCCAAAGCCAAAAAGACTGCTGCCCCTAAATCAGAGGCTAAAAAGAATCGTCGGCCTAAACCAGCATTGAACGCTCAGCCAGAACAGACCAATGCAGTATCCGCATCCCCCTCATTATCAAATACTGAGGTGCGAAGGCAAAGTCAAAGGAGGCAGTCAAGTGTGGAAGAAGAGGAGCCACCACCTGTGAAAATAGCATGGAAAACAGCTGCAGCCAGAAAATCCTTACCAGCTTCAATAACCATGCATAAAGGGAGTTTGGATCTTCAAAAATGTAACATGTCTCCAGTTGTTAAAATTGAACAAGTTTTTGCCCTACAGAATGCTGCTGGAGATGGAAAATTCATCGATCAGTTTGTTTACTCTACCAAGGTACACACTTATTTGTTACTAACTCCTTTGTCTGTAAATAACACACACCCACAATATTTAGTATGGGGCTCAAACTTAAGTGTCCACCAACTTTCAAAATGTGATGGTCTATGCAGGAAGCTTTTATTAGATACTACATAAAATCTGTCAGGTCCCGCTTTTTATAAGCAGCCCCGATAAATAGAAACATCTTAAAACTTTACTAACTACAAGGGCTAGTATAACCAGCAGTCTGTGGGGTTTTTGTTTTCTTTCGTTTTTTAAGAAATGGAGGGTGGAGGGTTACTCTTTGGTTTTAGTGACAGAAATTTCTACAAAACCGTTAAGCTATTGCTGAGAACTTTTGAAATCAATAGCTACAACAAGCCACTTGTTTAATTCTAGTTTCCCACTTTAAATCAGAATTGAGCTGTTCAGCCCTTCTGGGTTAAATTGGATCTACCACTTTGGTGCCTGTTTGCAACAGGTGAGATTACAAGATGGTGCGTAAATAGTGAGTTAAAAGCAAAAAAATGAACAATCCTGTGTGGTAAAGACATTTTTTTAAAATAGCTTTTACCTCTTAGTCTCATGCAGATCATCAGCAACCCCTCAGTCAGTGTAAGTAGCAGTAGTGGGGCTAATTGGCTGCCTTACTTTTCTGCCCTGTCTTCCTTGAGGACATATATGTGCAGTAACTCTTCACGTAACGTAGTTATATTCCTGAAAAATACGACTTGTAAGTGAAAGGATGTTAAGCGAATCCAATTTCCCCATCAGAATGAATGTAAATAGGTGGGGTTAAGTTCCAGGAAAAAAAATTTTTGCCGTACAGTACTATAGTTGGGAGGTGGTCCCACCTTACCCCGCACGGGCACAGCCCACTGGCACTGGAGGCAAGGAGGCTGAAGGTGCTGTAGGCTAGGAAAAGGACGTTGCATAGCTGCAGCTTCCCCTACTCTGCAAGCACCAGGGGCTGGGGGCTCAGCCCTTGGCCTGCCCACTCCACCACTTCCCCCAAGCCCCTACCCTTGACCCGCCTCTTCTCTTCCCCCGCCCCCCTTACTCCACGCATTGCATCCTCGCTCCTCCCTCCCCTGCCCGCAGCAATCAGCTGGCTTGCGCATTCAGGAGGGAGGGGGGAGGAACAAGGACATGGCGCGCAGGCTCCCACTCCTTCTCCCTCCCCTGCCCCCTGAATGCTGATTGCCGCAGGAAGGAGGCAGGGGAGGGAGGGGGGAGGTGCACCCTTCCCCCTTCCTCCTGCCCATGGCTGGCAATCAGCTGGCTTGTGGAGTTCAGGGGGTAGGAGGGAGGGGGAAGGAGCGAGGACTCTGCACACAGCCTCCCCGCTCCCACCCCTGCCTCCTGCCCCCGGCAATCAGCTGGTTTGAAGAGGCAGGGGAAGGAGGGCGAGCTTGCGTGCCCCGAGTCCTCTCTCCTCCTCCTCTCCCTCCTGAACACCGCAAGCCATCTGATTGTTGTGGGCAGGAGGTGGGGAGAGAAGGGGGAAGGTGCTGATCTGTGGGGTGTGCCAGCGGGTGGGAGGTGCTGGGGGGGGTGTAGGGGAGCTGATGGGGGGCTGCCAGCTGTGGACAAAGCAGGCAGCCAAATGTTGTCATAGCGAATTTTAAATGGAGCATGTTCTGTAATTGAGCAGAGATGTAAGATGGAAACAACATTAAGACAGAGGACATTAAGTGGGGAGTTACTGTATTTTTAAACTTAGGTACTGGAGCCCTTATGTGTATAAGCACATTAGGAATACCTACAACAACAAAAAACCCACTAGTGCTGTTCAGTGAGAGACTGGTGCATGCAGTATATTTATTTGAGGGGGAAAACTTGGAGTCTGTCTTAGGAGGTTTCCCCTCACTGTTTCTAAATTGCCCTCCCTCATGGTGGTAATCAACGTTGTGGCTTGAATTCCAAGTTGTAAGTGATTTCCTAGTAGACTTTGTGGTTATTGAATTAATTTGCATGGTAGTCTGATCAGGTAATCACTAACTTTATTTGTGTTCTTTAAAAGGGAGTTGGTAACAAAACTGAAATAAGTGTCAAGGGACAAGACAAGCTTATTTCTACATCAAACCAGAAAAATGAGAGAGCCACTGCACAAAATGCATCCTCACTCGAAACTACTTCTGGGTCAACAGGTAGGCAAAGGTTGGGACTCCTTGACTAAATCTTAACACATGAGCATTTAAACAGGATGCAAAAGTCAGGGTTCCCTCAGGAATTAGAAAATCATTATGAATGTATTTCTCTTTACATAATGATTGCAGCAAGTGTGGCATATGTAATCCACAATGGGTGTAGTTACTTGGAGGGGTGATCTTTATGGCTCTAAGAATTTTAAGTGATGGGTGAACTGCCTTAGCTAAGCCACTTAGAATCCTGGACTTGAGGGAAGGATGCTTGGCCAGTCTGAAGCAAGTCAGCATATCTATGGGATGGCTATGATGGTGGAGAAAAGACAGGGAACAATGGGTAGTGTAATAGCTCACTAAGTTGGGAGGCAGTAAAATGGTTCTGTTAGCAAACCATTACAGTGGCTTTTGGCATCAAATTTCAAAAGTAGCAATTAGGACCAAAGCAAATGAGGCAAAAATCAGCATAGTCTTGTAGTTGGAGCCAGACTTCATGAATCGGGGGTAAATTCTATTCCCAGCTTTACTGTTTTCTTGTGTGACCTTGTACAAGATAATTAATGTCTCAGTGCTTCAATTAATCCTGTTGATAAAATGGGATAATGCATACCTTTCTGAAGCACTTTGAGCACTCTATTAGGCACTGTGTACGTGTCTTTAAGAGAGAAGAGTGTGAAGCAATCAAGAGTATCTAGAGGCTTAGAATAGGAAAGAGAAAGCCTAAGGCAAATTCTCTGAAGAAATTGAACTTAACACACATGCAGGGAGAGAAGAGTGAGTATTTAAATTGAATGAGTAACTTTTACCTTGGAGCAGAAAAGCGATTATTGATGCTGTGACTTCAGAAATGGCTATGGGTTTGGCTCTTCTTTCAGTGGGGATGGGCTAATCCCAGCAGAAAGTCTCTGGGAGCAAATTGATAAGACATACTATAGAAAGAGGTAGGGTGGAAGATGATGGGGGAGAGAAACAACTTCAGTCATTCTCAGCTGAACTTCCATTTTCAAGTCCTTCCTCCTATTGTACTGGTTTTAGTATTTCAGCGAAACGGTCTTTATCTTCGATGTGGAAAACACATCAGAGATATTATGTGTTTGGACATATGATTGTAATCATATTATAGCTAGTATAGACTGTGGAGAACACCTAGTTTAATAATGAATATGTGAAAAGTAAGTTTGGGGTGGGATCAGAGTGCATTCATTTGATACTCAACAGCAGGATGAACAGTTACCTTCAGTCTGGAACCAGAAAAGGGGGGTATTTGATTCAGCTTAGGTGCCATAAAACTGACTACTCTTTCTAATAGTTTTTTTTATCTTGTAACGTTATTCAGTGTCACCCTTGCTTTAGTTATGTAGCTGAGCAAAGGACCTGGTCCTAGTGTAGTTAGCTCTCTTTTCAAAACAAAAAAATAAAACTAAAGACACCAAAACAAAAAACTCTCACACCATTCTGCATATATTGGAACACTCTTCCCCAGCCCACACAGTTCAGCTCCTCGGCATATATAATTCTTGTTATGGAGTGTTACTTTAAATCTGCTATCCCCTGGGTTTTCACAGCAGACTGTGCCTGAGGACTTTCAAATGCAAGATGAGCACTCTGGATTTTTTTGACCCTGGTGTGAGCAAGATGGGGTTTCATCTGCTGTTGATGACAATCATTGTCTCTCCAGCTTATAATTGCTATGGTTCTGGCAGCTTTTTCCAAACTATTGCTACTCTGTTAATTGCCCAACAACAGAGGAGGTGCTCTCTGTTTTGTTTCCGTCCCCTGGAAACGAAGGGCATCACCTCCACAATTCGCAGTGGCTCTTAGAGCATAGGGAGGGTGAGAATTCTGAGCCTCTTTTTTTTCGTTTTCTCAGGTTTTTTGGATACGTAAAACATCACCTGATAACACCCCATACAGTGCATGAGCATTACTTCAGTATACACTCCAAACAGTCACTTTCAAAGCCATTTCCAAAGTCCAGACAATTATTGGTCCCCTCTCATGGAACATAACTGGAAGTCCTTTTTTCAAATTTAAGGTCACCGGAACTTCAGAGTACCTTTACGGTAAAGTATTTTACAGAATGACTCTGGGAGCCCTGATGCATAAGCCACAGTGAGATGTACAGAATTCCATAATACTGGGGAAAATCTGTGTCTGTAACCTGGAATCTGATACGAGAACTACCTTGAGAATTCTGTTTAAAGGGGAGACTGGAGGTATAAATGGAAACAAAACTGACCCAATGACTTGGTAGCTAGTGAGGTGCACTGCTGGTTATAAACCAGTCTGAGCCTAGCACTTGTTCATAAATTGCACAGAAGTGGGATAAGAGTATTGTGGAGGTGATGCGCTGAACCTTTGGGGAATGGGGAACACAGAGTGCATATTGCACTACTTGGGCATACCACTGGCATCCAGTACAAAGTGGCATTGGTCTCCAACGGCACTATCTTCTCTGATACAGGTCTTCCATCACAACATAACTCCTTCTGCTGTGTTGAGCATAGAGAAGAAAGAAGAATACTGATTAGTTGAACTTTCCTAGTCAGATTTGTCCAAAATTAGGGAACCCTTTCCATGGATAGTACAAGGCATGCCAGCTGAACATAGAGGTGACACAGGAGGGGCTGCAGATCAGGTGCCTTGGGCCAATCAGAGCAACTTTAATGTACAGTAAAATTTGAGGTATACTCTTCCCTTCTAAATCCCAATATGGGAACACTCTCTAGGACCCAAAAGTGAAATTAATCCAAACCTGAGGGGCACTAAGATTCTCCACCAAAACATGTAACTTTCTAAAATGTGTCCCTTTAAAAATAAAATCTTTAAAACCATTTGTATTTGCCAGTTGTTCCTATCAACTTCCATTGCACCAATTTAAATGCACAATTTTCTAAATAATGAGAAAGCAAGATTAACAATAGATCATCAAGTGGATAAGGGAAGGGTGAAGTTCCATGCTTCTAGAGTCCTCTGGAATAATTTCCAGCCTTCGGTTACAGCCTACCTCCTTTTCTAGATATATAGCATAATATCAGTGGAAGCAGCACAGACACTTATGGCCTCCAATAATGAATCCTCTTAACATAATACAAAAAATTCCAGATCCACATTTTTTATTCTTCTAAATAATAATCATTTTAAAAAAATTATAAAAAATATTTAATTTCTATCCTGTTAGGTCGAAAACACCTGATGCTGAAGGACAATACTGTAACTCACGATAAAATAGAATTTTCAAACTTTGGACTTTTTCTGTCAGTCTTACACCTTTAATTATGTGCTTGGTTTCAAGAATTGCACATTACACAAATGCTGTGTAGATGTTCCTCAACAGGAGCAGTGTTGTAACACAGAATATTCCTTTGCCCTTGCCATTTTTTTTTTTTTAAAGTAGCCTGTGTTCTGGTGTCTTCAAGTATCCTAATCACCCTTATTAATCTGAGCTTGCTTTCCAGAGCATAATTTTAAGAAACCTATTCTTTAGTTTTTGTCTGCTAGAATAGCCTCCTGTCCATTGACCACCATTTGTTTTCAATTTTTTTCTCAGTATCCTGAAATCTTTATCTAAAGCTGTCAATTTTTTTATTTATTGCAACTATGGTAGCCTAGCTTTTGACTAAACTTGTACTAATATCTAGAGTTCTGAAATTTGATAAATCAGTTTATTCACCTGACCATAAAGTCAAAGGCCCAGAAAACCATGTTTTGAAGAGTGAAAGTTTGGAATCTAAGTTCTGAATCTTTAGAATACCAAGACATTTTAGGTAATGAGGTTTTTATAGTTATGGATACCTTCCAGAAAAAGCAAAAGGCAAACTAGTTAGTTAGAAAACGATCAGACCGGAGGCTCTGAAAGTGACATGTCATAACAAATTGTCACCCTATTCCAAAAAGTGGATTCCAGCCTTTCCCTTTACCCTTTTATTGGTGTCTTTTCTGAACCCAGGCCTCTCTCCATTAGATGTATTTTCTGCAATCAGGGCTCCAGCTGGCAAAAAAAAATCCTTTGAACGGACTGTTTTTAAAAAGTCTGTTAAATATCAAAAGAGCAAAAAAAGTTTTGCTTTCATTACTACAGCCATTGACTTGGTACTGAACATATCACACGAAGCTGAAATAGAAGGAATCGCGTAATAGAATCCTTTCCTTCCTCAGGTTCTGTAGAAAAGAAGCAACAGAGAAGATCGATTCGAACCCGCTCAGAGTCTGAGAAATCCACTGAAGTTGTGCCAAAGAAGAAGATCAAAAAGGAGCAGGTTGGCTTCCTCCATGTAGAGAGTTAAAATATATTTTGTATTCATAAATGTTGTGGCTTATATTGGTGCCTTTTTATTTTTCTCCATTTTGCCCATCGAGTTTCCTTTTTGGACTATCCTTCATGAAATCCCCCTGTCTGTACCATTATTGCTGTGACTCTGCTACTGGCATCTTCACAGTATCAGTTCAGGCTTTGGATAATGGGAACTCAATGATGCAAGACTCCTAATGAACCTGACATGTTAACTTTGAGATTTCTGTTGTGAGCAAAATGATTTTATGTTTTAATAATATCTATTTGATGGAATTGCCACCAGGTTCCTTCCTCTTCTTACTCTTGGTTTAGCTGCTGGTTTGTATTGAGGTTTTGTTTTTCAAAGTTTCTGATTTATTTGATCACTTTTGAAAATGGACTCTAAGAATGATCTATTTTAAAGATGAATAATCTGACTTTTATGTTGGCAGACATAAACAAAAAAACAAATCTTAGATTTTTTTTTTCTCCCCCTTAAGTAGAACTAACATGTACAGGGCACTCTTTTAATCCGAATGCCAGACAGACAAATGTTGTTGCTTTATTTAAAAAAAAAAAATTCTGAGTGGAGATGAGTAGGCAAGTTGAGCAGGTGACATACTTAAATATTTAACTCAATACACTTATTTAACAAGTTTGTCAGAGTTGTTGGTTCTTTTCCTTACTATCAATTTTTCCCTATTTAAACCATAAGGGCACCCACCCTTGAAACCTGAAACTTTTGTAGAACAAATGTTTCTTAATACAGTTTTTTCCAATGGGCTTTTTTAAAAAGGGACACAGGTTAAAGTTTTTTTTTTTAAACTTCATTAGAGTAAAATAAATATTTAAAAAAACACCCTAATTTATTCTTTGCCCATTACACTTGATTTTATTTTATTGCACTTCAATCATCTTAAAGGCTGAAAATAGGCCTTGTCTATTTTTTTTTTTTTTTTTTAAGTTTCATATTTTGGTTCTGATGCACTAGTATGACACTTCCATGTTTGGGTTGCCAAAGCGACAGAAGGAAATTTAACTCTAAAAAAAGTTTGTCACTGAAACCATTTTTTTTAAAAGGCAACCTGTTGGATGTAAAATAGCTGACACGTAGGCCCTTTAACTTCTTGATGTGAGAAGTTGCGATTCCCCTATTTTTAAATAAATCCTTTTGCATTTGCAAATTCTCCTTAATTTAACAAAGGTATAAGAACCAACAATAGGAACATTGTGGTTCCAGGTTAGCTTTGCTTGCTTATACTATGTAGCTAACTAAGGCAACATAGTACATTAAATTGCTTTTCTCAGGCAAAGTATGTGACTAAAACGTAATAAAATAATCAAAGATGCACTGTAATGCACATAACTTTGAATGTATTAAATTATATTCAAAATAAGTAAGTCTTACTAACTTCTTACAATTATGCAACAATATTTGTTACCCAAAGTCAAGTTTTCTTGCAACTGATTCCCAAATTCAGTCTGTGACCACTTGGTTTAAATTTATAACTGGAATGAATACAAATGGGAAAAACAAAATGTTAATGCTACTGTTACAGTGAGAAATAGAGAAATACAAGTGATTGTTTAGATTTTATATTTGTATTACGAACTGTATCCTATACAAATCCTTCTATTGTATGTTTTTACCTATTGTACAACAAAATAAAATATTTTTTAAAAAAATTTAGATTAATCCTTAAATATTTACTAAATGTGTTTCTATATGCTTTGTTAACCACATTGCAAAGAAATAAAAGCCTGCAATTCTTAGCCTAAAACCAGGACCTTAGGAAACAACTTTCTTCCTTTAATTATGCTTTTTATCACCAAATTCTCACATGTATTACATGTATATTGGCAGAAAAATTTCTAATTTCATCCTTCTGATGTAGGACCAAGAACGTGACGTGCTTTTGGAAGATCACAAACTTGTCTACTTAAGTTTGTACTGACATGAGTTTCCAGCTGTATAGAGCTCTGCAATGCTCTATATGGAGTCCTCATCCCCACCTTTATGGGCCTTGCAGCCTTCTATACAGAGAGAAGGTCCATATCCCCAGAAGCTCAAGAGTGCATGCTTGATGGAAGTGCCTTAAAACGGCAATACATTAAGTGTCTCACTAACCTGAGTCAGACCTGTATAAGTACAAGTTTACCTTAACAGGTGTTGGGTTTTACAACAGCATCAGGGTTGGCTACAGGAATGAACGCCTCTCCTGCCTGCTGGACATGGATAAAGTTTTCCTGTTGTCTTCAAGCACAAAGGGAGTGATTGGAAAGGACCTTGCTATTGAACATATGGCTGCCTTATCACCTGGTATTCAGCCTAGGCAGCTAGGATTAAATCCCAGCAGGACAGAAGGCTTACACTGAGAAGGCGACTGCCAGACTACATCTGAGTTCAGATATGCTAATCACTTAAACTTGGATGTTTTTTCTTTTTTATACTAGGGGAAAAAATTCCTCTGTTAACTATAGATTTTCCTGTCCAAACAGGTAGAAATGGTTCCACAGACAGCAGTGAAGACTGGATTACAGAAAGGTGAGTTTGTCTGAATAAAAACAAACATTGTTTATTAGTACCCCATTTACAGGCCATTCATTATATTTCACTGATGGCTTTCAGTCTGTGTGAACTGCAAGTAATTGCCAGATGTTTGTGAGTGACTCCATTGTATTGATCTACCTTCGTTCCTCTGAGTTGTAGCCCTCTTTTTGTAATAATAGTTGGGAGAATAGTGTATGCTTGGTCTGCTTTAAAGTTTTCATGACATGATTCTTATAAAAAACCAAATGAGGGTATCTGAACATAGGCATATTTTAAGATGAATGATGCGGTATTACCTGTTGGGGTTTTATCCCTACCTGAATGGTGATAGTTCAGTAGGTTGTGCCAATACGTGAGCTATCCAGCAGTTTGACAAAAGGTTTTGTTTTGTTTAATGGCATTTGAATGCTATTGGCTGAATTACTTTTTACCCTGGAGCACTGAAATGTTTAGTGGCAAATTTCTGAACTTAAAACGCTTGCCATAAGTGAGATGTTTGTAAAGTCCTGCCTTGTGGCTTCATCTTTCATGTCTCTGTCATTTTTCTCCATGTGATCTAAAAAGAAAATGAAAACAATATTTTAGGATTAATTTCAGTGTGTTGTGTTAAGGTGCCAGCGAGATTTCAGATTCTTGTAAACCTCTAAAGAAAAGGAGTCGTGCCTCAACTGATGTAGAACTGACTAGTTCAGCATACAGAGACACATCTGACTCTGATTCAAGAGGACTTAATGATCTGCAGGTAAATGTGTGGTATTTGCACACAGATATACATTTCAGTATGTCTGACAGAGAAGTGGCATTATTGATGGCTGCAGTTTTGAATAAGCAAGGAACTCAGTCGTCAGATTCAGATAACTGAATTGTTTTGCTCTTTAAAAAGGCTAATACAATGTTATGGGAATGGTGAGAAAAATATTTCAGTGGTAGGGTGTGGGGGACATAGGCATTTTCCTGTGCTGGTCCAGTGCTGAAAAAGGATCTCTATTAAATGGGCAGTAAATTGTTTGTCACTATATATTGAGGCCCACAATCTTTCAGATAACTTTCATATGGTTTTTTAATGTATATTAACTGCATTTTTTCTTTTAATCAGTGCTGACTTAATATTTTTCCATGCCATGGTTAGCCTTTTAAATTAGTTTATTTAAAAATGGTTGTGGATTGATTTCTTTATAGGGTAGCTTTGGAAAGCATTCAGACAGCCCATCAGCCACTGCAGATGCTGATGCTTCTGATGTACAATCAGTAGACTCTAGCTTATCAAGAAGAGGCACTGGAACAAATAAGAAGGATACTGTTTGTCAGGTAGGTGGAAAGTGCATGGTATTATTGTAAACAAATATATGCTAAAGATGTGCTGTCTGATTCTGATTTTAATCTGGTCTGGTAGGAAACTCTCTTTTCAAATTATGCTATTGTATTTTGACTAAAGCTCATAATTTGACATTGAACATCCTGAAAAACGATGGAATGACCGGGCCTTGTAGGTTTCATGCTCCAGAGGTGTTTGTGGTGGTTCCCCCCCCCCCCCCCCCCAAAAAAAAAAAAAAATGGAAATGGCATTCTGCAGGTTAATAAGCCTGAGTCCATAGAAAATACAATACAACCTAAACTGGGTAATATCACCAAGCAAGCAAGTTGCTCTGTTCTGCCCTATTTGAAGATTCCATACGGTCTTTCAGAGTAAGACAAAATGAGTATTACAGTATGCTAGTCTACATAAGACATAGGCCTGGCTAACTGGCAAGGTCTGCATCAGAGGGAAAATGTTGTAATTGTCTTGCCAATTGCTTGAGATTACACACACACACACACACACACACACCATGCTTTCCCCTCCTAGCCTTTTATATATATATATATATATATATATATATATATATAGCTAGGAGGGGAAAGCATGTTTGGCAGCCGCTGCTGCATGCATGTGCAGGAGAAGAGAAATCTGAAAGCACCACAAAATAATCCTGCTTAGCTGATGCAAAAAGGATGGGAACACATTCAGTGACTGCTGGAGGCTTCCAGTGGCCTTACTGTTGCCAGTTCTGTCAGTGGCTTCAGCCAACTCTCCTGCCTTCTTCAGAAACCAGGAAGCTGTAGTGTCATAGTACGTAGAGGTTTCAGCCGGTTAATTTCCCTTGCTTCAGTTCTGTTAGTCACTTAAATTTAAACATCCATCAACAGCTTTGTTCTCTGACTAGCTATTTGCTTGTTTAAGATCTGTGAAAGCTCTGGTGAGTCTCTGGTGTCATGCGAAGCAGAGTGCTGTAGAGTCTTCCATATGGAATGCCTGGGACTGAAATCAATACCTGATGGGAAGTTCATCTGCGTGGAGTGTAAAAATGGTAAATGCATTACTGTGTTTTGAGTGGTGGGGAAAAACCTGAGTTTCGGAGCCTGATGGATTACAGTGATTGGAAAAAGCTTCAGTATTCATATGCTGGGCTGAACAAACTGAGGCAGAGATGTTCTACAGTAAATAAAGTTCTGTGCTAACTTCCTTCCCTCTCCACTTAGCAAGTACTTTTAAACGGAAAATTAGTAAACTGTTCAGTGATAGGGCTGTGTCTTCCTGTTTGTTTATCCTGCACCCTGCGCAATGGGGCCCTCATCCTGATTGGGGCCTTAATAAATGTGCAGTAGTAATAATCTGTTATTTTATAGTGAGGGAGGGATATTCTGCTTACACTGGTGGAATTGCATTAACTTCAGAGTTTTTCCTCCTCTGCCAAGTTTGCAAACTTGCCTCTTGGAAAATAGCTGATAGCGTTCATGCTGAGGTTTGTTTTATTCCTTTTCTTAAAAGGACAGCACACATGCTTTTCCTGCAAGCTTCCTGGTAAAGATGTGAAGCGCTGTTCAGTCAATGCTTGTGGTAAATTTTATCATGAAGCCTGTGTTCGTAAGTTTGCCACTGCTGTCTTTGAGTCACGAGGATTCCGTTGCCCGCAGCATTGCTGTACTGCCTGCTCAATGGATAAGGATATCCACAAAGCAAGTAAAGGTGAGAGCACAACTGGATTTGGATAGTACTAGGAAACTGCAAAATACCTGACAGAGACAAGTAGCAGAAAATGAAGATGAATATGATACTTTACACTCATAATGTGATACAGTATAGAGGGATGGGACATCAATTTATTATGAACGGATTCATTATCAGTTTGGTCATTAATACAGTGGGTTCGCTGTGAAACAGGTCAGTCTTGGTGGGGTAATATGAAACAGCCAGCATCTTGAGAAGTAGTGCTAAGGACACCTGGAATAGCTTCTGTGTCATTTGGACTTATTTGGCTGTTGGACTTCTGGAGTTTGCTTTAAGTTAAAGGTCAGATGTACAAAGCTGAAGTACCCGTAGACAGATAGCAATGGACTGTATAACAGAAGTTCTGTCCCAAAGAGGTCCTTTCCTTTAGAAGTGAACTAAAATGGTCAAGCAAACCAAGCAGTTTTAGGTTAGTTAGAGCCAAATGGGTCTTGTCTTCACTTAAAGAAGTTCTGCATCCAACATTAGAGTTAACAGAGTGAAACAGCATGTTGCTTTTTTGAAGAAGTTAATGTTTAATATCCTGGTTAGACTAAAACCAAACTTGTATCGCAGTCTGTGAGGTCTTCTACGCTATCCCAATTCCACTGTGACATGGTGCATTTTTCTGCATTTATATTAAACAGGACGCATGGTGAGGTGTTTGAGATGTCCGGTTGCCTATCACTCAGGAGATGGCTGTATTGCTGCAGGAAGCTTGTTTGTGTCATCTCACATTCTCATCTGTAGCAACCATTCCAAAAGGAATCTCTCTTCATCAGCTGTAAATGTAGGCTTTTGTTTCGTTTGTGCAAGAGGTGAGCAGTACTTTTTTCCCCCCTTCAGTTTATATGTCTGGTGTGGTCATTACTACAGTTACATGATAAAGCTGGGGTATTTTACACAATTATTTTTTTCTCTTGGGGCTCTGTTCGCTTCAAAGCTTCCTCTTTGACTGCTGGGATAGTACACATGATATTAATTTATTTCTCATGCAAGAGTTTTCGCATACAGTTTTGTTCGGTGTGTAGACACAATTTTGAAGCACTGAGAAGGCATACTGTGTGTGCTGCCATTTGAGAAGAAAGTGAACGTTGAGTCCCCCGTTCCAGCAGTTGCAAGTCAAATCAGTAAACATTGATTCTCTGTCGCTTCAGCAAGAGGGGTTGCTTTCACCCTCTATAAATTGAAAATAATGGAGCATCTTTTAAGTGGGTGGATGGGGTTTGCTCATAAGCGAGAAAATGCCTGTTTTGACATCCAGCTCCCATTTGAGAAATATATTTTTTTTAGAAAAATGTTACAGGAATTACCACCTAAATCAGTTAAAATCTAATTACAGTAAAAATATCGTTTTTCCATATGCTGCAGCTATTTTTTTTTCCCCTGGTGTTTTTTTGAAGACCACAGAAGTCTGTCAGTCACTTTATTTATTTTAACTTCTGTCAGAAGGTAGGACTAAATATTCCAGTGCTTTAGTTTACTTTGGTCAAAAATCCCAGTGCAAAAATATCTCTACCATGTTCTTTTTGCTGTGAAATTTAGAAACATAGAGTTTTTGTGTGTAATTGTGTGTGTGTGTGTATATATAATATGTAAAAACACGTGATATGTAACACTGCAAAAAGTTCACACTGAATGCAACATGTCTTTCAACTGTTTGACAGTCAGTAGTAAAGGAGTGTAAATACATGATGAATCCTGAATCCGCTTGTTTGTATTCAGCTGTGCAATTAGAGGCCTTGTTTGTGTGGTAAAGATGGTTTTGTATGAGCAAGAGCAGATTACTAGATACAGGATCTAGAGAAAGGGGAAAAAAAGAGGGGTCCCAGAGTTGGATTTTTTCCTGGTTCCAATTACAGTACAGGAAATGGAGCTGTCACAGAGGTTCCAAGGTAAAAAACAGTTCTTTCCTTTTTACATACATCTAATTTTTTCCAGAGAAATGGCGTCCGGAGGTTCAGAGGGAAACAGTAAGTCTTAGAATGCTAAGCCCGGGAGGGGCTCTCGAAGTGTGTGAAACAGTGTTTGCAACATGGTTCAGTGCTTTTCCTTTTAATGAGCCTGTTTCAGTGCTTTGGGGCATTTCTAAACAGGAAATATGCAAAGTGAATCACGCTGGTGTTGCGTAACCATACACACATGCAGACAAACTTATGGATGTTGCATGTATCTTTATTCTTTTATTGCTGAGTTGTAGATTTCTGTATAGGTGTTTTGCCCTACTTTAAGTTTTATTTTGATTCTGACTTCATTAGCGTGTGTACAAGTGCACAATCTAAAAACAAAAATTCTGTTTTCAGATCTCTGAACTATAACTAGCAAAGCCCATTTGTATATGTGAACTGAACCACTCGGTTAGGTACTTTGTTTTAAACATTAGTTTGAACACCTGTGTCAAACAAATCTCACTCATCTCATATTAATATTCTAGTTAACAATTATGTCCAGGTGCCCAGAAAAAAAAATGGGGAAAAAATTGCTTGTCTTCTCTATCTTTTCAGCATAGAATTAGTAAAGCTCTTGAATGGATTCTACCGTAAGCAGAGCAGAGATATGTAAAACAAAACTGTCCAGAGCTTCAAGATTTATGCTAGTTGTGTGGAAACACTCTGACTTTGGTCTCAGATGCAGGAGCTTATATCCTACTCATGAAGAATCAGCTGAGAATTGGTGACTGATTGATGGTTGGTTGATGAGAGATCAGATTAGAAATCCCTCTTTAAAAGGGCCAGCAGTGGCCTCAGCCTGACACTATAAAGACTTACATGAGGGATTCCATACTCTGGGACACTGCCTCTTCACCTACTGTTGTTGTAGTTGCTTTTTCAATGATGGGGCAGGTCGTAGGGCTATGTCTATTGCTTGGAACAAGTTTACTTACATGAGTGAGTTTAGAATATTGGCAGTCTCAGTTTATTAAAGGCTGTGGTTGTAATGAGATCGGAGTTGAATTCCATGATAGGCTTCCAGAATGCAGGAACTCCAACATTTCTAGAGCAGCTGTAGTTTGTTTGTAATATTACAATATACCAAACAGCATTTTAAAGTTAAAATACCAGGATAATTAGCTATCCAGTAGCATGCGGTATTTGTTTCTGTGAAGGACCACAACGTATCTGGAATACACTCAGCTTTCAGAAGTCAATCTCTGCTCTTGTGTTCTACACCTCCCCTCCCACCTCTTTATAAACCTATAAAACTTCGTCAGAAATGTATTCATCTCTGTTTATGAAAATGAAGCTCTCCGGGATTATTTTTTAACATGCTGACCATGTGCTCGGCACTATACAAATACAAAATAAAGACAGTCACTGGGTCTATTAGGTAAGTTCCCTACAGGTGGGAAGTTTTGTGCATGTATTTGGCATCAAGAGTTAGTGGGAGACATGCACAACTGAAACCAGAATTTGGTGCTAGGCTTCCAAATCTGAATATTGGTTGCCTAGTAGCATGAAAAGAGGTTTCTTCTTACTCGTATTGTGATTGCACCAGAGAATGGAGTTGCAGATATGGCACTTCTGCTACTTTCTAAAGTAAGTTACGTAAATTACAGAAAGTGTTTTTTTCTGTCACCAGTTTGTTTCGACAGTGATTTATATATGTTTCACATCTAATTTATGTATCTGAATTGAACTACTTACAAGTCCTGTAACTGGAACCTGAACTGTACATAAGGGTGCACCTCCTAATAGTAATAGAAGTAATCTTTCAGCACCATTCAGATGGAAATTAAAATACATTGGCATGCCTGTGTACTCACTATGTCTATTGAAGTTTAAAAAGATACAAAATAACTGGTCACTAAATGAAACCCCTTTGTATTTTGGTAGGGATATAGCAACTCTTGGAGAATATTTGATATAGATTTGTTTTTGTCCAGGATAGCTGACATTGGGAAGCATTGTGCTCTGCCAGTGGAAAGATTGAGGTGCAAGGTGCACCTTCATCAACCCATTCAGCAGTATTGCTGGCTCAAAATGGAGTTTCCTCAAATTACCTTTGATCAGGATGGTGGCATGGAGTGAGGAACTGGTGAAATTCTCTGGGTGGTGGCGGGTGCACTGCGAGAATCCCTTGTAAGGAAGAAATCAGAAATTAAATGTCCTCCAAATGTTCTGTTGTTGCACGTGCAAACAGTGCTACCTATCACTTAACATGCTAAATAGTATTAGGAAGAGAGAGTTGTGTATTTAGACCCAATGCAGTCTTAGAAAGTGGTAAAATGTAGGTATCAGAACACTAGCAGAATATATCAAAAACTTACCTAGTAGCTACATGTAGCCAGGGCCTGTTGTACTCCTCAACAGTGGGACCAAATGAGACAGCTGTATTAGTCTGTTTTATCACCATGGAAATACCCTTTATTCCCAATTCCCTCTGCCCCACACAAGCACTTCTATGGCTCATAGTGGAAATACTCAGTAAACTTAAAATTTGTTGATTATTTTTGAGAATGAGGGGTAGTTTTTTTTGTTTTTGTTTTTTTTGCTATGCTATCCTGGTGGCTCCATTCCCCTTGCATCAGCTCCTGCAGTGTTGTCTAGGCAGCCCAGTTCAGAATCTCCTTCCCCGGAAGGGAGGAACTTGTAGCTGGCTTCAGCACTTCATCTTCCTAGGGCCTTAACTGCTGTGCTGTTGGAGAGCAGGGGCAAATGCAGGGAGACAGAAAACAAAACGTCAAGTTATAGACAGTGGCAAAATTCCATAGCCGTGGAAATGCAGAGTCCATGGAGCTTTTCTTGAAATAAGTAGGGCAAGTCACACCTCACAGCTATTGTTTTGGGTGCTCTGCAGACTCGCTGTTTGTTGGCTCACGTTTGGCACACATCTTTTGGGGTTTTCTCCACAACTATAAGGGCAAGAAAGACTATGTAAATTTTTTAAAAAAATTTAAAGGTGAGATCCTGGAGCCCAAGCGTTGAGTTCCATGGCTGTGGAATCATGGAACATATGGGGACTTGCATATACCATCTGTATTTCTCCAGTTTATAGCCCTTACTGCCAGTACTGTTTCTGATGCAGTGATAGAGTCACGCTATTTTGTAATTTGGCTGGCTGTTTTCTTTTCGGGGCAGGATGGCTCATAGGGAATTGGCAGCAGGTACTTTTCTGGTGCTTTTTTTTTTTTTTTTTTAAGTGTGCAAGTTAAAACTACTGCACAAATAAAATTTCATTTAGAAATGGTTTTTATTTACTCTTCAGTTTTCTTTACACTCAGATTCAGTCTGTCTGACACATAACCTCTTCCTTTAGTAGATATAGAAACCTTTTCTGTCACACTTTTCTTTTTCTTCATATTATCTTTTCTTTCAAACTTAACATATATATGCATAATAGGTGTTGATTTGATTTATTTTATTTTCTCCTTTATGGAATCATGGGTAGTTTCATTGCAACTCATCTCTTTCTGTTTGTTTCATATAGGGCTGGTAGTGCAGGATCATTCAGACCCCCTGTTCAGTTCATATGCCTATAAGTCCCACTACCTACTGAATGAATCAAATCGTGCTGAGTTGATGAAATTACCTATGATTCCTCCTCCTTCGTCAGCTTCCAAAAAGAAATGTGAGAAAGGTAACCAAATAGTTTCTTTCTCTTCAGTTTACTTTCGCTTTTCCTGTTTTTTCTTTTCTCTTTTTTTTAAATCAAACAAAAAATGTTTGCTCGTCAAGCACCACCTGTTGCTTTTAGTAAATTTCACTCATTGATTATTGTGAGTGTGTGTTCATGTTGTTGGCAAAATATTTATTATAATAAAAGGGCTTAAAATAATTAATATCACTAAATTCTCCCTCTCCACAAAAGGTTAAGTCATGTATCTGCCATTAGGTAGTCTCCATAAAATTGGAATAATCTAAATATAACACTAAGGGGTGGTGAATAAAGTTTAGTATTGTTGCAGTTTAGTGCCAGCTCAATGACTTTTAAAACTTCTTAAATTGCTTATCTGAGGAAGTCTATTTTGGAGCCTGCTTAGAGCCTGCAACAGTCAGAATAGAGAATTTATCCGTTTGAATGTTTGTTGGTATATTGGCATTCCAGAAGAAGACTGAAGACTTAGGAAGGCAGAGGGCTTTTTCCCTGTGCATTTTTGTTACAATCCAGGGGCCTTGTATTTCATTTCTGTTAGTGCAGGCCGACTGATGCTCCTTTCTCTCCTCATGTGACTGACTGCTCACTTCCTGGAACAATGCTTCTTATTGGAGTGGCAGAAGATGCTGCGTCTCGAGCAAACAGGGATTCTGCCCTGTCAAGAAAGGCAGGCAGGTGGGCAGTTACAATAGTATTAGGACAGAAGCGTTTTCAGGAATAAAAAATGATTGCTTTACGCCGGTAATGCTATTGCTTTAAAAGGAATTTATGGAAACAGATTCAGCTATGTGTGTCTGTAAGATTCTATCCCCACAAAAATTTGATTTCCCAAAGGGTGTTCAGAAATTGTGCCCAGTCAGTCATTTTAAAATTAGATCATTGCTAGATGTAGATAGCTTTTATTTTGTGTAACTTCTGACCACAAAAATTATTTTGAGCCCTCTGTATGCTTAGCTTGAGCAATATCTTACTAATGCATCCTAAGAGCAAAGTTTTCTTGCTTAGCTCTGAGAGTTTTGTTTTTGATTTTTGTTTGGTTTTCGCATCTCTTTGGCATTTTACCGTGTTGGATATTGTTTCAGTAATTTATGCTGGGTCTGTATTTCCTCTGAAACAACACTTACAAAAATTTGTTAAAAAATGAACGCTTGATCATCGGGGGGGAGCTCAGGAAAGTCCAAATGTTTGGATTTTTTTACATTTTTAGCAGAGGAAATATAGTAAGTGATTTTGTCACTGATTGTTTAAGGAATGCTTTTTGCAATATATTACAATCAAATCAATGACAGTTTTGAAAGTCTATAGGTGGACAAGATTTTCTGATGAACATTTGAAAATAAAAATTCAAACTTCAGATACGATAATTGCTTAAAATGCTGTTTTAAATCTCTCCCAGTCTTTTTACCCTGGGACTAAAAAGTTCATTACATTTCTATCTAGATTGCAGCAAATGTGTTTATTGTATGAGCTTCTTTGTGTATTGCCAATGGTTTAGATGTGCTGTGAGTGCCCACAATAATAAACACATCTGCTAGAAAACAAGCCAACCAAAAAAGAACCTTTTTTGTCTAAATTTTTTTTAAAAAGGTAATGTTTACCACATTCTGAGATCAGATTCCCTTTGTGTTCAAAGGGAACTCTGGGGGAGGGCGAAATCTTTCTGTAATATCTCATTCTGCATTATATAAGTAAATTTATAGTGCTCACACTGGTAAACCTTCATTTTGAAGGGTATGCACAGATTTATAATTACAATTCTAATGTTTTTTTTCTCTTGTAACTTTGAAAGCAGAAAAACATTGATCAACCTATAGGCTGATTTTTATGCACACTAACTGATTGCTAAGGGATTTAGTCATGACAGTGTTGGTTTAAAAAGTATTCCAAAAAAGTGCAAAATTTGTCTAATTGTCGAGAAAAGGTGTTGGCCACTGCCAGACTGTCTGGATTAAAAAAAAAAAATACCATACAGTTTTCAAGATGGTTTCTCTTAGGGGGATCTGATGTAATGCCAACTTGCCCAATTTAACTTAATTTTTAAAAATTGATTGCCTTTCTTGTTCCAATTTATGATGCAGTCAGGAATTATGATTTCACATAAAGAGAAGAGACATATATATACAATACGAAAAATACTTATTTTTAATCCAGCATTGTAACTTTGACTTGATCCCTTCCTTTTGCCATATGTTTGGTGTGAGGCAAATCCAAGTTTAATGCATTTAATTAAATATTTAAAAAAAAAACAAACAAAAAAAACCTCTCACAAGCCCCAAACCCCTATTTCTGTAAAATGAGCGAGTTTTTGTTTAAAGGTGGGAAGTTATTGTGCTGCGAGTCCTGTCCAGCTTCCTTCCACCCTGAATGTCTCAACATGGAGATGCCAGAAGGATGTTGGAATTGCAATGACTGTAAAGCTGGCAAGAAACTACGTTACAAGCAGATCGTTTGGGTCAAGCTTGGAAATTACAGGCAAGTTCACTGAATACAACTGGAAACTATTTTAAGTTTTTGTTTTTTTACTATATCCTGCAGCTACGCAGGTAAACAACCAGAGCAGCCCAGTGTTAATAAACAAGAGCCAAAAGTACACACTGTATCTAACATGGTGTCAGATGTTGTATGGCTTTTTAATTAAATTCTACTCATTTATTTTTAGGCATTAAGGTGAATACTTACTCAAGCTCTGTCTGTGGGTTCCCTCCCTAAATGTGTCCTGCTGATGGGGAAGATCAGGAAATACCCAGGGCATCAAAACTTCCTAGTTTGCATTTATTTTTAGAGATCATTCATAAAAGGCCTCTGCAGGAATGCAGACAGTTGTCGATCCTCTCTTGCAAGTCCCTACCTGTGCCTCTGAATAAATGTGATCAGTAAAATGCTGCAAGTCTAATAGACATTGGTGGAGGTGATAAAAAGTCCTCTAGTTCCCAAGACCAGGAAGGGCAGGGAGGTTGCTAGGGGTTTTCATCTTAGATACACTTATTGCTGCCTCTGTGGCTTTTGGCCTCTTACGTAGATCTGGCTATAGAACACTGACCAAAGAACAAGTACATTAGACAGCCTTTGGCACTGCAGTTTCAAGTTGTCCATGGAGGATTCTTTTAGAATCCCATTTTTTATTGCAAGGGACAAACTTGCTTTTAATTTCTATTTCCAGACTTTCACAAGTACAACAAAACTGTCAGGGAATTGTTACAAATCAGTGAAATATGTCCAAGACTAACTACTGTACAGTCAATTAAAGGCCTGTCTCTTGCTACAGTTGCTGAGAGCATAGGGCTATCTTTCCAATAATAGCTGAATTTACGAACCCCCTTCCCTATCTGAGATCTTGTAGACATATTGTCATATGACAGATCTCCAGTTCTGGCTCTCCTTAGAATCAACCCAAAATGGGTCCAAGTTCCTCAGAGGTTGAAAATGTTGGAATATCTGCTTCAGGTTGCTGACGTACACATTAAATACCTGGATATAATAATTTATTTTTAAACAGTGTGGAGTCTTATCTTGCCTAGTTACCTTTTAAGTTCAACACATTAGTATTTTAGCCTAGGCTGGCTACATATGTTCAGCAGGATAAACTTAAAACTAGAAATGCGTCCATGTAATTGGTTATTTAAATATGATCTTGTAATTAAACCTTGGCTTCAGTGGACAAATGGAGCATAAGAAAATGAGACTAAAAGTAGTTTTTTTGAGGTTTTTTTGTTTTTACAGTGTTTATATTTTCTTCCAGGTTGAATTGCTTTGTGAAAATATTCAGAATTAGTCCCACTATTGACCCATAGCTTCATATTTGGTTTCTAACTCCATTTACTTGAAATTGTCAAATCACATTACAAATAGTATTAGTTAATTGTAGCCTAGGCAGTTCAGTGAACATAGCCAGAGACAACTGTCCTTTTATTTGGTTCATGGTATATATACAAAATATTTGGGTCTAAAGTAGCTGTTACCACTCCAGAAAGAGATCTTGGAGTCACCATGGATATTCTCTGAAAACATCTGCTCAATGTGCAGCAGCAGTCAAAAACGCGAACAATGTTAGGAACCATTAGGACAGAGGTAGATAACACAGAAAATATCATAATGCCGCTATATCAGTCCATGGTATGTCTACGTGTTGAATACAGTGTGTCGCTTTGGTCACTCCATCTCAGAAAATATTTATTAGAATGGAAAAAAGGTACAGAGAAGGAAAACAAAAATGATCAGGGGTCTGGAACAGATTCCGTATGAGGAGAGAGTAAAAAGCCTGGGACTGTTCAACTTAGAAAAGAGACTAAGGAGGGATAGGATGGAGGTTGATAAAATCATGATTGGTGTGGAGAATGTGAATAAGGAAGTGCTATCTACCCCTTCATGTAACACAAGAGCCAGGGGTCACCCAACAAAACAAATAGGCAGCAAGTTAAAAAACAGTCATAAAGAACTACTTCTTCACCTAATGCACAGTCAACCTGTGGAACTCATTGCCAGGGGATGTTGTGAAGGCCAAAAGTATAACTGAGTTAAAAAAAGAATTAGATAAGTTCATGAAGGATAGGTCCATCAATGGCTATTATCCAAGGTGGTCAGGGATGCAGCCCCCTGCTCTGGGTGTCCCTAAACCTCTAACTGCCAGAAGCTGGGAATGGATGATGGGATGGGTCACTCGATAATTGCCCTGTTCTGCGTTCTTTCTGAAGTATCTGGCACTGGCCATCGTCAGAAGATAGGACACTGGTCTGACCCAGTATGGCCGTTCTTTTGTTATGTTCTGGAGTTTTCATGTTGTTTGTCTAATTTTGAGTCTGTGAAAGGGAATGCCTGATATTTAAACAGAATTTTAAAAATACAAATTACTTTTTCATCATTAGTGCTGTTTACTGCTTTCACTCTGCTCACTTGGGCAGTGAAATGATGCTGGCCAGTTTACTTTCTGGTTCTTATGCATTAGCAGAATGCTGCTGATTGGATTTCCAGTACTGCAAGAGGATTAACTCTCTTCCCCCCCCCCCCATCTTTAAAAAAAAAAAAAGTTTCCATGGGGAAAAATGAAATGACAATGTTTGTTCTTGACAGGATTTGTAAAACCTCGTTTAAAAAAAAAAACTTTAAAAATCTTTCATTAAACAGTGGATCTAAACAAGTTGAATGTTTGGCAAGCATTGAAATTTTGGTTTGATTGTAACTGTTCAAATTATATTTTTAAAATCGCCTTATCAATGATTTGGTTTTTAGTAAAAATATTGTAAAGTACAGCTGGACAGTTGTGTTAAAGATTCTCTCTTCGGATAGCTAGTCCCAAAATGCATATACTACACAAGGCCTAAAGCCGTACCCTGGATTGGGAGCATGAGAACTTTAAAAATGTACATCTTTTTGTGGCGCTTCCCAAGTAAAATCAAAGGCAGTTTTGCTTTTGTAAGGAGAATGGGATAGGACGCACTGCAGTCACATATCTTGGGGACTAAATGTAGTTTGGAATTCCCAGACTGAGAAGCCGAGCAATTGGCCTTTGTTTCATAGAGTTTAAGGTTTACCCTTTTCTGATTTTCAGGTGGTGGCCAGCTGAGATCTGCAATCCCAGGTCGGTGCCTCTCAACATACAGGGCCTCAAACATGATATCGGGGACTTCCCAGTATTTTTCTTCGGTTCACATGACTACTATTGGGTACACCAGGGCAGAGTTTTCCCTTATGTTGAAGGAGATAAAAGCTTTGCTGAGGGGCAAACTAGTATTAACAAGACCTTCAAGAAAGGTAAAATTCAACAAAGTTTATCGTGGTTTATAACAAAACTTCCACATGTTTGTTTCTACATCGTCACTTAACTTGCATGGGAATTATGTGGCTAGTGTTCTGTGTCTGTGTTAAGCTGCAAACTCTGTATAGTGCCATTGGATAGAGGCTAAATATTATTAGCGTCTAACTTCCTCCCTCTCTGTGCTGTTGGTAGGCAACCCCAGTTCTTCCCCACTTACTTAAAGATGTTATGAGGTGGAACCTGGGCTCTGATGTAGAGGGCCACCCCATAGTGTTTAAATATCTACTGAAAACCACTTGGTTTAAAACTCATTCATGCTGTAGTGTAACATTTCATTATTAGCTTGTTCTTTGTAGATTTCTAATTCCTAGCTTTTCAAAAATGTTTCTCAGCAGCAGCAGCCAATACTAATTCCTCCCCATTTTGGACTCCCTTGCACAGCACTTGAAGAAGCTGCAAAACGCTTCCAGGAACTGAAAGCACAAAGAGAAAGCAAAGAAGCACTAGAGATTGAAAGGAATTCAAGAAAACCCCCACCTTACAAACATATTAAAGTGAGTCCTCTCCTTTGTGTGAATGAGCTATAAACAGGGAAGCAAATTGTGGCTTAGAAGAAAATTCAGATAATCAGTCTGCCATCCTTCAAAGTTCTCTTCTGGCCTGCCTTGTTTAGTACCATAGGCCCTTTCATTGTTATAAGGAAGGTGTAAGCATCAGTAAAAGGGACTTTGAGTTTAAGGTCAATTGTACTGAAGACAAAGAGCTTCGATAATTGCAAGTGGGTCCCACCCATCTCAGATGAATCTTGGGGCTTACTTACCATTAAGAAATTATATTAGCATTGAAAAATAACAAACTATTAGTGTGAGAACTTAATTTTGAAATCTGGATACTAAAAAGACGGTCTAGATTTTTTTTGCCAGCAACCTTGGGGGCACAGTACCCCAGGTTGTGCACTTATCTATTTCATTGTACTTTATAATAGTTTACATTTTTGTATGCCTTAAAAGAGTTGCCATACTAATACACGTATCATAAAGCCTGAAACAGTCCTGTCCCACGTTCTGTGCTACACACCTCATTGCTGGTTTCTCTGAACACCTGATATGCTTGATTGTTAGTGGTGAAGCAGTGCCAGATGCAACCTCTGAAAGTCCTAGATTGCAGAGAAGTATTTTTGCCTCGTTACCTTTTCTGAGTTGACACACTTCCTTTTAGAGAGGAATAGAAAAAATACAACTGCCTCTGATGTTAGTAGCTGTGTGTAATAGCTGTTGTTTTTGCCTACATTTTGAAATACCTTGACAGGAGTGGGCCTTGATTTAAGTGGTTCTAATCTAAATTCTGTGTGTGTGGCCATAAATCAAAATGTATCCCTTGTGTCTTTTTTTGTTTTTGTTTTGTTTTGTTCCACAGTCCAACAAGGTAATAGGGAAAGTTCAGATTCAAGTTGCTGATTTGTCAGAAATCCCTCGCTGTAATTGCAAGCCATCTGATGAGAACCCCTGTGGCCTAGAGTCAGAGTGTCTGAACAGGATGCTACAGTATGAGTGTCATCCCCAAGTGTGCCCAGCGGGAGAGCGCTGTCAGAACCAGCGCTTCACCAAAAGACTCTATCCAGATGCTGAAATCATAAAAACCGATCGACGTGGCTGGGGGCTCAGGACAAAAAGGAACATTAAAAAGGTAGAATTTAGGACAAATACTGAGCTAGCCATTAAAGAGTGTGTTTGAGGAGAGTGCTGCTACTCTTTTATTGTTTGTACCTTGAAAGAAAATGTATCTAAAAGTTAATACTTTCAAGTGAATTCGTCCTACACACAATTGTTCCTTTAAATTTACAAGGCATGAAACTTCCTCAAGTGGAGGAAATGATAATAAATCCAACTTCATGGAATATGAGACATCTGGCAGAGGTGTTTTTTTTCAGTTACAATGCTTTCTTATAGAGTAAGGGTCAGATTCAACTTATTATAAATTTCATTGGTGATGGGCAGGAGATGAGGACTATCAGTACTTCTTCTAGAAGGTAGTGATGTACATAAGTTCTCATATTGACTTCGGAGCATGGAGGGAGAGGGGAAAAAATAGTTTTTTAGATGGTTTCAGATGCTCTTTTGACCAAGCCTGGCTATTGAAGATGCTAAAGTCTTAGAGGGATGGGAATAAAAAATAAAACACACCTCCATTATTTTCTCTTTCCCTCAACCCCAGAGTTAACACAGCAAATGAAATTAATCACACTTCATGATATGAAATAACTCAAAGGATGGGAGATGGGGCAACCTAAGGTGGTGAGCCTCTTTCCGAGGGGTTACGTCAAGGTAGCTTTCTGTACTTTCTTTTGCCTTTTCTTTTAAACTCTTACATGATAACATGATCACTCTGCAGTTCCCAGTAGCAGATTGTCTGGATTGGGAGTGGGCGGGGATGCAACATTGCTTTTACAAACGTCTGGTCACCAGGGAGCTGACATAGCCTCCTTGACACTCAACTCTACAGACTGGATTTATTTCAGAAGAACTCGGAGGGGAATAATAAAAGGCTTGTGGTGATCAGGCAACATTGGACAACACGCTTAAGTTCTTGTTTAAAGTTCAAGAAGGCAGAGAAGAATAATGAAGATACAGAGATTTCTGTTGATGGACATGGTGCAGTTGTTATAACTGAAAGCACCAAGAACTGATTAGCTTCAGGAAATACTGAGGACTTAACATAAATGTTAGGATGATTGGAGTCCTTAGAGGAGTGGTAGCAGGTGGGGTAGCACTGATGGGTGGGGTGGGGGATGAAAGTACCTTTCCTGACTAAGTGATAAAGATACTGGAAATGGATCATTTTGGTTTTCCTTTACACTGTATCGCTGCACACTGTATTCCTGGGGACACCAGTCTGGGATTATCCACTGGGATTCAGGTGGGATGTGCAACAGTTGATATGGAAAAACAAAATCTTACACTGGATTGCAGTCTTGCTCTACTTCGAGGCAAGCATGAGGATGATGGGCCTGGATTTCACGGCTGCTTTAACTTGCCAGGCAGAGGATTGGATTTGGTGGACAGATGTATGTTTTGCTCTTACTCATGCAGGCTTCGTTGTTTCTGAACAAGGAGGAGGCTGAGCACACCTGAAGAGTGGAAGATCCAGCTCTGGCTGCAGATGGAATGGACAATTAAGACTTCAGGACAAGTTGTTGTTTTTATCATTTGACCTGCATCTTCAGAATTCACTCCAAAGCACTATTTTGCTTTCAGTTGGCTTCATATTTTCTTCACTTTAAATTTGCACACATCTTGCTAAAGAAGGTATCCTAGAACTTCTCATGGCGAAGGCACATTCCATAGTTCTGGTGGACTTAAACTCGATGTAAGGTCTTCACTGCGATTCTCTGTTAAATGAAGCTATCTGCTGTCCAGCCTGGGGATTCTGATGTGACATTTTGGATTGTAGCTGGATGTGATTTTTGCGCTGTTGGATGATGATGTGTTTAGCTCCAAAATGTAATCTCAACAGTTAGACAAAAGCAAAAAGATTCTGAATTGTCCTTAAGTTATATGCTGTTTAAATATTACACGTAGATAGTAGAGGATTATCTACTAGTCTGAAGTGACTCTGCAGTACCCAGGGAAATGGACTTGGGCAAAGGCATAGTAGCAACTTTTAACTGTGAATTCTTTGCTTTTGTCAGTTCTGATTAGGGTATCTACCTTGTTTTTGTTTAGTAACTTAGTTTACTGTACATAGAAATTTGGCATAGAGAAATGTTGTGTGGGGCCTAAATGGATGTGTCATGTATTCACTTGCCTGTGGCAATATCAGAGGTGTTTGAACAAACCAGTTTCAAATGTGAGTTGGTAACCACTGCTTCAGCTGAAACTGTAAATCTTTGATTGAACTTGGGACAGTTCTACTCATGGGAACTTAAATAACTTACTAACAAGTAACTAGAGGAAATCATAGTAAATTGACAGAGAATACATTTTAACTCTCTTCAGTTCCTTTCTGCACCAAGTACATGGTAAATGTTCATAGCATTTTTATGGTGGATTTTCTATGAATTTTCGTCACATACTAAGTATGAAACAACGTATTTGTGTCCTGTAGGAGCTGTACTAAAAATTCTGTCAGTGGCTCCATTAGAAAACCCCTTTTGGGGACTTGATTAAACCATCTGTTCCAAAATACACAGGCTAAACTTAAAGGAATTTGGTGGGGAAAAGAGAGAGAGGCACTTTTGAAAATTTCATCTCAGAGATGACAGATTTCTCCAAGTAATTTAGGAGTCTGTGTCCAGTGGAGTCTAAATCCCATTTCCAGGAATGACTTAAGTGCTTTTGAAAATGTTATCCTGATGATCTCCTCCTGCAGTACAGCCTCTTCCCCTTCAAAGCTCCAAAATGTGACGGACATGATTCTGTTCTCTCTGGAGCCATTCCCACAACCAGCTACAAGAGCTCTTAGCTTTCATAGTCTTTTGTCAGACTGGTGACACCACATAGTCTGTAACATGTTGGTACTATTTTATTTAAAAAACAAAACAAAAAAACCTTGAAACTGCTCAGATGCTTGTTTGACCCTTAAATTTGAGCATCTCAAAGAGCTACTTTTGGAAATGTTTAAGCATTAGAACTGTTGAGACTGTTACAATAAAATGACCCTCAATGTGCTAAGTGTTAACTCCCTTGTATCAAGGTATCATCATTTCCTGGCCATTTCAAAGTCCATCATGTGAAAGCTGGGAACAGTCAGCCTGAAGGCTCACTTTTAACTTGTTTTTAGTGGTTTAATTATTTAAGCCAGTTTTGTAATATCTGTTCTACATTAAAACTTTATCACAAACTTTTCTTGTTTGTTATTGACTGTTAAAAGTCCCATTAAAATGAATTGTTGAAATGCTATGCAGTGAAAATGTTTAGCAGTACAGTAGGTTGTGTTGTCCTGTCAGGTTGATATTCTGTGGGCATCTGTATGTTAGCATGAAATTTTTTTTAAAAAAGGAAAGCATGTGACTTAAAATACTGCCAGTGAACCTCCAAATAATGTAGAATCTTGTAGCTGTGCTGCTGTAACTAGGACCGGGGCATGGAGAAGCAGTCTTAATTCTGGCTTTGCTTTTGCTTTATACTTAATAGTACACAGTGCCTAAGGGATGTTTTCTCATGGGTGTTTGAATATATTGTTATAAATGTGTGCTCATTTTCTATAGCCTGACCATACAGATCCTTTTTTAAAAAGGACAGAAGTACAAGCAGAGCCGTGGACACGCTATATGCAATCGACCAAGAAAGATACAACTCATTAATCAAATGTGTCCTTCAAAATGGGATAACTATTTAATTGCCGCTTTATTAAAAATTCTAGGTGTGATGCTTCCATTTTGAAGGACAGTTCTGTAACTATTCTAAACCTTGAGTGCATGTGTATTTTTTCTGCCCTGGTCACTGTTGTGTAGAACTTTTATTTTAACCAGTTCTCAATACTTGGATTATCCTAAGGAGCCACCCTACTTAGGCCTTGCAGTGGACAAAATTGATCCCTCAGGGCTTCCCATCCCATTTTTCTATGCTTCCTCCCTCTTTTTAACTATACAGATCGCAGGCAATAAGCATGGGTTTCTTTGGTTGACTTTGCAGGGTGAATTTGTAAACGAATATGTTGGTGAATTAATTGATGAAGAAGAATGCCGATTGCGGATCAAACGTGCCCATGAGAACAGCATAACCAATTTTTATATGTTAACTGTTACAAAGGTAAAGCACCATATCTCCACAGTGTAAAATATACTGCTGCTTACGGGACTAGGCCTTAAGATCTGGGATCGGAGGATCAGGGTCCATGTTTAAAACACAAGAATTACTTTTTCTTTCACTTCTAGCTCAAATGTAAGGCATTTCGTGCATGTGGAAGGTCCCAGAGAGTGAAGTCGTCATTTCATACAGCGGGTACTTCATGGACCATTGTGCCTCAGCCTTGACTTAGTGGGGCTTCTGTGGGGTGTGGGAAAATTAATTCCCACGGTCTGTTCAGTCCATAGTTTGTCTGCTGATACTGTCAACAAGACTGTCAGTTGGAGTGGAATGTGGGCACCTGTCTGATAGAATTGCATTGCAATTCCAGCGTATTTCTGATCGGTCACCAAACAGTTGTATTTGGAGGGTAACTCATTTAGGTCTCTATTGACCAGGATTGGGGTTGAACCAGACATGGAAGGATCCAGAGCTCATTAGCAATACCGTAAGCCATTCATTTCTCCCTGCATAAGCGCTGAGGAGCTTTAGGTAAAAGTTACTTCCAGGAAAAGCCAATATCCATTATAACTCATTTATCAAGTATCTGTCTAAATATATTATCTGCAGTCATAGCTACTTGACTTGTCAAAGGAAGACTTTTGTTTGTCTGATCCTAAATCTGTGTTTTTGTCTCTTTATTGAAGGACCGGATAATAGATGCTGGTCCGAAAGGGAATTATTCTCGTTTTATGAACCACAGTTGTAATCCGAACTGTGAAACGCAGAAATGGACGGTGAACGGGGATGTTAGAGTTGGCCTCTTCGCTCTCTGTGATATTCCTGCAGGTATAAAGAAGCCTCCATCCTGCATGTGCCCTCCTCTCCTAAAATGGAAATCAGTTGCCAGCTCACCCACTTTTTACCTTCTGAAGTTATTTGGTCTCATTGACATTTACAATTACTTTAAGTTACCCATTGGGACAAAGAAAATGCACAATTAAGAAGTTCTAGCTCTTCATATGCATAGTATCATTAGGAGCAACTTAAAATGAAATGCAGAATATTAAAGATGAAACTTGCTTTATCACAAACAAACAAAAAATATCAAGGGCTTCGCCTAACGCTTGAAAACACAGAGAAATTCAATGTTAACTCTTTTTGCCATGTCTGCTTAGACCCCCAGTTTCAGATCCTTTCCCTAACATCAGATCTGGAACAGCCTCCAGATGCTAAACATTTTGTAACCAATCTACCACTTTAAACAGATTAAAATGATAGAGTAGCCAGTGTTTCTCTATGATGTGTAGAAAAACAGGGTGTAGTGCTCCTGTCTGGTCCAAAGCTATGCTGGCACTGTATAAACAAAGCAGAGGAAGGACGCTTTGTCCCTTTTCAGAAAAACTAAAGAACAGTAATTAGTGTTTATCCAAATGGGAAAATGGACACAATCAGTATAGGAAAAAAAATATTTGGGGCTTCTATGTGAGTGTATTCTACCTAGAAAAGAGTGTTTAAAAAGAAATTATTTCAATGCTATGTTTGTAACCAGGCTCGTAAGACTTAAAGTTCTACAACCACAAAATTATTGGTTGTTGAATCATCATTTGGTTTTTAGAACAGAACAAAACTGAGTTGTTGTCCTCAGAACATGGATTCTGGATCATTTGTTCTGCCTTGCTATTTACAACTTCTCTAGTTGTTGCTTCATGATTATGTTTCATCTCAATATTTTGGATGAAGTTATAAATATTGTGATCTTGTAACTATGCCCTTTTAAAAATAGTGGTGGTAATATGAAGGGAGAAGATGCTAAAGCTGAATTGCCACTTGTGTGTTTCTCCCCCATGTCTTATGTGTGTGAATAGTTTTTCTTTAAATTTCAGGGATGGAGTTGACATTTAATTATAATTTGGACTGTCTGGGCAATGGTAGGACTGAATGCCATTGTGGAGCAGAAAACTGCAGTGGCTTCCTAGGAGTACGGCCGAAGGTTAGTGGTACAGAAATAAAAATTGAGCTCAGCGCACTTGTATTGAAATTTCTGTTTCTGGGAGGAGAGTGAATAGAGATCTGTTTCATGTCACGTAATATCTGTTTAGTACCCTGAAGGTTCCCCCAAAGGCTTTACAAGTTTGTACTACAGTAAATGTACCCATCTCTAGGATGGAAGAGAGCAGCCAACCAGGTTGCTACCGAGACGTGGCATGGAACAGGCCCATCATGTTCAGGGTACCTGACTTTTTTTTTTTTTTTTTTTTAATAAATCTTGTCACATGTTTTACTTCTGTTTTTGCCGTTCCTATATGGAAAGCATTGTGAAATTCCCCTGCACATTTGAGGATCTGGAAACTTGTTATGCTTCGTTCTGGTCCCAGCCCAGAGTGCTGACCTTAGTCAGCTTCTTATGAAGTATTATCTCTGTAGGGGCAGAGATGTGACTGAAGTCTCTGCTCACGAAGCTATTATGCATAAAAGCTCTCTGAGGAAGGGACTGTCTCTCTGTGTGAATACAAATCCTACTGCAATAGGGACCAATCATCCGTGGGCCTTTGGATATTACCATCATATTACAGGTTTCAGAGGAACAGCCGTGTTAGTCTGTATTCGCAAAAAGAAAAGGAGTACTTGTGGCACCTTAGAGACTAACCAATTTATTTGAGCATGAGCTTTCGTGAGCCACAGCTCACTTCATCAGATGAAGTGAGCTGTGGCTCACGAAAGCTCATGCTTGCATCATATTACAGTTTGTAATCTGATCACTAATAGTAATCTGGCAACATTCTAACTTGTTTCAAACCTGTGTGCGGCAGGAGAGATGGAGATGGGAGTCACTGGATACACTAAACTTTGTTGAGCATGCTTTGCAGAAATAATAACCCACAGTTGACTTTTGGGGGACATATGGCTTTTTAAAGTGACTCTTACTTATTGACTAAAATTGTTAATGCAGTAACTTTTTTGCTTCTGATTGCCAGACGGCGTTTGCAACAGCGAATGAAGAGAAGGCAAAGAATGCCAAGCTAAAGCAGAAGAAACGAAAAATAAAAACAGAGCAGAAGCAGATGCATGAGGACAACTGTTTCCAGTGTGGAGATGGAGGAGAACTAGTCATGTGTGACAAAAAGGACTGCCCCAAAGCATACCACCTCCTATGCCTTAACCTGACTCAACCACCGTTTGGTAAGTGCTTTCCCATGGCCACCAGATTCTTTGCTTGCTTCAAGGATATCATGCTGCATATAAAGTTGTAGCTTAATCCGAACTGTGATGTCCACCTACTGTAAATATGACAGGTTTGCTTTTGCAGTGCTCTTCTGTATTGAGAAATCTCCTTAGGTAGCAATATTTCTAAAGAAAGATCTGTGTGGAGACATAGATCACAGCAAACAGTGATAAAGCTGTGACTTCATTGCAGAGTCTTTCTCCTGTTTGGATCATATTTACTTATTTTATTTTGATTGGAATAATTAGTCAGTCTTGGTCTCATATGGCTCCCAAGTTCATATCACGTGGTAATGCTTATGACACAAGCTATGCACAGCACATGCTAGTGCTTAAATTTGTAACAGTCTCTCTAAATCTCTTATCTTCTAATCATGGGGGTTTTCTTTGGGTCTCTCTTTTTATTTTTGTCTTTTTCCTTATTAATTAAAAAAGGGAGCTCTTTGTAGCCTAGGTTCAAATTATCCAGCGATAACTAGCAATAGCAAATTGTGGTTAAAAACAAAACAAAAACACTTTATCCTGGTTTTAAACTATCTGTTTCTAGAGGCCTCGATCAAATTAACTGGAGGCTCACATTAATCCATGACTGAATTAAGTGGAAGATTTTGTGCTATGAATGGAGTTCAGTCTGAGATGTGCCTTTTCAGGACAGCAATATATGGAAGTACAGAAAGCTTCCTTCCAAATTTTCTTTACTACAGACATAAATTATTACATTTGATCAGCAAGAAAACACTGGTGAACGACTTTGAGAAGTAAATTTTGTTTTTTACCTGGCCTGGTGGAAGCAGACACAACCATGCTAGAGATCTGGAGTTCTGGCTTGGTGCTGTTCTTACTCTCCTGACTAAGAGTCTGGGTATGCTGTGGATGCAGCGCGTTATGTCCCGAAGAAGGAGAGTGCTTCCTGTTTTCTCTACAGCAACCCAGCTTAAAGGAATATAGCATGATTTCAGTGTGAGGGAAAGGAGAAGCTGTTAACTTTCCTTTTTGACATGCTCAGTCTAATTTTACAACCTGACAGTTTGGCATGTGGTTATGCTAATGCATGCCTGCAAGTTTTTGTGATGGTCTCTGTTGTGCTTAAATATGGCATTGCCCGATCCCACTCTTGCCTGAGCCACCCTCTCATTGATGACTCCTAACTCAGCCATTCTTTGTTTTTCACAATATAGTGCAGTGTGATTCTGTTATAAAGATTGATTTAGGATACCCATTTCAGTGTATCCAAATAATTACTATGTTCAGACCCAGAAGACAGTGAATTTCACAAGTCAGACGTGCATAGACGCCAAGTCTCTATCTTGCAACTACACAATGTGTTCTGGTGCCAAGGGAGGTGAATCTGGTTACATTTGGCTCTACAGTGCAGTAATGTTTTGCTTACAGTCAACCTGAAGCTCAAAAATATAAATTTGTCAATAACAACTGCTTCCAGTCCAATCCTTGTGAAAAAGACAGATGCAGGAACTTCAATAAAAGCTGGCTTTTGGGAAGTATCTTTTATGCATAGAGTTGAATGACTCTGTACTACATGGAATGATAAAGATCAATTCCACTATCTACCCCAGATAAAGACTAACTTCAACTTCCTGTCTCTTTCCTTTCTCTCCCTCTCTTCTTCCATCTCCAGGAAAGTGGGAATGTCCATGGCACCAGTGTGACATCTGTAGCAATCCTGCAATTTCATTCTGCGAGTTTTGCCCTCGTTCGTTCTGTAAAGATCATGAGAAGGGAGCCTTAGTGGCATCAGCATTGGATGGCCGTCTCTGCTGCTCTGAACATAACCCCAAATCTCCTGTGGCACCAGAGTATTGGAGCAAGATAAAATGCAAATTGCAACCACAGAACCCTGGAGAAGAAGCAAAGGAATAAAGTTGTTAAAAAAAACAAACAACAAATGGCAAATAGATGATGAACTTGAAGAGACTGCTATGACACATTCAGTCTTCATCATCAGCGCTGCCTTCTTGGAACTGGGAAAGGGACCATCTAATCTTGGCAAGCAGAAGCAGTCAGTGGTGTCCGTTTTTTTTTTTTTTTTTGGGGGGGGGGGGGGGGGGGGGGTGTTTCTGTTCTTGTTCTTTTCTTACCTTACCTTACCCTTGAATGTGCTTCAGCAGCCCTTACTGTTGGAAAACGGAAATGTCTTAGCTTTCTTAAGGGGAGAAAAAAAAAAAATCAAAAAAAGCAAACCTTTTGACGTTGAAAAGAATATTGTGTTAAAATATGTTCTTTGAGTGTAGAAAGGAAAACATAACATATTTATTTATTTAATTTTAAAGGATGTTGAGGATTCTGATCCTGATCAGTCAGCGTGTCTAAAAAAAATAATTGAGTAGCAAAACCAATCAGTGTATGTCTAGTTATTAAAAAAGGGAGAGTACCAACCCTCTGCAATCTACAAACAGCTTTCACGTAACACCAGGAGGAGTGATGTGGGTTTCAGAGCAGTGGACAGTGAAATGCCTTCATTCCAGCTGCATTCATCTTTAAAGGTCTTTTGAGAAGATGGATTTCATCTCATCATGCTTAATTTATTATGAATAAATGTTGTAAAGATTTTCACATAGGAAATTAGGAGTATTATCCACATTTCTTTTTTTTTTCTTGAAGTGCTTTTTATTTCACTAGATACTTTTAATAAAAAAGGGGAGGGGAAGGAATTATGGTCCCTCATTGTTAAAATGAGCGGTGTTAGCTGACAAAGGAAGCATAGAAAGAGCTTAACTGTGCAATGGTCACTTTTCTGCCTCGCTTCGTTTGGAGGGCAGTTTGGGTGGAGAGGATTCATGGACAGCTTATGGACATTGCACTACATTCTTCATAGCAAAAGCCCTGATCCTGCTTTTGTTGGAGTCATTGCGAGCTTTGTCATTGACTTCAGTGGGTGCAGAATTGAGCTGTTTTCTATGTATTTATCAGATGTCTAGTCTGTGCTTGTTTCATGGTGATTCTCTTAGAGCCTGATCTTTTGGTACCTTCCTCCCAAACTCCTATTGGTTTCAAAGGGAGTTCTTGAGTGTTAAAGGAATAGGGGATCGACCCCATGTGTGTATTATGTGTTTTTAAAAGAGTTTTGGGGAGCAGGGGTGTTTAGATTTGCGGGGGTGGGGATATATCTCACAATTGAATTTATCTTCATTGGTTTTTATCCAATAGTGAAAAATCAGTTCTTAAAAGCACTTCCTGAATTAACAGGGTATATATTGGGCCTACACTAAGGCACTCAGTCTTACAAAGTACTGTGTATATCCCAGTATAGTTAGCATAGTCAACTGTAATCCTTTAATTTGTAGGCAATGGCTGGTGTACTGATATTACCAGCTAACTTTACACTAACTTTCTGCCACTGGGTGTTCTGGAGCACCCCCACATGGAAGGAATTAATACAAGGCATGGCTGGCACATGGCAGAGAGAATTTTTTTATTAATTCTGAAGAACATTCAACATTGTCTCTGGGAAAATGTCTGCATAGACCTGCAGGTACATGGTGGCATCTCAGGTCCAGAAAGTGATTAATAAAGGGGTGGAAAATAAAACTATAGGGCTTTGGAATATGGCTCACCTTTGTACCAGGTTTCCATTTGCATTCTCAAATTATTTCTAATCCAGTGAGAGTGGAGGTCAAATTTGTACTTTTTTTCTTTTTTGTGCAATTGCAAAATTAACAAAATACACTACAGCCTTTGAAGCACCTGAAATGCCACTTCACTGACCTGGAAGCTATTCCTCTTGGAACAATTTACAGATCCCTTTCCAGTAAACTCAGTTTGTGTGGGTTTTTTTGTTTTGTTACCTAGTGTAGATCTCTTATGTGATCTTTGAGTTAGTTTATGGTTTAGAGTGCTAATGGAAAATGCAGATTACTTGCCCTGTTGTGGCCAATACTGAAGTGAATGTCTAAAACACTAATCTTGCTTGTAAGCAGTGCTATATTTTGGTATTTTTTACAAAAAAAAAAAAAAAGAGAGAAAAAATTTAAACAAAATAGGATTTTATTTTTCTTAGCTTTTTTGTTTGTGATAAAAAAAAAAAAAAAGCTCTTAATGGAGGGGGTTTTCACCCTTTTCTAAAATTCCAAACACAGCTCTTTCCTTGGTAGTGTCCCTAAGACCTGGTCTGTTTACATTGTATAATAGAATGTTAGGTTTTCTGTTGTTCAGATGATTTTTGGATATAGTAAGCCAGAAAGTGCTGAACTTTGCAAATACTGTATGATGAAGTGTTCCCATGTGCTTTCTTCTATAGTATGTCAACACTGTCTTGTCATTGATTGGGGAGGAATGGCAATGTCAAAATGCCTTAAGCATTTGAGATGTCAATGAGCTGACAGCTGTTTCAAAATATTAATTGCCATGTGAAATGATCAAAATATATTCTGACATATCAGCATATTGGGCATAACGAAGTATGTCAAGGTACTCTGAAAGTTTAGCAAATCATATAATGCTGTGAGGGTCATGGAGTTTAGCAAATCATATAATGCTGTGAGGGTCATGGAGTCAGTTGTCACTCCATGTCACTATATCTTTAGTTTCAAAGTTCTTGCTGGTTGTCCTCTCTTGTTTAATCCTTTACATAAGAAAACTGTAACTGAAAGCAGCCAACAGCTGGGCTGAGACCTGGGTGGTGTGAGGACAAGGATAGCTTTTAAATGTGTATAATTATGAGTATAAAACTTGAATTGGTTTTCTACCTGCTGGACAGAGGGAGAATATCCAAAGCATCAGGAAGCTTTTTAGTGAAATAAGAGAACATCGGGTTGAAATAAATTGGTGATAACTGGGGATTCTCTTTATTTAGATGATGATTTTGTATGCAGAACACAGAATATGCTGAAAACAAATTTTAACCATGTTTTTGTAACATTATTTAAAGTGAATGGAAGAATAACTTAACTTTTGTAGTAAAGCAGAAATTTGTTGCTATAAATTTGTTACCGTAAATATTGACATTTTGATTTATCAGTATTTCTGTGTATTTTGGGCTGTTGAATTCAACTTTCAGTGTCTCTAAATTGAACTCTAGGAAAAATGCTAGAGGGGGGGGTTTTGTTTGTTTGGAAGTTTTAGTCCAGAGTCCTACAATTTGCTGCAAAGAAGTGAATGCTGTGGTGGTTTGTTACTTCCTGGCTGGAAAATAAAGTGCTTCAATTAACAGTATATAATAATCTGGCAGCCCTTTCTTAAGTGAAGGAGGTGCCAATCACATTGGTTTTTCCCCTCTCATTTGGATTTTTTTTTGTCTGCTAAATGTTAAAATAGGGTCAGACTTTCAGCAAACTCCTGACTATAGATGATGATGATCTGCTGGCTACACAGTAATGCAATACTTGAGCTGCCCTGCACAGATGTTTCTGGTTTACTTTACTGGAGCCCTTTTATTATAGAGTATGCATCTTAGTTCAGATCAGAGGTTCTGTGGACCATGCCCTAATGGTGTAAGGATTAATTACTGCAGTTTTCCGATAGTCTGTAAAATTGGCTTGTCATCTCATCAGTAGGACGTAAGAATGGAAGGCATTTGCAGATCAGGACAGCTAATTGTAAGGGCAAGTTTTTCTGGATGAATTATCTTCGCTATGTTTACCACCAGAGGCTTAGAGAGTCTAACATGGAATGAAAGGGATAGAATGTTTCGTTTGGCCTTTCCACTAAAAACTTGTTATATCTTAGTTTCCAGGTGGAATCGGAAAGACATATTTACTAGACATAATAGAAAGTGAACTTCTAGACGTAAAATATGTATATACTGAAATTAACAAAAAAAATTATCTGGGTTGGGTTAGGGAGGTGGGGTAGGGGAATGAGAATGTCTGCCGCTGGTACGAAGTAGTCACTTTAACATTGAAACCTCTGCCTCATTGAATTCAGGGTTTAATGTACTTGAAGCTCTGCAGTTCATTATTTTTACAGCTATTTTATTTATACATAGATAACATTTTTTATATACGACATTAAAAGTCTCTTTACCTCCCCCCTTAACTTGAGTTAAAAATGATTTTCCACTCCCAGTGTATTCAAGGCAAAATGGAGAGAGTTTTTCAAAGCAGATGTCTCAGACTTGTGTGCTCTTAATGAGAAGTGTATTAGTGCATGAGACACCAGCAGCTTTTTGACTTTTTGATGTCCTTTGCTTTATAATATTGTATCCACTCCCTCAACCCCTGCCACTTATTTTTGTATAGCAAAAGACATTTGCACTTATGATACACTCCTGAAATTCTGGATGTATTCAAGATGTCATTCAGAAAAAGAAGAAAAATGCTTGTTTCCTATTATATTCTACTCCTGAGTGGCAAACTCAGGTACTTTTACCCTAGTGAGGGTGGGAGGATTATAAAATTGAAACTGTCTGTACTTCGTATAGGACAATATAAAAACAAAAAGGGAAAATAGATATGAATTTGCCAAAGCCATGCATTCACTGTTTGTCATGTGGTACTGATTGTATTTGTGCACAAGAGTGAGACAGCTGCCATTTTTAATGGTGTCTCTTCTAGCTTGAAAAGCAACTGTGGCTATATGTTTGATCCTCTCCCAAACATTTGTCCCATAGTGTAGCACTGGACGTTTTAAGGAATTCTTGTTCACTTTTGATTTACAAACAGACTGGATGAAATACACTTGCTTCCTGTTCATTAATATTGATCCATATCTCATTTCTAGTGTCATATTTTTTTAATTTATAAGCAAACTAATCATGTTGCCACTGAAAACCAAGACGATAAATAACTATTACAACTGGCTAGTAATTGTCTCTTTTGTATAAGGGTATGTGCATATTTGGGGTTGCTATTAAAATTTAACTCATTTGTATCTACACAAGTGATATTGCACAACAAACACAGATACCTACAGATTCTGTTTTCATTTCCATGTAATCTTTATCTGTAACAATGACCTTTGTAGAGTCCTTATTTCTGTAGATTTTGTTTATCTGTAACAAACTTTGTAGATTCTGTGAAATGTTATTTTAACTAAATCACTTGAGTCTTTAATAGCAAAGCATCAATATTCACTAAAGTCAATATCTTAGGAGTTTCTAGAACTTGGCTAGAAGCTCTTGACACTAACAGAGTAGTGTTAATTTTCCCTGGGGATGTTCCACTGGGGCATTACTGTATTATGACTTGATGTTGCAGCATAGACTTTGAGATATACAATATTGGGATGGGGGGTTGTTGTTTGGCCTATGTTCTCTTGCATAGTGTGAAACCTGTAAAGCTTGGTTAACCTGTATATAGATAGCTTATTGTCAGCTAGTTATAGTGTATTTAGAATTGCCTGTAATATTTTAGCTTCTTACTGAATGTTGTGATGGTAGGATCATATAATTTTTGTACATTATATTTACTGAGATGTTGCCTTTTTTATTTTACAAATACTTTGGAATTCAGATGTGTTTTTGCTTCTGTGAGGATTAATTTGGAAAGGGTTTTAATGACATTCCACTGATTTAAAATTTTGCTTGAGGTTGACTTCAATAAATTGTTCTGAATGTTCCAATTAAGAATGTGAATTTTTTCATATTGTAACTTTCAGTCTATGGACAGAGAACATAAACAGTCTATGGCCAGCAACAAAAACACACCGCAAACAAAGTGACCAATAAACAGATATAATGTAAAATATTTATTGACACCAGTGTGTGAATTCAACTGAGAATAAAGTTACAAATGTGGTCTTTTAGAAAAGCTCTCTAGAAAGAGCCCCTATGTATTTATAATAAAGCCTCTTTAACATGGATGATCACAGAGCGAAGGCCTGGAATCTATGGAAAGCAGTCTGCAGTTCTGTTTTACAAAGCACACCAAAAGGAACTTTGTACAACCAGAAGGAACAGCTCGTATATTTATATTTCAACAGAGTCAGTTGCTTTGAAAAATAAGTCAAGGTCTGATTCTTTCATACTGGTTCTCTGGTGCTGTCATCCTAGCTGAACTGGAGCATTCATCTAGCGTCTATGTCTTAGATCTTTAGTCTATATTTAATGTTTGTGCTTTTCTAAATGTATGTGCAACTGCTTTGTGATCTTACATATTGATTGTCCTTTTATAAAATATTGTCAGTTGACATTTATACTAGTAACTGTGCTTCATATGGGATTGTTGAAGTAGAGGTAGACCAAAGACATTAATGCAGTACCACCCTGAATTCTAGTGTTGTTCATTATTTGTAGCTGGTGCTTTTCTATATGTCTAAAAGAGGGACTTGGTTCAGTAGGAAAGGGGTTTTTTTTTTGGTAATCTCTGCCAAGTGGCTTAAATGTTTCCTGTTGGTCTTATTTATCTAGCACCCAAAGTGTACTGGACATTTTACAGACACCTAAGAGGAGGCAGCTTAATCTCAGAGGTTTCTGCACAAAAAGGTAACCTACAGCCCAGAGGCTGAACGTCAGAATTTGCTTCCTTATTAAATCTTTTATTTTTAAGCCCTTGGTTTACTGCTTGCTCTGTGATCCTTGCCAATTCCCCTTGGGTGTATCTTTAAATCTTGCTTCATTTGTAAAAGGGATTATTTGGTGAATTCCCTCTTCTCCCACCTTTTTAAAAAGTAAAACATGAATTCTTCCCCCTGTGATTTTATTTTTAAAGACATTCTAAAGATCTAGCGCACCAGCAGGAGTAAAAGCTCCTCCTGGCCACGCTGTGTTCACGGTTCAGGTCGAGCCTCTTGGCTCCCCCGTGGAAATGCACGGGAATTACCTGCAATGCGCCAGGGCCGTGAGTGGTGCTGGGGGTGTGGTTCCCGGAGGCGCTGGCTTTGTGCGGGTTAGTGGGGTGCCTGGCGGGGTTGTGCTGCTCTGTGATGGGGTCTGTGTAACCGGTGGCCGGGGCGGGTTTTCCCCTAACGGGGCCGGCCGGGGCCGCAGCAGCCGCCGGCGGCGCTCGGCAGAGGGCGGGCGCGGGCTGCAGCCACGTCGCCGGGCGCGGCCGGGGAGGAGCCGCCGGGCCCGGCTGCAGGGAGCGGCCGCGCCGCGCTGCCCGCCCGGAGCATGGAGGGGCCGCGGCTGGTGGCCGAAGTGGGCGCGCGGGGCCTGCTCTTCGGGGCCTTCCTGTGAGTGGGGCCCGGCCGGGAGACACGTGGCGCAGGCGGGGGGGTCCCCCGGGAACCCCCCCCCCGTTCGGGATACGCCCGGGGAACCCCCCATATAGCGCAGATGGGGATCCCCTCGGAAACCCCCCCCCGTTAGGGGCAGGGCTAGGGTTGGGGAACCCCCCACCTTAGCGCACAGGGGGATCTCCGGGGCAGCCCCCCCATAGCACAGATGGGGATCCCCCTGGGAAACAACCCCCCATCAGGGACAGGGCGGGGGAACCCCCCACCTTAGCACACACGGGGATCCCCGGGCAGGCCCCCCCATAGCACAGATGGGGATCCCCCTGGGAAACAACCCCCCATCAGGGACAGGGCGGGGGAACCCCCCACCTTAGCACACACGGGGATCCCCGGGGCAGCCCCCCCCAATAGCACAGATGGGGATCCCCCTGGGAAACAACCCCCCATCAGGGACAGGGCGGGGGAACCCCCCACCTTAGCACACACGGGGATCCCCGGGGCAGGCCCCCCCAATAGCACAGATGGGGATCCCCCTGGGAAACACCCCCTGTTGAGGGCAGGGCCAGGGCAGGGGAACCCCCCACTTTAGCACACATGGGGATCCCCCCCAGGACAGCCCCCACCCTCTTGGGTGCTGTTGATGTGATCCTTCTGTGCCAGCTGGACACTGGACTGAGAGCCAACCCTGCTGCTCATGGCACTTGGGCCACCCGCTGCCAAGCGGTAACTCTTACCGGTAGCCTGGGCTGCACTGTGACTTAATGATGGGAGGCTCCGGAGACAGACCGCCCTTGTGGTTGGTATCTGTGGCACCCCAGAACCAGGGGACAGGCTGGATGGCAGCTACAGAGAACCTGCTTTTAATTTTTGGAGATTAGGATAAACCTGTCCTGGTGTGGAATGCCTCATTTTCTCCCCAGTGTAGCCAGCCTGCAGGGATTCAGCAGAGGGGTATGTGGCTGACTTGGCTTGATGTTTCCTCTTTCTGGTCACTTTCAAAACAGAGGAGGTTCCCTCCATTGAGAGAGAGGCCTTGACTATATAGGAAAGCTGCCTGTTTAACTTAAACTGGTTCTTAAATTGATACAGTTAAACTGGTACATGACACTTCAATTTAAACCTGCTGAGTAAAGTAGAGATTGGAAGGTAACAGATGTTGTGGCTATATTTAAGAATGGCTCTGGATCCTGGCAATTACAGACCAGTATGCCTTACATCTATACCTGATAAATGGACTGAAATGATAATTGAGCTGTGGGACTCATTGCCACAGGATGTCACTGAGACTAAAACTTCGCAAGAGTCAAAAAGGGACTGGATCGTTATATGGATAAAAAGAATATCCAGAGTAGTAACTAATGTTAAACAGGGATATTAAACCTTGTGCTTCAGGGTTTAAGCCAATCTCTAACTATGAGAGATCAGAAGGAGCCCTAATGCTGACCATGGATTATCCCACATTTACCTACTGCAGAGTTCTTGGACCTTCCTCTGAGGCATCTGGTGCTGGCCACCGTAACAGATACGGTACAGGACTAGAGGGACCTCGCCCTTGGGTCTGATCCAGTCTGGCAATTCCTGTGAGATAAGCCGCTCTTAAATCAGAATCTGTGTCCTCATAACTTTTTGCAGTGGTTTAACTATATTGGTTTAAATTTACACCTTAAACCAGTGTAGTTTTCTCATGTAGACAAGCCCAAGATGCAACCTGCCTACTCATTAGGCAGTTAGGAAGATAGGATTGGACATATCTGAGAATACCAATGATCCATCTATTTCAGTACCTAGCCTCTGACTGTATTCGCAAAAAAGAAAAGGAGTACTTGTGGCACCTTAGAGACTAACCAATTTATTTGAGCATGAGCTTTCGTGAGCTACAGCTCACTTCATCGGACGAATTCATCATTGCGTCCGATGAAGTGAGCTGTAGCTCACGAAAGCTCATGCTCAAATAAATTGGTTAGTCTCTAAGGTGCCACAAGTCCTCCTTTTCTTTTTGCAAAGACAGACTAACACGGCTGCTACTCTGAAACCTGACTGTATCCTGTAATTGATGCTTCATGGTCAATCATCCAATAACCTAATTGGGAAAGTTTTCTCCTAGCCCCAAGCAGTCAGTGGTTGGTGTGTGCCCTGAAACATATGGTTTTATCTCATATATTTTTATCATAGCTAGTATATATGAGAATGGAATTCATATTAGTCATGTAAATAGCTAGTGCCTTTTTAAATTCGGCGGACCTCTTGGATCCTCTGGTAATGAAACAGAATCACTGTGCTGGCTGGGTGATTTGAGTGTTTCTAACAATGCCTTGTGGCAGTAGGTGCTTGCAAAGTGTTTCATCAGTTTCAACCATTGTTGCCTTTTAATTTCATTATGTGTCTCCTTGTTCTTGTATTGTGTGAGAGAGTAAGTAGGAGTCACTCAGCTGACCACCTCCTTAGAACTACCCAAATCCCGGCACTAGCATGCACCTTTCCAAAGTGTTGTTTTTTCTCTAGGATCATGGAACTTCTGCCTCCATTTGAACGTGTCATACAGCCTGAAGAGATGTGGCTTTATAAAAACCCATACATAGAAGCGGACCATGTACCCACCAAGCTCATGTTTGTAAGTATTCACTCAGTTCACTAGACTCTCGTCTTAGGTTTTTTCTTTATAGCTTTCCTTTAAAATAATAGCTGTCAGCTAAAAAATCATGGAAACAAACACTCTTCTTAATTTACATGACTAATGATATTTTAGATTATTAGAAATGAAAGAATGTTTAAAATCTGATGGACCTCTCTTTACTGGTGCTCTGAGATTACTTTTTGCATTTCAGCTTGGACACTGAAAATCCGTTTCATGTTCGTTCACAGTCAGTTTTACTGTCAGGTTCAGTGCTGCAGAGCTTCGCATTTCACACACTGCCAGGGAATATTGTTTAAAATCAACTGTGAAATTGTTTCTGTTGGGCTAAGTTTTATAAGCAATTGTTTTTAACAAAACCTCACCTTTTGGGCCAAATTTTTGGTGATTTAAAAGTTTGTATTGGACGTGAGGTAGGAGATATAACTATACAACCAAGCCAAAGAAGAGGGAATGTAGATCCCTAGAGAAAGAGGAGGCAGGGGAAAGATGAGATGGGAAGAGAGGGAGAAGTGATGATCGATTGGATGAGTGGTTACTGGGTGTCAGTAAACTGCTGATCCAACAAAGCACTTTAGCATGTGATTAGAGTTAAGCACATGCTTAAGTGCTGTGATGACTGAGAACCTGAATGAAGCTCAAGAAGAATGGAAATGTGATAGAGGATTATAGGCACACCCTCAGAAAAAAACAGGCTTCTCTCTGAAGACTGTTTACCTACTATAGCTGCAGGTAGCACTTAAGATCATTATTACTGGAAGAGAGAATTTTAATTCTGTATCACTTCCTATAGTGAAGCCAACTGCATGTACTGTGCTGCCCGGACACAACTTCCCCTGCTGTTTGTGTGGGGCTTCACATAGCAACGGGGGAGAAAAAGCATTTAAAATAGGAAAATGTGATTATAAAATCGCAAAAACTGAACTCCAGTTCAGGGGTAGGACGGGAGATTAAAAAAATGTGTTAACAGTAAACTAACCAGCTTTCAGGTAGACAGTGTTTTGTTGATGGACTCTGTCCCTTGATTTGTGGAAGTGGCATTCCCAGTGAGATGCTGCAGTTCTTGGATTGGTCAGTGGCTTTGGGGGCAAAGAACTACGGTTCCTTTTTGTTGAAGAGGCAGGTACAGCATGTAGGAAATGCTAAAGGAGAAAACTCTTGCATGGCATTTGGATTTGGTGAGTTGACCTTTAGGTCAAGTGCCATGTTAAACTCCCAAAGTGACAGCAAATGACATTTGGGTTTGTCTGACGACAAGAGCATTCCCTGGAGCACTGGGTATTGTGACACAATCCCCAAGAGTCCGTTGTCCCTGAGATATCAGCAATAACAACTGCTGTCTCCTGACAGCTGCTCTTGTTTTTCTCCCTAGCAAACAATTTCAATGCTACAGCTGATGGATTAATTAGTTAATATTTGCAAAGCGCCTAGAAAGTGAAACATGCTCAGGGGCCGTAGTGTTCTCAGGAAGCAACGTCTGACTGAACAGCAGCGAGGGAGTGCCACGGTGGAAGTGATGTAGGAAAGCAGGCTGAGGCCGCAGTGTGATTATTTAGACGGCTCCTACAATGTGCTTGGCATTCTACAGAGGTATATGAACATAACCCCCTTAAGAGCTCCCCTAAACAGAAGCAGCAGCAGCAGGGCAAGGATATTACACGGACTGGAGCTTTTTAACAGGCAGAATTTTTGGCTGCTGTTCTTCTTTATCTTTGCTGTCCTTGTATCTGGAGAGCTCCCGACTGATGGCCATTGCACCCTGCAGGTTAGGGCATTAGTGAGAGCTGGATGGCAGACAGCAGAGAGGAAGCCGTGCTACTGGTACCTACGCTTATTCAGTGTTCGCTACCGATGCTAATGGCTGGGATCAGCTTTCGCTTTGTAAAGAGCGAAGGGGGGGAGCACTATTTGGTTTAGGGGTGAAGGTTTTTAGCCTCCTTTAATAGCTCATGCATTGATTTTTGGTTGGGAAGCCGCGGAACAAACGTGCAATGTTGTGACTGTGCTGTCTTGTCTCGTTGCAGTTAATTTCGTTTCTGTTTCCCCTGACGTTCATCCTCCTGGCAAAATTCCTCATGAAAGTCGACCGCAGAGACACGCAGGAGGCCTTTTTGGGTGAGCTCCCCCCAGCAATCCTGACAGTCGCACCAACAACATTGCGCTGAACTGAGGGCATCCCTGGGGCAAACAAGCTCTTGCTCCTGGCAGCAGTAACACCCAGTGGGTAAATCAGGGTGGATCAGTCCCCAGCACGTGGGACACAGAGAGCATCATTGTACTCATGCAATAGTTTAGAGCTGTGGCTAATGTCACAGCCTAGGGTGGGGGCATCACCTTGTTACGACTCAGGAACCTCCGTGTGATGGAGAATGGGCCTGAGGGGAGGAGGGGTCTCTTGAATCCATGGCTGGTCTCACACAGCATGTTGGCCAGGGTGCATTAGGGAACTGGGAACTTCCTCCTGCCTGGGGTCTGTTCGCTGGACTGTCTCCCACTATCTGCCTTTCACTTACTGGGCAACATCCTGACTCCACTGAAGTCAGTGGCAAAACAGTGGCTTCTGTGGAACCAGGATTTCACCCATTTTTCTTAAAAAAAAACCAAAAAAAAAAAACCACCACCACCTCTGTGGGCTGGAACATGTGTGCTTAGCCCTTCCCAGACCATCGTCCACTCTTGTCTGACCCAGAGTTCAGCCCTTCCCTAAGGCAAACACCTACAGGGAATGCTCCGTGTTGCTGGGCAAGGCACGGTCTTCCCCACTGCCCATGTGCCGCCTCTCAAGTCAACTCAGATGCGCAGACCAATGCAGCACCAGGACCAGCTGAAGCATCCCTCTGATAGAGGCTACTGATTAGGGGAACTCCTCCAACTCCACCTGCAAAGTTTCTCCAACCCCTGCTGTGGGTGTGGGCGGGTTAAATATTAACATGCGTTTGGTGCTGAGCCGGCTCTTCTCTCTCTTCCAGCTGCCAGCCTTGCTCTTGCCCTGAACGGGGTCTTCACAAATGCTGTGAAGCTAGTCGTGGGGAGGTAAGAAGGTCCATTAATTGCCAGCGCCCACAGACCCAGGCACTCAGCAGTGCACTGCCTGTGACTGGCTGAATTTTCCCAGACCCTTTTGGGGGGAAGTGTGGGGACAGGCTGGGGGCACTCTCTTAACCACAGAGCAGGGGCTGTTTTAAACACCCACCCTCAGTGAATTTAGTGTTGGGACAGGCCCGATGGCCCTGGGGAATGACCCTTTGTGTCTCCCCACAGAGCAGCAGTGGCAAGGTGAGCTTTCCCTGCATGCTGTCACCACTGCACTAGGCTATTCTTGGAGGGTCTCTACCAGGCTCTGAGGGGCATTGAGTCATTGTAGCACATTCGCTCCTCTGCCAGTTGAGGTGTGGCTACTGGTCAGCCACAGTGCCTGGGACTGGGACCCCCCCACCCCAACCCAGGCTGCTCAGCAGCTTTTGGGGGGCAACGACTCTCTGTTCTAGTCAGGCTCTCTCACTTCCAGAGCTGCCAGCCACTTGAAGGTGAAGGACTCCATACCCCATTCTCTACCCCTTAGCCCTTCCTTCCCCGGGACCCTTTTCAGAACCCTGTGTGGTGAGTTTGGGTGCTGTGTGGACAGCGTGGGTGTTTTGAAGACTCCTCGAGGGCTGTGCTGGGGGGATTCCAAAGCAGGCGGGCAAGGATGCCCTCTGGTGCTTTAGCCTGAGCAGGGGCGCGTCCAGTCAAACCATGCCAGCTGCTAAGCGTCTCTTCCTCTGCATGGGGCAGGGTCACATGCTGTGCTTTGCTTCTCTGCCCATTAGGCCACGGCCGGATTTCTTCTACCGCTGCTTTCCGGATGGACGGGCAAACTCCAAGCTGGTGTGCACCGGTGATGTGGACGTGGTGACTGAGGGACGCAAGAGCTTCCCGAGTGGGCATTCCTCTTGTAAGCGTTTGTTTCCTCTTCGTAGTGCAGCATGGGAGAACCAAACAAGGGTGAGCAGGTGCCTGGGAGGCGGGATCAACTTTGCCACTGTCTTGCCACGTGGCCTGGGGCATGTTCATTGACTTCTTGCCAGGCCTCACTTTTCCCTCTGTAAAATGGCGGTGCACAAGGCTCACTGCTGTTTGCAGACTCACTCACTCTCGAGTGCCAGGTATCAGTACTACCTCCCTGGCCCTGCTTTTTGCCTAGTTGTCCTTTCAGGACAAGCTCAGAGGGGTCCTTTATACTCTTAAATCACTCCTGGTAATGGATGGCCCCTGAGCTGAGCTCTCTGGGCCTGCTGGGGCTCTCTGAGCATGGGTTCCTCAGTGATGTGAATTTCCCCCTTTTGTCCAGTTGCCTTTGCTGGTCTTGCCTTCTCTGCCTTGTACCTGGCAGGAAAACTGCACTGCTTCGCCCCTGGCGGGCGTGGAAAATCCTGGCGGCTCTGTGCTTTCTTATCACCACTGCTCTGCGCACTCCTCATCGCTCTGTCCCGCACCTGTGATTACAAGCACCACTGGCAAGGTGAGCATGCCAGCCGGGGAGAGGATAGCAGGGGCAGTGGGTTGTCCTGTGGGAACAGTGTTCAGTGACCATGGTGATGGGCACCACCGAAGACCCTGGATAGATAGAATGGGGCACTGAGTGGGATGAGGGAATGTTGGTGAAAGAAAAAGTCCTTTCCGGGGTCGTGATCTCTCTGGGAAATGTGTGTTCTGCTCAGTGCTAGAGCTGAAGATTAAGTGGCAGCTCTAACTGGAGCACCATGAGCAGGGCAGGCATCGTCCTCACTGGGACTTTCAGTTCCGCTGTGTGTCGGGCTTGTAGCTGTGCCATGGGACGGGTACTTATGAACGGGAAAGTGTCTTTGGGGATCGCTGCCTGAAAGAGACCTTTGCTGTCACAGTCATTGCAGGGGGAGCTCTGAACAGCCGTGGGTTTGCCACGGGCCCAGGTTGCCTAGTGTCATGGTATGGGAGCACAGCTCCGTGTGTGAATCACCCTGTTGTTTCCACCCCACAGATGTGCTGGCTGGCTCAGCGATTGGTTTCACATTTGCATACCTGTGCTACAGGCAGCATTACCCTTCCCTGACCGACTCAGAGTGCCACAAACCATTGCAGGGTAAAGCCAAGCTGTCTCCAGCACAGGAGCAAAAGCTGGCCAGCTCCAGCTTCCTCCTGGAAATATAACGATGGGATCCACTTTGCTGGCACTGGCCTTTGGGTAATCATTCCTTCCACTCTTCAGCCCACAGGGTGGGGAAGGGGTACAGGCTTTGGGAGCATTACTCACTGCCTACCCCAAAGGAGAACACAGCTGATAGCTGAATAAGAATTGTTCCCCTGCAAATGCGGTAAGTGGTCCTGCTCAGCAGGCCTGTGCTCATCTTGTTTGAGAGAGACTCCCCTCTTTCAGGCCAGCCCTGGAGGAAGCTGTGTAAGTGACTGTACTCTAGCTTGCAGGAGGGAGGGGAGCAGTCGGGCTACGACAACATCTAAAGCAAGAATTGGCTGTCTGTGAGAGGAAGCTTGGTGGAAATCCTGAAGTTGCACAGGGCCATGTAGTAATGAATGGAGAAGTCAGCCCTCTCCCCTGGAGGAGGTCATTTTATGAAAGGACAGCATGCACATCAGAAGAGGCTGTCAGTGCTGTGTTGTGGGTACACAGCATTTACTGTGTGCATTTAGAAATAGCACCTGCTTGGCCCCCCCTGCAGCCTGGGCACACTAGGTATGGTTTTGTTAAAGAAGTTGTGTCCTACCAAGCAGATTTCCTGGCGTGGCACCCTGGCTGGCTTTGGAATTTCTCCATGTCATATTGTTGGACTCTGCACAGAGCTCTCCAGCCCATTTGTAAATACATTTGCTTCCAGAATCCTGCCTGAAGTCACAGGGGATAGCTGGACCTCCCACATCCTGCCAAGCAAAGGCCAAGGTCAGCACTGTAGAGCCATCTGATGGGCATGACTGCCTAATACCATAAGGGGCAGTCACTCATGGTCCCACTGCTAAGAATTACGACTAACCTGGGGGGAAAGAGATGCTGTGGGGTTTTATATTTGATTCCAACCTAGAAGCAGCAGGGCGGTGAGATGGCGTCTCTGTACAGCACTGTCCAGGGGCTCACTGCATTGTAGGGAGGATATGTTGCTCCATCTGCAACCCTTAAAGGTGAAAGGATGCAGCATCTTCCCTTGTAGGATGTTTCCCTGTGGACCAACTGTATGATTTGCATTCTTGTGTTAATTTCAAACGTACTGTACACCTGTGGTGAGAAAAACAGTAAGTACTGGAACTGTTGACTGTGCCAAGCTAAGGCCTGTAAAAGTACATCCCGTTAATCAACCCTAAGAGTTCAGAGAACTCACGAGCTCAGCCTTACTGGGTTTTTTAATGTCAAATAAAAAGCTGGTTTTAATTCAGTGAAACGAGTTCTGTTCCTTCTTGGCACTAGAGAACATCCTCCGTCTTTATGTAGCTGCCTCATTTTATGTGAAGTAGGTCAGCTTTATCTGTCCACTGCTTCTGTGTACACAAAGCATGAGAGGAGCGAATGACCTTTGGCTCCACAGCTGTCTGAAATCTAACCCGAAAAGAAAGTAGCAGTAATTTCTTTAAGGTATAACCTTCGAAAGCACCTGTTGTGCTGGCTGGAGGCTGTTTCCTACATAACTGAAGGATAGTAACAAGTGAGCTACGCCACTTTCAGAATTGGCTCTCTCTTTTGTTTCATGTTCTCTGCTTCCAAGGACAGAAGCAAGATGAGAACAAGAAGCTGAATCATGGGTTTTGCTGAAAAAACTCTTCTCCTTACAGCAAATGCACTCCTTTTATAAGCAGCTTTCCCTGCCCATGAACAAGGAGGTGCTTGTAGTTAGTGTTACTTCTAAATTCTGTTTTCTCTTGTAATGCCTGTCCATTGCAGTGGCCTTTTGTAAAACGCCAAGGGCTCCTCTCGGGAATTATGACAACAGCTTTACCTTGCCCTGAAGTTAAATCCCAAAGTAATAGGTTCTCATCTCCTTCACACACAAATACAACCACTGCAACCATAGATTTACTTTTGTATTGACTGGAAAAAGACATTAAATAACAATTTTAAATGAATTTAAATTTTTTACACAAAGTGCATAACTTGAAGAGCTGGTCATGACTGTGTGTCCTGTTATATACATACCTCCAGGAGCTTAGCTGTGCAAAACATCACTGCCCACAGTCAGGTGTGAGTACAGCTTCTCTTAGTTCTTTGGGAGGGGGCAGGGTTGGGGAATACAAAATGCATTTAAATAGTGCAAATAATACACAGAAGAAAACAAACAAGCTCATTGCACTGTACAGAGCAAAGTTGAGGGGGGGGAGGACACATGGTAGTAGCCACTTCCAGACCCCAGCCCAGAGACACTATCACACCCTCCAGCATTTTGCTCAAGGGAATCCACACACTAAGGGGTTAGTTTAGTCCACTGTTTACCCTGTACATCTTTGGTTACAAGGGATTTATCATCTCTGCCCCATAAGTTACCTGTACAGTACTTCTAACAGCAATCATTCCGCAGCTCCTGGTTACTACAGCATAAGCCATGGCTGTGTACAAAAGGTTGCTATGGTTTCACCAGCAGGTTGGTAGCCACTTTGAACTCAGCGCTGTGGAATAGGTGTGGTGAAGGAGAGCGTCTGGCCCATGAATCGCCCTGAAAGCCTCTATCACCACAGCTATTCATCCATACTCAAGTGCAGCTATACTTTCGCCTAATGAGGTCTTGACTGAATCCAGATTGAATGCTTTGCTAAGGAACTGGACATGCAGTTGGTCTGTCCTCAGCCCCCTACTACAGTTAGAGAGGGCTTAAGCTCCTCTTCCTTGGACAGATGCCACTCCTATTGCAGAGGGGTTTGGCCTGTGAAAGGAGAATGGAATTAGAGCCAGAAGCCAGGGTGGTTCAGGCTTCATCCCTTCATTGATATGCCAGCCTCAAGTAGCCTAGGGCTCTGGGTCTGTTAGAAACATCCTGCAGTGGGCTAGGCAGCCTGAACTCTGCAGTGAAGCCATACTTGGGTTTATTCCTAAGCCTTGGGCTAGTTCTGTTAATAGTAAATAAGCAGCAACCAGACATCTTCATGATCTGGTGTAAAGCAAGGAGCTTAGGAGACCAATTCCCACCTGCTGCAGGTGGACACCCAAAAGAAACATGCAAGCCTTACAAAGGAGTCCTATTTGGCCTCCCACTGCAACATAATTCTACAGGCATGATTCAGCTCGGGTGTCCTAGGGGAGCTGGCCACTTAAAGCAAAGCTGTAGCTTACCATACCTGGGCAGAGGAGGCTGTCACACTATTACTAACAGGCCCTGGAGCAGACTGGAGGAGGTATACTTAACATGCTACCCATCCTGGGCATGCAGAATAGAGACAGTCAGTCATGCGAGAAGGCGTGTAAGAAAACCAAACGCTTAACAGCTGTCTGCACTTCCACAAAGGGTTGGACTGCTGTGCCCTCTAGAGCTCATGGCATCTCAGAAGGCCCCGAGCCAGCAGACCTCATTCCCCGCTTTGCTACTGTGGTTCTAGGGCTGTAGCATGGCATGTGCCCAGGGCATTAAAGGCGTTTTTCACAAGCAACACATTTACTCACTAACCAGGAGTCAATACGAGGCCCTGAAATCTCCAGCACCAGATCCCAACCACCTCTCTTCTGTATTTATACTTGGAATAGCTTGTATTGCAACTTACGAGGCAGTCAGATTAGGCGGCTGAATGGTGTTGGAGTGAACGATCCCATGGGTGGCACAGTGGGCACAGGGGCAAGTCCAGAGTGGGTATTTTAGGAGAAGAGTGTTTTGCCTTGATTTTTTCCCCCCAAAATGAGAAATCTCCCAGTGCTCCAGGCAGCAGCAGGTTCGTGAGAAGCAGCATGCAGAATACAGTAGCAGCAGAGGATAGGAAGGCAGAGGAAAATCCGGGCTTTCCAGGTGAGTAGTCACTTGGTGTGCATCTGGGGAAGCAACAGGAAAGGGCACACAGCTTACAAGGGAGCAGGGTTTATGCAGCATTAAAGCCTGAACGGATGAGGGGATTTCCCATGTTGGCGAGTCCACTCCCACATAAGCCAGGAGCACATCTCAGGCCATTTCCTAATGCACACGAATCACATCACAAAGTTGCCACCACCCCAAATGCCATTAGCTGTGCCAGACTTTGGCACTTTAGTCAGGGTTCTAACACAGGCCTATAAGCAGGGGACTGCTTGTTTCATAGCAACACAGGATTTCTGTCTCCAGTAATGTTCATCCAGTACTAAGTTCACTTAATCACCTTCCTGAGTAAATAATGAAGTTTCTGAGGAAAGAGTGAGCGATTGGGCAGAGAGAGTCCAGATTCCTTCTCTTAACACCATGGGGTGTATTCCTAGGGAGATGATTTTCTCTGCATGGCACTGATGAGTCCATCACTGGATATTCTTTCTAGACGCGGTGTCCATGGTTTAAAAAAGGATGCTGAAAAATGGGGAGTGTTCAGACAAGAGCTATAGGAAAGATTCAATGACTGGAAACCATCTTGCAATGAGAGCAGTCAATAGAGTTTAATCAAATAAAAGGTAAGAGGTAGACTGTGATCAAGTCACAAGTACCTTCCCAGGGGAGACGGGGGATACCAGAGGGCTCTTTAAGCTAGCAGACTAAAGCACAACAAGATCCATTGGCTGGGAGTAAAAGCTAGACACATTCAAAACAGAGGCCCTTGTCTTTAGTTTTTAAACAGTGAGGGTGCATGGACTGGAACAGCTTCCCCAAGGTGATAGAGCCTCCCTCACTTGGACTCTTTCACCCAAGCGTGGATCTTTTTATTGAGACATCCTCTAGCTCAACCACCAGCTCTGGGTCTTGCTGCAGGAATCACCGAATGAAATGCTCTGAGCAGGGGTTTGGAGGTGGTCAGACCATCTGGCTTTAACTTATGAAATTGACACTGACCAGACCCAGTGGGATTGAACATGTGGGAGAGTCCCTGGGGGTCTCCGCTGAACGGCTCCATTACAGGCCAAGTTACTCCGCTTCCTCGCTGCCCAAACACAGCGAAGAGCATGAATGCCTTGGAATTAGGTTTTAAAAGTGCCTTCGGTTTTAGTTACAGCCCTTGGGAACATTCCTAACGTGACAGACGGTAGCACTGGCCTCGTCTAAGGCACCGTGCTGTAGAATAGAATGGTCCTAGCTGAGACACCTACGTCCTTAACACCCACTCCCAAATAAAGTACGAAGTTATTTCACAGTAAGCATGTCAACGGCTGTCAGTTTCACCGCGAGGTAACTTACATCAAGTGCAGCTGGTCATCTGACTTCATTGGAGAGGCTGATCTAAGGTAACGCCCTGCGTTTGGTAGATCTCTTTCAGAATCAAGAGAACGGTATCTTCTGACTCCCTGGAAGAGAGGACTGTTAGAACTACACAGACACCCATATGCTATTTAACATTCTTACAGAGAACACATGGCAACCCCTTCATTCCGGAGACATGGGCTGCTATAGGCAAGAATCATACATAACCTGTTTGCCTTTTAAGTGACTGGAATCTACTTGCTTTCACCATGTCAGCTTTCAAGGTGCACATTACAAGAGTGTGAAGGTGCCAAGGACCAGATGGAGAGTTTGAAAAGAGAAGGCTAAGGAGATCCTCACCAGTAGCAGAGATGGCCTTGTAGTGCAAATAAATATTCATTAAAACTCTCTATAGGCTTCTCTTGCAGCACGTAGTCAATCCGGTGCCCTCCATTTAGCATTCCCACATTAATAGGGGCAGCGTCTTCCTTCAGTGTAGCAGCAGGCTCTTCGGGCTTCATATCTGAATGGACTTAACCCAAACAACGTGGTTCAGCAACAGCTCAGCTCCGCACCCTTAGCAGCAAGAGCACACTAAGCCTGTCCTGCGCTAGCAGCAGGAAGGGAACTCCCACAGGCCCAGGCCTGCGTTCTGCATTAAGAATGGGGGAAAGGGGCTTGGGTTTAAGGCAGTTGCTGTGAGAAGCAAACCCCACAGTGTCACGGGCTTGAGTTAGCAGGGACTGCACTTGGTCTCCCTCCCTGCTGTGTATAACCAAAGCAGCAGGTTGCAGAATGACACTACAGGGAGAAGGTGTTTGGCATTAAGATTCACACGCTGGGATTCTGCGCCCCAAGCACCAGGCCTCTCCCACTCAGGCAGTAGAAGGGAGTGCAAGCTCCTTGGGCAGAGGTCGTCTCTCATGAGGCACAGTGTGGGGTTGTTAGGCAGTGAGAATGGGAAGATCACGGCAATAAGGAGACCCTGGGAGTAGGTATCCAGGTTGCTCTGGGACAATTCATTCGCATCCTCGTTTTCTTCAAGCACCAGGAGAACTAGCAGCACTGAGCTGTGGCTTGGTTCTGAAACCAATTCCTCCCTTCTCATTTTTTCACCTGTCTGTTTCTCCAAACTAGTTTCAGCTTCGTTTTCAGTGGCTGCTGCCTCCACGGCCAGCAGTGGGGATCTGGTGAAAGACTGCCAGGCTATCCTCAGTGACCCCAGGAGGTTGTTCTTGAGATCCATACCCATGCGGGTCAGGCCCTCTTTCAGTTCTGAAACACACAGGTGCCTGAGGTGAGGCGTTTGAGCAGAAACATGCATTGCATAAAGCAACAGCGTTACAGACCTGCACCGAGCCGTGAGGAAGGCCTGCTCTGCGCTTTACCTAAATGCATTCTCTTCCTGCCCTTGTGGTGGGGGAGCAGCATGGGCTCGAACTCCAGGTCTGGAACGATCATGGGCTCAATCCTGTACGCCACCGGGTCAAACTGCACAGAAGGAGAACAGCGGCACTGACTTTGGCTCTACACCCACCTAATCCCTGTCCCGGGGGGGAAACCAGGTGCCCCCAACATGAGGCCAAAATGGAAGCTACACAATTAAAGCAGATAGTTCCAATGCAGACTGCAGGAGCGCTCGTTCCCTACCCCCAGACAGCTAAGTCATTGTTAGTTGCTATTCCACAGTACAGGATAGCAGAGAGGCCAGGGGATTGCTGCTCAGAGGGCGAAGCTTTAAGAGCCTGTTAGCTACATCAGATCTCGCATGCAAGCACTAGAGATTGATCATACATACAGGATGGAAGATATTGAAGAAGCCTTTGCAGGTAGGAAGGCTGTAGTTTGGATCAATCCTTTTCACACCTCGGACGGTGAGAAACATCCCAATGGGAGACCCAAAAGCAAAGAAGATTTCGGGTTTGTAGATTAGCTGAGGGTAATTTGCTGAGACCTAACAGAGTTAAGACACAACAGAAGTGTTTAGACTCCATCCTGGCACCGTCAGACAATACCATAGATGGCCATGCGGGAACTTCCCTCAGAGGATATTGTTTGTATCAAAGTAGCACCTAAGGCTTCCACCAGAGATTGGAGCCCCACTGTGCTGGCCATACCCTGAGGAGTCAGGGCACCAAGAGGGGCAGGGACTTGCCCAAGGTCACACAACAGAGCCAGGCTCTTCTGAGGCCTGGTCACTGCATCGAAGGCACATATCCTGGCCAACGTGTTATTCCATCCTGCCTGAGCAAAAGGGTTAAAGGGGTCACACGAGACTGGAACGAGCTGGGGAGTCTCGGCTGCATCTTTAGGCAAATACATACAGAGAGGTGTGAATGTGGCAGGATTCTAAACTAGGGCCAGGAGAGATCTGCACCTCGGGAGGAGCCTGCTCCAGGCGGAGCGCCAGCGCGAGGCCTATAAGCCACTTAAACAGGAATTCAGAGGCACCTGGTAATGGCACCCTACGTGGGGTGCATCTCAGCCTGGCTTCAGCATTGAGCTACTTACAAGAGTCTCCAACTGAGATAGTCTACAAGCAGCTGAGGCCAATGCATTACCTGTAAGGCTGGGGAACAGAAGGGGAGAGTGGGCTGGGGCCTGGTGACCACCATGACAGTAGCTCTGCCCTCAGAATTAGAGACTGTCAGAAGCATGGTGAAGTGACCCTCAATTAGCAGCCATCACCCCCAGAGCTCTGTTGACATTAAGTCTGAGTTCTGCATATTACACATTCACTGGCTTTACCAGGCCACATCAACAAACGGAGTTGTTACCTGTCCTAGCCCGACATCCAAATATTGACGCTTCCCCCCATCATTCATGCTCCTACTGGAGCCCAGCTGCGGGGATGACCCTGACTCAGGCTTGGGAGCATCTTCACCCTCATCGTCATTCCCAGCAGGGACATGGGCCTGCTGCTGAGCATGCTGCACCAACAAAAATGGGAGAGTGCGCAAGGGTTGTCCCCTGTGAGCTTCCACACAGCCGCTACGGGCATTACCCAGAATCATAGAACATCAGGGTTGGTAGGGACCTCAAGAGGTCATCTAGTCCAACCCCCTGCTCAAAGCTAAATCATCCCAGCCAGGGCTTTGTCAAGCCTGACCTTAAAAACTTCTAGGGAAGGAGATTCCACCACCTCCCTAGGTAACGCATTCCAGTGTTTCACCACCCTCCTAGTGAAAAAGTTTTTCCTAATATCCAACCTAAATCTCCCCCACTGCAACTTGAGACCATTACTCCTTGTCCTGTCATGTGCTACCACTGAGAACAGTCTAGAGCCATCCTCTTTGGAACCCCCTTTTAGGTAGTTGAAAGCAGCTATCAAATCCCCCCTCATTCTTCTCTTCTGCAGGCTAAACAATCCCAGTTCCCTCAGCCTCTCCTCATAAGTCAAGCAGCAGTTAGCTCACGTGGGCCCATGTGCATGGGTGAGCCAAAGGGACATCACCTGAGGTAGTGCATGGACTGGCTCCCCAGTTCCCAGTGGGGACATGCTGAGGATACTGACAGTTTATTGGGAATGGCTCCGTTCATACAGCACAAGAGGGTGGGAGGCTCTAGGCTCTAGTGTTCTGGACGTGTCCGCTCCGCCCAGCTGCAAAGCCTTGAACAGCTGCCAGAGAGAGACCAGCATGGCTCCAGATGTGGAAGAGCTCTGCTCTTGCCTCTGCCCCAGCAGGAGCTACCGCAGACCACTCCATGCCTAAACCCCTTGACATAAGCCAAACCCCAAGTAACAGCTGTCCAGCAGCTCCCCTTTCCCAGAGTTCCCACAGCAGCAATTCTCAGAGCCCAGATCTGGAGATTTGGGCTCTCACAATGGCCAAAACCAGCTGTGTAGACCTTTGGGCCTGGGCTGGAGCGCCGGCTCTGAAGCCGAGGGAGGAGCCTGAGTGTCTACACAGCTATTTTCTGCACTGTTGTGCAAGCCCCACAAAACTCAGATTTTAGGCCTGGGCTCTGAGACTCGCTGCCGCAGGTTTCTGCTTGCCACGCAGAGGCACCCCAGCGGCCACAATACAACCGACACCGCAGTGGTGTTTGGAAAACGCTAGCCTTCTCTTAGGTATGACCCCAAAATGGCCAGAGCAACAATGCGTCTGCCGCGCCTTGGGCCAGTGCAACATAAGTAAGAAGCTGCTCTGGCAACCATGGTCAGACAACTGCTTCCCACTGACACCAAACAAGCATCCACTTGGGACTGGACCATTCGCCCCTAGAAAAACCATACCTGTTTCTCCTCTTTGGTTCTGACATAATGAAGGATCTTCATTCTTGGTCCCAAGGGAATTCCCATGTCTTTAAGATCCTTCTCTGTACACAGAGCCTGGACAGTAAGTTACAACCCATTACTACTACAGTACAGGAAACCGTGCACTCAAAGGGATAGTCCATTCTCAGCATTACAGAGGCCAGGGATCCTAGGAGCTAACTGCTCTGATTTCAGTGTGCCCCTCTGGAAGGGAGGGAGCACGGATAGCATGGGAATCACTCTGCTCTGGAGAGAGAGGCAGCAATCTCTGAACTCAGCCTCAAGTGCAGAAATGCCTCCCACTCACACGCTTCTCGTTTTCAGACTCCAGTTCAGCATGCCGCCAGCCTATCCGCCACACACAGGAAACCAGGGCTGCTGCTAGCACGGGCAGAATCAAAAGCCTGCAAAGGTACTAGTCGCTTAGCCTTACCATCAAAAAACAGGGTACATTAGGCCAGGTGGGCTTTACTCTAACTAGAGGGCATGACATAGGCAAGAAATACCCGTGTGAACGTGGTGATGGGCACAGAGAACAAAAACAGAGAACTCTAACAGATCCGACGGCAAGCGGTGAAACATACAAGAACAGTAGCCACTCTGTTGGGAGAGTGGTTTTACCAGAGCTTGCGTGTCCAGTCTCTCCTTCTCAAAGACACTGCAGTACTCAGACAGCTCAAGCTTCTTCAGGGTTTCTTTCACTCCCCCAACATCTCCCTGTTCATAGGCGCCCATCTGGGACCCCTGCAAGGACAGCAACGGGGGTCATGTTTACAGAGTTGGTCTCCTTCTTCCTTTACGTTCTGGCTACAATATTGGTAGTAGGCGTGGGATTGTTCTCTTTTGTTTAGATCTACACCTGGCAGGATGGCACTGAGAATTCAAAGCTATTCTGCTATAGAAGCAGGAGAACGCAGCAGTTATGGAAAAGCTGGAGTGTGGCTGTAGCCTACAGATTTCATCCTGAATCAATGAGATGCTTAACATGCACAAGCTGTGGGGAATTTACCTCTTTATTGCCGTCTTCATCCTCAGAGGAATCCTTCTGATTTGTTAGGAGATCAAACAATATCAGCGACCCTAAAAAATAGCCACATACACAGTCTCTGAGCAGACCGTCAGATCTTATGCTGGAATAAATATACTTACGTGCCCATATCCCTCTGTTTGGTAAAAAAAAAGGGGTGAGGGGCTTCCCTCCTCCTCTCCCACTCTTAAGTGTCCCAAGGTATGGAAATGGTACTTCAGCACTAAACTGCAGTCCAGGGTACTGTGTGCCATGTGCATACACTCATGCTACAGATTCTAAATTATTACACAAAACCCTGGATACCCAGGACTAAACCCTTTACCTAAGCTATGGCCTGCAATGGAAACACCGCCTTTAAAGTCAGGGTTCCTCTGCAGGAAGAGCCGATACAGGCGATTCATTTCTGAAGCAACAGTATCCACGATGGTCTGGCAGTAGGTGGGGCTGTTGTAGAAGAAAACATCCAGTATGGTGTCGTTTATGAAGTGACGCAGGCGGTTGATGCTCGGCAAGGTAATTCGCTCCAAATCGCTGAACATGGAACAGAAAGGGATTGTTACGAGGGACAGGGATTTCACCCACGGCTCCTGTAGCTATTTCCTAGTAGGTGAAATCCTGGATCTCTTGAAGTCCATGGCAGTTATGCCTTTGAGGATTTCACCTGAATTCCTAATTCATGTTAACAGAACATAGTAACAGAAAGGAGCTACAAACCCACCTTTCCTCAGAAACAGAACAGGGTTTTCCAAGGTGTAGATGCAAAGAGCCAACCTTCCCTGCTGCTCCAGGAGCATTTAAAATCGCTCCCCACTTGTGCAGCAGACATGCTGTTCCCCTGCGCACCGCGGTGTTTCAGAGGGGCTAGCTCAATAAAGGCTCTCGGGAGCCTTAAAAATCTCTTCAGGAAGGAATTAGGTATCAACTCTCACTGACTCCCAAATCCCCTGCGCTGTGTTCTTACATTAAGTGGAAACACCAGTCTGAACTTCTGGTGTTACATGCCAGTAGACTACTTAGGGTGCAATTTCAACTGGACATCAACAGCCTGGCTTCATGAGAAACCTGGGCAGCAGGGCTGTGATCCTCATAGTAGGTGCTACAAACTGTTCCCGGTTCCCTTCTTCATGTTCACCTGTGTGTTCCTGAGGTAAAGTAGCAGCAGCAGAGACTGCGCTGAATCCTCCTCGGTCATCTTTCGCCCACCGCAGCAAAGGCGAGGCGCTTTACAAAAGAGCATGACGCTCCTGGATTTCACTCACTCAGTCACCGCAGTAGATTTACCTCTAAGGTGCTAGAATTTACTTACACGTCCACCCCCGTGGAATGCAACGGGCTGTGCCAGTTCACAGGCAAGAACTCTACTCGGCCAATTTGTTGCTGCTCCTGGGCTTTCTTGAAGTGTGCTTGCAGCATGCTCAAGGAAACGTTACGGAAGTCATTTACTGGAAAGAGAATTGAGCTCTGTATCAAGGCCTAGAAAAAAGAGTTTGCTAGGAGAAGCCTAGTGTGTTTACTATGCTGAACAAGCTGAGTTGAAGGGACACAGTCAGCTTAAGACAAAACAGCCCACCTCAGTCTGAAGTTTTTTAACCGACTGTTGGTACAAGTAACACCGCAGATCAGTAATTGAGGGATCAGACAAAAACACTCCACTTCTCAGCTGAAGCATAAACTGGATTTCACCATTTGCTCTGTAGCAAGTCCGTTTCCCCTGGTTACTGGAGCTTTCACACAGCAACCGAGGAGAGAAAAACTTTTTAAAGAGCTGTGAAACCTACTGTAAAAGTCTCACACACCAGTAGGGAGACTTAGAGGCAGGGGCTGGATTTTAAACTACTTCTCACTGATTTTAGTTCACTGACTTATTTCAAGTTGACAGTAACCTTTTTAAACGTAGCCCCATTAGGTGCAAACTGTAAGATAGACTGCAGTATCAAAAGGCTTGCCTGCATGAAAACAAGAGAGAGACTTTACCAGAATTAAAGACATTTGACCCCACAAATTGTTGAAGTTTGCAACAGCTTTCGTTTTATTATAGAAATTTACCTCATCTTAACTTTCCTGTTTGTGGTACACACAGCTTATCAACAGATCTACTCTCCAAGACTCAGGCAGTTACAATGACAATATAAGCACTCTCTGAAATTGTCACATTTCTAAAGACTCTTGGATGGGACATTAACTTGTGTTGGACTTTACTGGACAAGATTACCACCTAGCAATAGACTGAGTAGAGGACTAGTGTCACAGATTTATTCAGTTACTTGAAGAATCGGTATCTGATTTGGGAAACTCACTATTTGAAGTATTAGGACACAGTGATCATTCTGATAAAAATGATTGTCAGAATCTGTCCAATTCTATCCAGATAACCAGCTTTCACTGCTCTTATATTCAAACAATGCATCTTCATTGCAGTCAGCAAGTTCTGTCTTACAGTTTGCCAAGATTACTGTCAAGTTCTTTAAATGTGTGATGACAGCACCTCGTGTGTTTTCCCATCAGACCTGTGTTTATTTGCGCTCTCTGAGGGGTGATGCATGTGAAACGGCATCATCTCCTGTGCACACCTACCACACTGGACGATGGATCGGAACCGGATATCACATGCTGGCCCAATTCCATGAACTACAAAAACCAAGTGATCTATTTGCAGAGGCTCCCCTAAGAGGAGGAAAGAGAGAACCATTTACACAGCAGCTAACCGTTTACCTAACTGACGCAATATTCCTCTGAGGCAGATGTGTGAAACCTTAGACGGGTCAGATAAGAGATAATGCAAAGACAGTCCCAGCTGCGAGATTATAATAAAGTCCGGTCCCTGGTTCGTGTGTCAAGTGCAATTGTAGCACTCAGTATAGCACTTCACACTTAAAGTACTACCTACAAATTGGATAATTTCCACACACACCCCCCACCAACATACACGCACACGGCGGCTGGGAAGTGGCCTCATCCCCATTTTACAGCTGAGTGAAAGAGAGGAAGGTGAAGCGATTTGGGCCCGTGACCGGGAGTAGACCCTCCCAATGCTGCACTGGTTCCTCCACACCAGGCTGCCCTGTGAAACGTCACTGAGCTGCTATGCAGGTGAGGTGAAGCTTCTGCAGTCAAACCCAAAGCCTAGACATTCTCCCCTCCCAGTTGCCACGACCATTTCAGTGAGGCAGGTTGGGTGTCGAGGTTCATGTACTTCTGAGTTATAAAAAAAATCACCCTCAGCTTCTTAGAGACGTATTCATGTGGCTGGGCAGAGGTAGAGACTTTACACCTAAGTACTATAATGTGTTGCTGCAGCCCTTGCCAATTAGATTAAGAGGCTATCTCAATATCATCAAGGCAGGAAGACATGTTCCGGTCACGCCACGTTGCCCCACTAAGCCACCAATGAGGTATGTCTTTAATTAAAGATTTATGGCTCAGCAGCTTGGAGGAGCAGGCCTTTCCGTAGAGGCCTCTCTGACTAAAGCAGGCATCAGGCTATGTTTGATTTTCATTCTCTTCTCTCCCACCTCCTTTAGTTTCCATAAGATCTTTTTAGAAGAGCCTGTAGGTGGATAATGAAGGGTTTTGACAGACAGAAGCAAAAGCTAGTCCTGGCAAGTGGCTGGCTTGGTGGCAAAGCTCAATTGCTATTGAAAAGCGTCAAATTTGGCCCACAGTTATAATTTACATTCTGTAAAGTGTACAGGAGAGACAGCACGTATGTCTGTGTGATATGTACATAAGCACATACCAGGACGTGAGTTTGGTTATGTTTTTAATAACAAAACTACATCAGCCATGATTTTCAGAAGTGACTAGTGATTTGAAGGGTTCAACTGACTCTGCCTGATTGTCAGAGGGCAGGTGCTCAGCAAGTCCTCTTCCCCCTTTCCTGTTTGTTCAGGCTATGAGCGCTTTGGGGCACGGACTCTCTCTCACTAGGTTTGTGCAGCGCCCAGCACAGTGGGGCCCTGGTCTCAGTTGCAGGCTGTAGAAACTATTGTAATATTAGAATTAGCACATAAGGACATTTGTCAATGAGAGGAGATGACCCAGCCATAAGCTGCATATTTAAGTCTCAAGCAAAAAAAGTTTTTTAAATTCTCTGAAGCCATATCACAACAAGCAAAGCAGATAGGATCTGAGAAAACGAGCTGAGAAAGGTTTTCCTCAACTTCAATGGATGTGAAGAAAGAACATTAACTTACCACAGGGGATGTCAACTGAGATGTTCTCCACTCCTCTCTTAACGGTTCTTGGTCGACCTTGTTCCGTAGGGGTTGAGCCCCAGTCATCAGAGGTCGTCACTGGATGGTAGTGCACCATCAGCTTCAAAACAGGAAGAGAAGGTGTGTTAGAACTCTGTGGTGCATGCAACACAGTTAAGCATCTCCTATAAAGGGGGATAAGCAACTCATCGTACACCTGTGAGGAACTGATGGAGCACACCCATCCCATTGCAAGGAGCAAAGAGCCAACCTGGCTAGACACTACATTAGATTCACAGATACTAAGGTCAGAAGGGACCATTATGATCATCTAGTCCGACCTCCTGCACAACGCAGGCCACAGAATCTCACCCACACACTCCTGCGATAAACCTCTCACCTATGTGAGCTGTTGAAGTCCTCAAATTGTGGTTTAAAGACTTCAAGGAGCAGAGAATCCTCCAGCAAGTGACCCATGCCCCATGCTACAGAGGAAGGCGAAAAACCTCCAGGGCCTCTTCCAATCTGCCCTGGAGGAAATTCCTTCCCGACCCCAAATATGGCGATCAGCTAAACCCTGAGCACATGGGCAAGATTCACCAGCCAGATACCCAGGAAAGAATTCTCTGTAGTAACTCAGATCCCACCCCATCTAACATCCCATCACAGGCCATTGGGCCTATTTACCATGAACATTTAAAGATCAATTAATTACCAAAATCATGTTATCCCATCATACCATCTCCTCCATAAACCGATCGAGTTTAATCTTGAAGCCAGAGGACACAGATGGACACTGACACTGGATAGATGGAGTTCACTGTACTCTTTAAAATGTACTTGTATCTCAGCATTTGAGCTACTTTATATACAGTTCTATGCATAATCCTGCACTGCATTTTCCTTGTTATAATAAATAACACCTGGGAAAGACAGGTGTACATATTCCACACCACGCTGTCTCTGGGTGCCAGTATTCCACTTTGCATCCGTCAGAAAACAGACTGGAATGATGGCTTTAGCCACTAAGCCAATCTAACCATTTGGTTAGCAGCATGATTTTATACCTGAGGAAAGATGGGTCAGTGGTTAGGGAGCTAGCCTGGGAAACGCACCTTAAATTCCCTGCTTCATCACAGACTGGCTTGTATGACCTTGGGCAAGTCACTCAGAAACAATGCTAATGGCAGAACAGAAGTACCTACATTAGAGTCTGATATAGTTCAAGGGGCACAACCCTCTGGCCTGGATGCAGTGACATCAGTACAAAGGTGCCTTACACCACAGTTCCTTATTCCCATAAATGTAGCTCCATAAGGACCTTTATACAGGCAGAACTGCATCCACACGACGGGAGTACAATCTACAAACTACAGTCCATCGGTGATCTTCCTGAAAACGCCATCCTGGCCACTATGGATGTAGAAGCCCTCGACACCAACATTCCACACAAAGATGGACTACAAGCCGTCAGGAACAGTATCCCCGATAATGTCACGGCTAACCTGGTGGCTGAACTTTGTCCTTACCCATAACTATTTCACATTTGGAGACAATGTATACCTTCAAATCAGCGGCACTGCTACGGGTACCCGCATGGCCCCACAGTATGCCAACATTTTTATGGCTGACTTAGAACAACGCTTCCTCAGCTCTCGTCCCCTAATGCCCCTACTCTACTTGCACTATATTGATGACATCATCATCATCTGGCCCCATGGAAAAGAAGCCCTTGAGGAATTCCACCATGATTTCAACAATTTCCATTCCACCATCAACCTCAGCCTGGACCAGTCCACACAAGAGATCCTCTTTCCTGGACGCTACTGTGCTAATAAGCGATGGTCACATAAACACCACCCAATACCGGAAACCTACTGACCGCTATTCTTACCTCCATGCCTCCAGCTTTCATCCAGACCACAAGATCCATTGTCTACAGCCAAGCTCTACGATACAACCCCATTTGCTCCAACCCCTCAGACAGAGATAAACACCTACAAGATCTCTATCAAGCATTCTTACAACTACAATACCCACCTGCTGAAGTGAAGAAACAGATTGACAGAGCCAGAAGTCACCTACTACAGGACAGGCCCAACAAAGAAAATAACAGAACGCCACTAGTCATCACCTTCATCCCCCAACTAAAACCTCTCCAATGTATCATCAAGGATCTACAACCTATCCTGAAGGACGACCCATCACTCTCACAGATCTTGGGAGACAGGCCAGTCCTTGCCTACAGACAGCCCCCCCAATCTGAAGCAAATACTCACCAGCAACCACACAACAGAACCACTAACCCAGGAACCTATCCTTGCAACAAAGCCCGTTGCCAATTGTGTCCACATATCTATTCAGGGGACACCATCATACGGCCTAATCACATCAGCCACACTATCAGAGGCTTGTTCACCTGCACATCTACCAATGTGATATATGCCATCATGTGCCAGCAATGCCCCTCTGCCATGTACATCGGCCAAACTCGACAGTCTCTACATAAAAGAATAAACGGACACAAATCAGACATCAAGAATGATAACATTCAAAAACCAATCGGAGAACACTTCAATCTCTTTGGTCACTCGATTACAGACCAAAAAGTGGCAATTCTTCAACAAAAAAACTTCAAAAATAGACTCCAGCGAGAGACTGCTGAATTGGAATTAATTTGCAAACTGGATACAATTAACTTAGGCTTGAATAGAGACTGGGAGTGGATGTGTCATTACACAAAGTAAAACTATTTCCCCATGTTTATTCCCCCCCCACCCCCCGCCGACCCTCACTGTTCCTCAGACGTTCTTGTCAACTGCTGGAAATGGCCCGCCTTGATTATCACTACAAAAGGTTCCCCCTCCTCCCCCTGCTCTCCTGCTGGTAATAGCTCACCTTACCTGATCACTCCTGTTACAGTGTGTATGGTAACACCCATTGTTTCATGTTCTCTGTGTATATAAAATCTCCCCACTGTATTTTCAACTGCATGCATCCGATGAAGTGAGCTGTAGCTCACCAAAGCTTATGCTCAAATAAATTTGTTAGTCTCTAAAGTGCCACAAGTCCTCCTTTTCTTTTTGAGGATACAGACTAACTCGGCAGCTACTCTGAAACTTGTCACTATGAGAGTGTACCGCTAAGTATATTGGTTTCCAAAAGACATGATTGAAGCAATACAAAAACCGAGCGTAGACCAGTTCTGAAAGCAGAACTAAAGGGGAAAACACAAGTCTATCAGGCTCTGTCTGTGCTACAGACAGTAAACCATCAGGTTTTTACCTTTGGGTTATGCAGTATAATGATTTCTCTAGTAGGGGACTCAAGTTTCTTTTTCCACTCGTCCAGCGTTATGGCAATCATGTACGTTTCCTGGGGAGAAGAGAAACCTTTGCAAGTCAAACCAACATTTCCACAGGAACTCCACCAGTTGGGGGGTTTGCCCCCTCCCCTTATTGTAGGGTAGCTCTTAAAAATATTGTTGATTAAAAGGAGGTAAATCAGACACGAGTCTGGATCAGTGACAGTCTTATCCCTGGGTTAAATGTTGTCTTACAAAGTGCTTGTTGGGGGCACCCCTTAGGCTACCAGTTTTAACAGAGGTGACAGCTTCCACTTTAGACTCGATTGAAGTAATATCAGATTAAAGTTTTATGGAAAACCATTGTCCGTAGGACGAGTTGCTGGCCATTAACACTAAATGTTTATAGGAAATCACAAATATGCCTGGCACCTTTTAGGTCACATAGCAGCTCTTTCTGTAGTCTACCACCTACGGACCAGATCCTGCAAGTTCACACACACGAGTAATTTTAGTCACGTAGGTAGTTCCATTGGCTTCAGGGGCCCTATCTATTTGCACTAGTGAAGTTACTCTCAAGTGAGAGCATTTGTGAGATCAGGGTCTAGATTAGAGAAATATGGACATTACAGCAGACAAGGACAGGGAAAAGTAAGTGTCTGCAGCTTGAAAGAACCGACTAGTGCCTATGAAACTAATATCAGGCAGAAGAGCTGTGGGTAGCACTGAAGCAGAGGTTGGTTGTGGGAAGCAAGCCACAAGAAGTGGGCTTTAAGGAGGGACTTAAGGACAGAGAGGAAGTATGCTTTATGAAGAGGGAGACAGAGGATGGCCCAGGCATGGAAGCAGCAAACAAAAAGGTAGGAGGAGAGAGGGAGTGAGTAGCAAGGCAAGGAGATCTGGCAGAATGTAGGTCACACGCAGTGAAGCAGAGAGCCAGGGCTGGGACTGCAGGCAGGGTGCTGATAATGAGGACTGGCAGTTTAATTGTATAGCAGGAGCCAGGAAGGAGGCAGAGCTGGGATACGAGTATGGGCAGATTGCATTAGCTGCAGCATGTTGGCGAGAGAGACAATGGGTGAGGCTGCAGAGAAGAGAGGTGCAGTATTTCCAGTGCTGCTAATCAAACATGAAGTGTCACCCAAACATTCCCCTCGAGTTCACGTCCTTGGACACAGCTCAGTGCCAATACCCCTCATGGAATTCGGGATGTTGCAGAAGCTAGTAGGGCTCAAGAGCAGACTGGACGGGCTGAGCGTTATTAGGCGAGACATCTGTACCTCCAACTCTTCACTGAAGCTCTCCGAGTAGGGAATGTACTTGTTGTCCTTGTCTCCCTTATAAAACCAGGTGCAGCGTCTCACTTCAGACACCTCTTCCTCCCAATACATGGCACAGCACAACCTCTTCTTCAAATGCACGTCATACCTGCCCCCTTCCGTTGGAACTATCAGCTGTTCATCGTCTTTCCCTGTGGAACACAAGGACTGCGATGAAGTGTAAACAGACCAGAAGGGGACATTACCAAGAGGTTTTAGACTATGCAGATCATGGGGGTATCAGCCGCTTCTGCATGGAGCTTACCTAGAAAATCCATACATGCCAAGAGCAAAGCCAATGATCTGTGTAAATAAACACAGTCGCCATTTAAAAAAGCCTCCTAGGATAATCATGCCTGAAAGTCAAAGCTTCTACACTGGGATGGAGTGGAGAGAGCTGAAAGGCCCCAGGCTACAGACAATTGTTAGTTTATTATTGTCTGTAGCGTGGTAGCCCCCACTCTGTGAGGCGCTATACAGACACACAACAAAAGAGAGAGTCCCCTGCCCCAAAGAGCTTACGATATCAGTAAGCTAAGTGGTTGACATCTAACCCACTATGACTGAGAGCAGCAAGGTCTTAAATGTTTATATTCATTTGTATTTCCCTACCCCCTTTAAGACCAGATGATCCCAAAGCTCGTAAAACTGTATACAGACAGTACCACTGAGATGCAGCTCCCTTTGGGAAAGGAAATGGCAGCCAATCAGCGCACAGCATGCCCCACAACAGCAAAGAGAAAGAGTACTGGACAGGGGCCCCAGGTCACACCTCTGCTCTTCAAAGAGATGCTGTGGGATCTTTAACTTCCAGGCAGAGCAGGCAAGACATCCGATTTTCAGTCTCATTCACGTACTTGCATACTGTAAGCTCCCTGGAACTTGAGCTCCCTAACTGGAATGGTCAAGGCCTGAGTCTGAACTCATGGCACCAGGAAATCTTAGCATTTCCAAGTGGAGGCAAAGACCTCTAAGCAATCCCCTCCAGCACAGACTGAGAACTTCCAAGAGATTTTGCTGCTTATTCAGAGCAAAAATGTCACCTAAATGCCCTGGCTCTACTGTCTAGAGGGTCTGATCTTATTAGCTGGATTACAGGGATACTGAGTTAGGCAGCACCTGTTACCTGCATGAGCTGCCGAAACATGACACCTTGAATCAGGATCACCCACTTCAGTCTAACCACCAGAACAGAGGTGGGGCTAGATGACAAAAGACTCACAAAGCCTTATTCCTCTCCCCCACCCTTTGCTGCTTCTCTTCTGGGGCTCTGCACCGATGCAGATCTGACTGCAGAAGGAGAGTCTTAGACGGTCTGCTCTTCAGGGCAAGGGGTGTCACTTTATATGTATGGACAGCAACTATCATGCTGTGGGCACTATTATAATATAAATAAGTGTCTGTGCCATGCCAGACCTGGGAGCTCCACCCACACTCCGATCTGCACCGCTACCCTTTTCATACTAATAAATCCACGGAACAGTAAGATCTGCAGGAAAGTCTCGCAGTGGTGGAATTTAGCCAGTGTTGCTTCCTAACCAATTCCTACTTGCTGTACATGAATGCTGTCTCATGCAAATAAAAAAAAAATATCTAGAGTACTCAGTGTATGTGTCAAATTAATGAGGCCTGAACATTAAAGCCTTTTTGGATGCAATTTTTTTTTTTTAAGCAACATGAATAGGCCCCCTTCTAGGGAAGAGGTATTTCCGCAGAAACGTGGATACATTTAAAATTCCAGAGAGGGAAGACACTTTCAAATCCCATAGAAAAAACTGCACAAGATGTTTAGAACACTTCCCTTAGTAGTAGCTTCTAGCCCCAAGACAACATCAGTACAAAGCATCTCAAATTCTTAGCCTACTCAGTGCTCTTGCAGAGTTCCCGGTCTTGCAAAACGCATGATTCACTCTTGTTAATTCACCTCACCTCAGTAAGTTTTAAGGTTAGATATATTACCACATTTAAAATCCAGGGTTATTTAAACTAGAGAATTAGAGATGTTGGAGCTGGAACGGTCCCATGAGGTCATCTAGTCTAGTGCAGGGTAGTTCAAGACCATGTTTGCTACCACTTCATCCACTCTAATCTAGAGGTGTGGGGATTCTGCCAGCTTCCTTCTGAACCTATCCTGCAACCTAATGTACCTTACCCCTAAGAAGCTTCTGACAAAAAGGTATTTTCAACTTACTTGAGTTGTGGGCCTCTTCTAACTTCTCCGAGTCTTGTCGGCTGAAAGGGAACCACCTCTCTCTAGAATCTATTACCTTGCAGTAAAACCAGTGAGGAACAACTGCCTCATACTTATTTGCAGTATCTGCCTCCACTACCTCAAAGGAATTTGATGAATTGGATGATGGAGAAGGTTCTGCCTGTTGCTGTTCCACAGCTGACATTGCACCACCTAAATGAACAAACAGAGACAGAACAAACACAGCGTTTTTATTTTTAAAAGGTCTTCAGTTATGTCATTGCCAGCAGATCGAGGGATGTGATCGTTCCCCTCTATTCGACATTGGTGAGGCCTCATCTGGAGTACTGTGTCCAGTTTTGGGCCCCACACTACAAGAAGGATGTGGATAAATTGGAGAGAGTCCAGCGAAGGGCAACAAAAATGATTAGGGGTCTGGAACACATGACTGATGAGGAGAGGCTGAGGGAACTGGGATTGTTTAGTCTGTAGAAGAGAAGAATGAGGGGGGATTTGATAGCTGCTTTCAACTACCTGAAAGGGGGTTCCAAAGAGGATGGCTCTAGACTATTCTCAGTGGTAGCGGATGACAGGACAAGGAGTAATGGTCTCAAGTTGCAGTGGGGGAGATTTAGGTTGGATATTAGGAAAAACTTTTTCACTAGGAGGGTGGTGAAACATTGGAATGCGTTACCTAGGGAGGTGGTGGAATCTCCTTCCTTAGAAGCTTTTAAGGTCAGGCTTGACAAAGCCCTGGCTGGGATGATTTAACTGGGGATCGGTCCTGCTTTGAGCAGGGGGTTGGACTAGATGACCTCCTGAGGTCCCTTCCAACCCTGATATTCTATGATTCTATGATTTACTAACACTGGAAGAAGAAATACTGGTAAGTGTGGCCCTCCCAAAAACTGCATATTTCTGTGACGATAAGGCAAACTGAATGGCAAACTGCTACAAATGAGAGACTGCCAGCTGCAGAGATAACTTACTTGTTACAAGCTTATTATTGTCTTAATCCAAAATGTATCCGTCAGACAGAGATGACAAGCCCCAGAACAGATAAGTCTGATACAATTTTGGCTTAACTGACTCCACCACAGAAAGTCTGAAAGATGAGGATTCCACAGTGGCTTTACAATAAAATACCTACAGAAACAATAAGAGAACCTGTTAGAAAATAGCAAATGCAATCAAGAGTCTGATGAAAAACAATCAGGCAGCATACCTAGAACAGCACTCAGGAGTCATACCCAGAGAATAGGGTGACCAGATGTCCTGATTTTATAGGGACAGTCCCGATTTTTGGGTCTTTTTCTTATATAGGCTCCTATTACCTTTTCCACCCCGTCCCGATTTTTCACACTTGCTGTCTGGTCACCCTACCAGAGAAAGATATTTTACAATGAGCTGGAGTTAATGCTTTAGGATTTGACACTACGGTTCAGTTGTGCTTCACACATCCCTGACTTCTGATACTTGTGCTGAGTTTTCTATTTTAGAAAGAGAGTGAGTTTTTCTCCACTAAACATTTTGGGATTTGACAGCATGTGAAATCCAAAGGGGGAAAACTTGCCTGCTGCTATAGCAAAGTCTCACATACCTGAAAATCCAACTATCCTTCCCAATTTTATTCTACTTGCACTTCCAAATACACTGAAACACCTTTTTTGACTTCACAAAAAGCATGACTACAAAAGTGGTAATTGAAGTGGAAAGAAATTAGTCAGGAAACTTAGGTAACATTGGAGCACAGGATGCATAAGGATAGTGATAGGAATGGGGCACAGAAACAAATGTCTGACTGTACCCCAGAATTAACTGTTCTTATCTGATTGTTCATTTTCTTTACTTCCAAAGTATATTTCCTTTCACTTTCTATAACCTCTTCCACTTGAGAATCTCAAAGGCATTTACAAACAGTTAGCTTGTTCTTGCAGCACCCCAGCAGGTAATGAAATGCTAGACACATTTTAAAGATGTGAAAACAGAGAGCCAGAGGTTAAATGAGGTGTCCAAAACTACACAGCAAGTCAGTGACAGAGTTGGGGTTAGGATTCTGGTCTCCTGATTCCCAGACCTATGCTTCAAAACTCTCTTTCCTTATCACAGAAAAAATCTCTATTCTTATTATTTTAATTTGAAAAGACACTATGAGGTTCAATTTGGATCAAAATTCACTCACTTCATTGGATGCATTAAGCCAAACAGATTTTCAAAATCCCCTCTCAAATCTGACCTCCCATTTAAATTTTAACCAAACAAACCCTTCTAAAAAAGGTTCCAGTGGAAACAGCTGTTTTTGAACAGGCACACTCCCCTGCAGTTTGGGAACCCCAAACCCTGCTGCAGTGAAACTGACTACATGATAAGGAAACCAACTTCATGGATTTCAGTGTCCAGGCTAAGAGAGACCCACAGGTGAACACAGAGCATCAGCAGCAACAAGTGAATTATACTGGCAGAAATTATTTCTCTTATATATTCTAAGAAGCGATTCATGACATCCCTAGGAACAAGTGATTTTAAAGTAGGAGTTGTAACATCACAGCACCCCTTTAAATATAGGATGTTCTCATAGACCTTCAGGCCAGAAGGGACCGTTCATGATCACCTCCTACACATTGCAGGCCACAGAACCTCACCCACCCACTCCTGCAGTAGGCCCATAACCTCTGCCTGAATTACTGAAGTCCTTGAATTGTGATTTAAAGACTTCAAGTTACAGAGAATCCACCATTTACTCTAGTTCAAACCAGCAAGTGACCCCTGCCCCATGCTGCGGAGGAAGTCCCTTTTCCCCCCTGCCCCAAGTCTCTGCCAATCTAACCCCAGGGCAAAATTCCTCCCTGACCCAAAATATGGTGATCAGTTAGACCTGCGCATGTGGGCGAGACCCACCAGCCAAACTCCCCAGGGCCTAAGGCAACCACCTCACTCACCCCAACCTTGAACATCAGACCACAAGTCCCATATAAATTAGTTTCCCAAATTTCAACAACTCCAATGGTGCCCAGCAGAAAAGAGGGTCCATGTGAAAGGTCCCCGCTTCCTTCCCACACAGGTGTGCGTATGGGGGGAGGAGAGTGTAGAGGGAAACATCACACTCATACAAAGCAAACCTGTACAAAAACGGAGAGCTGGCACCTAGAGCTGGGCAGGGATGGTGTGCCTAACCTCTGACTGCCTGCCAGAAGCTGGGAATGGGCGACAGGGGATGGATCACATGATAATTCCCTGCTCTCTTCATTCCCTGGGGGCACCTGGCACTGGCCACTGTCGGAAGACAGGACACTGGGCTAGATGGACCTTGGGTCTGGCCCAGCAGGGCCGTTCTTACGTTCTTCTTAAATTCCTCAGGCACCCGGGGAACTGCTGCCCCGCTCCCCCACCCGGGGCCCATCACCCCCCCACTCCCCCCCCAAGGCCTATCACCCCCCCCTGCTCCCCCAAGGCCCCGCTGCCCCCCCCCGCTCCCCCAAGGCCCCACTGCCCCCCCACTCCATCACCCCCCCCGCTCTCCCTCCGCTCCCCCAAGGCCCCGCTCCCATCACCCCCCCCCCGCTGCCCCAAGGCCCCGCTCCCATCACCCCCCCAGGCCCATCACCCCAAGGCCCCGCTCCCCCAAGGCCCCGCTCCCCCCCCGGGCCCATCACCCCAAGGCCCCGGGCCCATCACCCCCCCTGCTCCCCCAAGGCCCCGCTCCCCCCCCCCGGGCCCATCACCCCCCCGGCTCCCCCAAGGCCCCGCTCCCCCCCCCGCTCCCCCCCCCGGGCCCATCACCCCCCCAGGGCCCCTCCCCGCACTGACCCCGCGGCCGCAGCGTCTCGCCCTCCGGCCGGGCGGCTCCGCCTGTCGGTGCGCGGCTGGCCCGGCCCGGGCCCAGACCCCCGGCGCTGCGGAGGCGGCGTGAGCCCGCCCCCCTGGGCGGGGCCCGGCCTGGCTCCTCCTCGGGCGCGGCGCGGCGCGGGGGCCGAGGCCCGGGGGGGCGGGGCGGGCCGGGGCGCTGCGCGGGGAGGGACGGAGGGCGGGCGGGCAGGGGGCTGCGGGGCTGGCCTCCAAAGAGAAGAGGGGGTTGGACGGGCCCAAGGCGGGGCGGGGGGCAAAGGGCTTCTGGCCCTGCCCCTCCGCCTCCGCGGTGCCCCCGACACCGCCCTGGGGCCTGGCCCTGTCTCGGCCCTTCGGCCGCGCTCGGCCTGGCCCCAAGGGGGGTCGCCCCTCCAGGAGCCCGCCCTGCCCAGCCCTGTAATAGCCCTGAGCGCCCGGGGGGGACGGGACCGCCCGGGAGAGGGGGGGGTGGGGGCTGGAGGGGTCCGGGGTGGGGAGACGGGGGGTGGGGGGCTGGAGGGGTCCGGGGTGGGGAGATGGGACCGCCCGGGGGGGGGGGCTGGCGGGGTCCGGGGTGGGGAGATGGGACCGCCCGGGAGGGGGGGTGGGTGGGGGGCTGGAGGGGTCCGGGGTGGGGAGATGGGACCGCCCGGGAGGGGGGGGGGGGGCTGGAGGGGTCCGGGGTGGGGAGATGGGACCGCCCGGGAGAGGGGGGGGTGGGGGCTGGAGGGGTCCGGGGTGGGGAGATGGGACCGCCCGGGAGGGAGGGGGTTGGGGGCTGGAGGGGTCCGGGGTGGGGAGATGGGACCGCCCGGGAGGGAGGGGGGTGGGGGCTGGAGGGGTCCGGGGTGGGGAGATGGGACCGCCCGGGAGAGGGGCGGGTGGGGGGCTGGAGGGGGTCCGGGGGTGGGGAGACGGGACCGCCCGGGAGGGAGGGGGGTGGGGGGCTGGAGGGGTCCGGGGTGGGGAGATGGGACCGCCCGGGAGAGGGGCGGGTGGGGGCTGGAGGGGTCCGGGGTGGGGAGACGGGACCGCCCGGGAGGGAGGGGGGTGGGGGCTGGAGGGGTCCGGGGTGGGGAGACGGGGCCGCCCGGTGGGGGGCTGGAGGGGTCCGGGGTGGGGAGATGGGACCGCCCGGGAGAGGGGGCGGGTGGGGGCTGGAGGGGTCCGGGGTGGGGAGACGGGGCCGCCCCGTGGGGGGCTGGAGGGGTCCGGGGTGGGGAGATGGGACCGCCCAGGAGGGGGGCGGGTGGGGGCTGGAGGGGTCCGGGGTGGGGAGATGGGACCGCCCGGGAGAGGGGCGGGTGGGGGGCTGGAGGGGTCCGGGGTGGGGAGACGGGACCGCCCGGGAGGGAGGGGGGTGGGGGCTGGAGGGGTCCGGGGTGGGGAGATGGGACCGCCCGGGAGAGGGGCGGGTGGGGGCTGGAGGGGTCCGGGGTGGGGAGACGGGAGAAGCAGCGGGTACAGAGGAGGGACATGCTGAGTCTGGGCTGCTGTCTAATCGACTGCTTTGAGAGCATCAGGGTGCTGTTTCCAAGCGCTCCTGGAGGAGGGTCCGTGGAAAGCTTGAGGATGAGGAGGAAGGGTCCTGGTCCCCAGCGGGATTTTGTGTAAGTGTCACTCATGGTGAAACACAGAGACATACAGACAGGAGGGTGTGCATACATCTGTACGTGCACGCACACACAAGTGAGCACACAGCACTGCTGGATCAGACAGAGAAAGTCAATACATCAGATGTCGCAGGGATGGGAGAGGTACTAGGAATACCTTGATTTAACGAAGTAAAATATGTATTTCATTTATTCATATTTATAAACATTTTAAGTGCCTTTCCCATGCTTTGTGCACTCATCCTATAAATTAAAATATACAATACAAGATAAAATATAAAGGACTGCATACATAAATAGATATCTACTCCACCAGCATCCCTCAAAAAAGCTGGGGGAAAAGAGAGTAAAATACACATTGCAGAATTTCTGGCCTGTGTATAGAAGAACATTATAAAAAATTATAATATAGATGTATTTCCCAGCTGTTCCATTTCGTATCCGCTGGCATGAAACATATCTCAGCTATCCAATCGTTTAAACATAGTTTTGGGGGAAAAAGACTTTCTTGGGGCTGAGGTGGGAGAGCTTGTATATCTTCATTTTTACATACTGTAAAGCTGCCCTAGTTTTATTTGTAAATGCTAATGGTTAAACTGCTATGGCTAGTACATAGCAGCAAAACGCACTGTTATTAAATGAGTACTTGTGGCAGGTTTCAGAGTAGCAGCCGTGTTAGTCTGTATTCCCAAAAAGAAAAGGAGTACTTGTGGCACCTTAGAGACTAACAAATTTATTTGAGCATAAGCTTTCGTGAGCTACAGCTCATGCTCAGATAAATTGGTTAGTCTCTAAGGTGCCACAAGTACTCCTTTTCTTTTTGCGAATACAGACTAACACGGCTGTTACTCTGAAACCAATAAATAGTGCGTAATAAGCGTGTCATAAAAACAAATTTTATATTTCCAAGATCACTGCTTTTATCATTTATACTCAGGTAAAGGAGAAAATCCCTGGAAATACTCATTTTTAGGAGGGAGTTTGCAAGACTTGGCATTTTAGTGAAAGGGGTTCACAGGTTGTTAAAGTTTGGGAACCACTGAGTTAGAGGGAGAGGGCCAGTCTGAGAATACAAAAAGGTTGTTTACACGTTGCCTGGCTGTAAGCGCAACCTAGTGATCACATATTCAAATGAAGACACTCAAGGCCCTGAATAATGGACCCCATTGGGACACAATGCAAAGGAAAACAATTTTGTCTTGGAGGCTGCCAATTTATTATAAAATGAAGCTCTGGCTGCTGCAGTTGAGCCATAACAGTTAATCATTCTTGCATCAGACAGGACTGTACCTTCAGCTGCTGATTCTGCTGGCTTGCTCAGCTGATTGTATTTCTCATTCCACCAGTCCCTTTTCAGGAGGAAACACTGTGCTCTTTCTGGTTTGGTGCTGGGTCCCCTGTCCCCATCTCCTGCTTCTTTGTCTGTATTCACTCACTAACAATAGGAGAAAAGAGAAGCCATTCACTGCATACCAGCTGCTGTGTTGCAGAGTCGCTGTTACGCAGAGGGCCACATGAAAGGGTTGTAGTCCTGTGTGCAATATAGATCAGTGGGACATTAGGCACTCACCAGGACCACGTGTGGCCCAGAGATGTGCTGTGGACAGACTGGCTTTATAGCATCCTGCTTTTTAAATTTGTGAGGAATCTCTGTGCTCATGAAAGTCAGTGATGAATAGCGCTGGTTAGAGTCATGCATAGCGCAGGAAGGTGCAGTGTAAGGTTCTACCACACAACTTGGCCAGTGCATATTAATCCTGATGCTAAGCACCTCCGTCTGTTCCAGTCTGGGGATCCGCACACGTGCACGCTGCGCTAGTGGGTACATGTACCGGGTGCCATGAATTAATTGAAAAGGTGGCTGCCAGCCCAAGCTTTTGAAGCCAAAGCAATTTAGAAATCATAGCAAATCTTGATTTCAGGGTTTCAGCTAGTCACTTTGCTCATGGCATGGATTCTTTGTGTTCATACAACAAACCTGCATGGCAGCCTCACAGGGTACCATGCTCTATGTGCCAACTGCCTGCCACCCCCAAAGCAAATGAGCACTTCAGAGAGTGATCTCTAATCAATGCCATAAGACATTTCTTTAACTTTTATTTTTCAAAGTCTCTTGCATGCACTGTGTTTTATCGTTACAACCTAGTGCCTTAACATGAATAGGATTGTGTATATTTCTAAACAGATGGTGCTTTTTGAAAAAGAAAGTAAATTGGAAGGGTTTTGTCTTTGTAGAAAGACTGAAAGTGCTTTTTACTTGAGCTTCTGTTTCCAGGAGTGGACAGGGTTGTTGTATGGGTGGCAAAGGCCCCATCCCTGTAGAGATTCATGTAGATTAGTAGCCCATTCTGGCCTCGCCGGCTGTGGTTGTAACAGCAGCACTTGACCGAGTGTTCCACTGTTTGAATTCCTTGTGATAACGATTGTACATTTCCATACTGTCTTTCATTTAGAAGGATCACAAAGTGCCTTACAAACACATACGCAGAGATCACGTAACTTACCTCTGTAGTGCAACATGACAGTGCACTCCAGCAGTTTTAAGGCAAGAAGTGAAGAATACAGTCCGGTTGAACTGAAGAGGAATTTAAGACGGCAGAATATAATGACCAGAGTAGGACAAGGACACTGGGGATAATTCTTCTGAAAAGTGCTACGGAAGGATCAGTTTTATGTTTTGTCTGAAAGACAGATCGCTACCTCCAATAGCACAGCACTCCTATGTTCTGTTGGCCACTCATTCAATAGCCAAAAGCACCTTCTATTGTACCATCATTGCCAGTTTGGTGTGTTCCTTACAGGACTCCCCTCCAAGTGCTGACCCAGATTGACCCCACTTAGTTTGTGAGAGTTGTGGAGGCTAGAAACTGCAGTAGGGATTTGGGCAAGCAGAATGTCATATCAATTGGAATTTTTTACAGGCCAGAAAACGGAAGGGTGTGCTTTAATCTGCACCAGAGCTATCAGTTGTTCATCTTCCACTATAACAAATGAAAGCGTCCATCTGCCTGATGGATAAAGGCATGCTGCTATTTGGCTAAGAGCGTAATCTACCAATAACGCCTCTCCACAGAGCTGTTCAGTAACTAAGCTTGCTGAAAGGATAAACTAACATTTCAGCCCTTTTTTTAAACAGGACATTTTCATGCCCGTTACCTCTGTTTCAATACACTCTCCTCCTCCAAACCTTTCTACTGAATTTTGTAGCCACACACAGTGGGTTACAAACCCTAGAAGAGGGCATCATCTTCTAAAAGGCTAGCCAATATCTATTCAGCCACAGTCACACAGGCAATTACAACCAATAGAGGTTTGTAGGCCACATTATCATTTTTGTTGGAGGTTCAGCTTTTTAATTTAAAAAAGAAAAAGCCCTATCTCCTCCTGACTTTGTCTGACTCCCAAATACCATGGATATTCTTGGACTGTTCCCTCGGAATGTATCGACTGATGTCATTCTTGCCCAGTTGTCAGCCGTAGTAAACCTTTGTCCCAGTCCATAGAGCACTGTGGATTATAAAGCAGTTGAATGTGCATGTTGTTCTTCTGTGCTGGCTCACCACATTGTTATGTTATCTGTTAGCTGGTAAGGTAGTCCAGGATTGCTCTATGATCCTCTGTGTTCTCAGAAATCGTCGGCTAAAGCTGACAGTTGCATAGCAAGTGAGAGAATTCTGGAAATCACTATTAAAGACATTGGACTGTAGGAGGTACAGCAATTTTGTTCTTAATTTGGCTTTTAATAAAAGGAAACCAGAAGCTAAAGAGTAAGTTCAGTGAATCTCAAATTCTTATTGAATCTAATCACCGCTTCGTCTCCTCATTTACCTGTAAATAAGTGACTGCTATAGAGCTTACACTTAGAAAACAATATCCTCGGAGAAAAGCAGCACAAAGGCTAAGATGCAGCTACAATTCTGAAACCATTTGTTATTTCAAAAAAAACCTCTATGCCTATTCTCGAGAAACAACCCTGTCTTATTTCCATAACCGTGTATGCATTTCAGAGCTATAACTTCATGTACCAACTGCTTTCACTTGGATTCAGATGAATAACGATGGCCCTCTATTTGGCAAAGCAAGTCGTCATATGCTGCAGTTCCATTGACTTTAATGAGACTTAAGCAGATGGTTTAAGCATGTGTTTAAGTCAGTCCCTATTCAGTAAAGCAGAAACATCTGCTTAAGTACTATACTGAATTGGGGCCTAATAAAAACTGAGCTTGGAGGATACACAAGACTCGGAAATAGCGAAGCTTACTCTCCCATCACAAAGTTTAACTACATTTAAAATGATCATAACACATAAGAAATCCTCTGTCCATTTCTTGTTCACTCAGCTCTATGTTCAAATCATTCTGAAAAAAAGATAAGTGTTCTCCCCCCCCCGATATGGCTACCCATCATACCTCTTTCAGGCACTGTTCATAAAGTCAGTCTTTTTGCAGCACAAGCACAAGGGTACAGAGTGGCAGGAGATGAGACTGAAAACAGAGACGTTGCAAGTCTCTTGGATTTGCACTCCCTGACTTCTTGATGAGCTTAGTGTCCTGTTCCATGTTATCATTATGATGTCATCACTTTGAAAAGCAGTTTCAAGGTGTTCGCTAGCACTTAGTAACTTAATGGGCACTTTTGTTTTCGAGCTAGTCATAAGCCAGAATGTTTTAAAGCCCAGCTTGTCTTCACAGTGCTTCTGCACTTGAGAAACTAGGAGACTAATATCTTTTCCCCAATTAAGAAAACCTAAATAACGCATGAAAAGGGAGTAGTTAGAGCACAGCACTGAGGGGCGGGATTCTTTGGAATCCATTCAAATTGTAGCCCATCTTCCTCTGCAAGCTTAAATAATTGATAATATTCACCTTCCTCACATGGGGCACCTGTGACGATTAATTTTGGTAAGACATAAATTCCACACATTGTTAGTCTAAGCTGCATAACTCAATGAAGCAGGTAGCCTTCTGTCCAATAGGGACTTTTATTTTGAAAATCATTTTTAGGGGACACTTCAGCAGGCATGCATAACCCTTTTTGGAAGGTAGTAAGGTGGGTGTTAGCACACAGGACAGGGAGGGGTTCATTGCAAAGAAAACTATGTTGCACTGAACAGCCCACATGGCGTAACTCCACAGCGCAGATGGCAGGTGCTCAGGAGAACATGGTCAAGCCCACAGTTAGTTTAACAAAGTCAGAATGGTGCAAGATGCAGAGGCAAAAGCCCAGACCTAAGAAGTAGTATAATGCCACCATCTTAAAACCTTATTAGTCACAAGGAGTTTGAGCTCAACCTTAACTCTTCATTGCTTTTTTTGAGTGGTTGATATAATTAGTGTTTAATTAGCTGATGGAAGAGAGCTTTTAAAGCCTATAGTCAGAGGGAACAAAAGTTCTCATTGGTGATCATCTTTGAGAACTCATGGAGGACAGATGACGTCCCAGGGGGTTGAAGGGCAAACATAGTACTGTCTTTAAAAAAGGGAACAAAAGAGGCCCTGGGGAATTCCAGTCCAGTCAGCTTAACTTTGATACCTGGAAAGATACTGGAACAAATTATTAAACAACCAATTTATAAGCACCTACAGGATAACAGTCAGCATGGATATGCCAAGCAAAATCATGCTACTCCCACCTAATTTCCTTCTTTAACAGGCTTACTGGCCTAATGGATAGGTAGTGTAGGTGATAGCTTGATTTTAGTAAAGCTGTTGACAGAGTCACCATGACATTCTCATAATAAAACTAAGGAAATGTGGTCTAGGTGAAATTACCATACGGTGGGTATATAACTAGTTGAAAGTCCATACTCAAAGAGTAGTTATCAGAGATTAAATACTGGAATAGGCTTCCAAGGGACATTGTGGAATCCCCCTCACTGGAGATTTTTAAGTACAGGTAAGGCAAACACCTCTCAGGGATGGTCTAGGTATACTTGGTCCTGCCTCAGCACAGGGGCTGGACTTGATAACCTCTTGAGGTCCCTTCCAGCCCTACATTTCTATGAAAAGTTGCTCGGCAAAGTTATGTAAATTAATGTAAGTCACTCGCCTGTTTTGACCATTTTACTTCTAGCGAGGAGGCTGCAGGTTCCTCAGCCTACACAATGACAGCGCTACCCTAGGTCACCAGAGAATTTGAAGAAGAGGAGCTAAGCTGTGCCGTTAATTTTGTAAGGTTACAGCAAATGGAGTATTTTTCTGGTACAGTTTTTGTCTAGCTAACTTCATCTCAGCAAAGAAGCCTTTTCCCTTTCATGTTCCCTTTCAAAAACAAAGTTTCTGCTAAATCTTAGATCTCTTCTGTGAGCCTGAAGCAGTAATTTCTGGGAAAATTTTAAGCATATTACGGAGACACAGCTAGGGCCCCACAGCAATTGCACTAAGGATTTCACATTCCTAGCACCAGGGTATTTAAACTGTGCACTAAATTAACGGAGTACAAATGCCCAGAACAAATAGGTGTTTCTCTCTCTGCTCCTCCAGGGAAAATAACTAGCTGTGACAGCAAGGGTAGTTACGTGGCAAACTTCTCACACATTATATAAATAAATATTCTGCCATGAAGTGTGCAGGTGAGAGGAAGTGCTAGTGTAACCCACAAGCCTTCTGGGTGTGGTGTTCTTTCCTATCTAGTGGCACCGAGACCACTTAGAGAGAGAGAAAATGAGTCTGCTCTACAGCCTCACGTGGTAGAGGCTCCTGCACTAAGCTCCAAAAGTCCCAGATGGGTCTGTCACTGTTACACCAGGATAACATTAATTCTCAGAAGCACTGGAAGCATCAACCATTGTTTAATTCATTAATGTTGTACCATTACCTCCTGCAGACGTTCAGCCCTTGGAACCAGATCTCCCCCCTTATATTAGCATAGAACTGGAGGCTCTTTACAATATAGTGGCGAGCTAGAACATAGCTTCTGCTCTTGGGAATCAGATCCCAAACAGCGTTAGCTAGGCCTGGTTGGTCTCTGCCATTGCTATTAAACACGGTCCTCCTCCAATCCAAAACATTTATTGGCCCAGACGGATTACTCTGCTCTTCTGGATTAGCCCAGAGTATATTTTCTAGACTGCCAACCACATGCATGACTATGAGGATGGATCTGAACAGTTGGAGAGGTCAGTACTATGCAGCAGAATTCAGGTGCACTAAGGATGTAGAATCTGCAAGCATACATCTTCCACTGCATTGACTAGCAGCATACAGAATGCCAGGCTGGATGGCTTCAGGGAAATGTGGTCATTATTTCAGGAGCAAAAGGCTAAAGTGTTCACAGAACTAGTCTGCTCCAAGCCGTCACAAAAGTAGCACCAACCCCCTTTCAACATCATGAATGTCACTATTTCCATGCCACTTGCTGCCTTGTCTTACGAGGATCTGCTGCAAAGACAGAATTCCAGGTGCTTTGGTTACAATAGGTTCCATTTATAGTTTCACACAAACTTTAAAGAAAGTCATTTCCGACTTATCAGTACAAAATTATTTTTAAAACTTGCCAGAGTTTATTTTCTTATCATACACAGTAATGACTACTAAATTTCAGATGTGGTAGCCCCCCGGTTAAAGGCAGATGTTTTTCCTCTCCCCTCCACAGTGCACTGTACAGAACCACCAGTTATGCAGATTATAATGGATTACAAACTGCATTATGTGAAAGGACATTACAATTAAAAAGTGGATTTTTACCCCAATTTGCCCTGAAAAATCATTTCCAAATGTTTCACTTCCCTAGGATCATGCCGCCATCTCTCATTTGTACCACTGCCTTTTCAGAGGCAGAATTCAAAAGCTCCCAGTTGTGTTCCTTATTACCTCTCCCCCACATAAAACATCACTGAATAGTTCTCACTATATAGAAGAAAACAGTGTGAAGTTGCCATATTTACTGGTTGCGAATATGGTCTCTTCCACCAGCACTTCAAGACAGTACTACAGCGTGCACCAAAAAGACACAGAACAATACGCATCAATCTCAATGACTAGAGTGATGAAGCTGTAAATAATACACAAGAATAGTGGTCCAAGAGCATGAAGTCTTCTTGTTCTTGCTGTGTGTTGCAATGCCTTTGTAACTTACAAAACTTGACAAATATTCCAGCTATTTAAGAAGCCATGGGGCAGCAGGTGGCATCTACAGACACACATTTGGCCTAGTATAGAAAAGTCTGTTCCATACAACAGTTTCCTCTCCTGCCAATGAAAAGCATGTAGACACCCACAGAGGCAAAAGTACTTTGTTTGGCAGTGTCAAAATTCCACAGTTGTCTGTACATTCGTTGGCCTGGAACAACAAACTGAAAATTCAGGACTGATGTTTCAATCCTCCCTTCATTCGTCCACAGCCAATTTATTATTTGTTGGGTTTAAAAAAAAAAAAATTAAAGTATCATCAGATTTTATTGCTTTTCGTGGTCAACAGAAGTTAGAAGCGGGCCGAGAATTAAGCCTAACCAGAGAGCTTTGGGATGTCCATAGCAGGCCTTGAATTGTTACCATCTGTCTTTTACAATCCCTTTTTTTCCAGTTTTTCCAGTATGGCCTGGATTCTATGAACAGCCTCCTTCCTAGCCTGTCGAACATTGTCCTGGCCACAAGTCTCTATGGAATCCAGTTCCAACAGCTCCTTGGTCAGCATTTCCTCCAGGAGCCGGTATGCTTTGTCTGTCTTTTTCCCTACAAATTCATCCACCTCTTGCTCCAACTGCTCAACTTCCTCCATAACTTGCATAACTCTCTGAATCCCTGGCTGCTTTCCCAGGGAGTTTGACAAAGGCTGATTGCTGGGTTTAAAACCTGCATCCTGGTTCAAAGGTGGTTTCCTAGGTACATTATCATACATTTGGGGCTGTGCGCTGTATTGCACTTTGGGATTGAAATGGGATGGTTTGGTGTTTAGTTGAGTTGATTTGTGATCATTCATAGTCCCAGAGGGCTGATGATTGACTTCTGGAAAGTAGTTGTTGTGGTTTGCTCCTTGGTCTGGTTTGTCATAAGAAGTATCCTAAATCAGAAACAAGCAGAGGTTTTAAAATTTGTTTCCTTCAACACCAGTTTTCTTATCCCACATCCTGCATCAAAGAGGGAATGCAAGCAGATCTCTGAGCAGCAGGGCCAGTCTGCCTCCCTGCTCATTTGGAAGATGTGCATGCCCAGGATGGCAGCGCAAAAAGGGTTCGGGTAATGGAAGTTACTAAGGATGAGGCCTGCACTTTGAGACTGTCATCCACCGTGATGTCATAATATTCTGTGACCTAATAACGTGAAACTTACACAACTTTCTTCAATAAGCATTGCTGCCCATAAACAAGCCCAAAAAGGAATGCTCAGAGACAGCTAGTGATCAAGTCTTTGACCTATTTAAGAACAAACTAGTTAGAGGAACCACATCTGGTTCACAAAACTCTGTGTCTGCGGAATGACAATGTGACAGTTGTGAAATAGCCCACAGCAAGGTCAGGATTATACTTGCTACAGCTATGTTTAGCCATGATATTTGCTAGCAGGATTCTAGCACAATTCCTCTGGTATGTGTGGATGTATTTGAGTGGATCATGAGAGATACTCTCTTTCCAGGGAGTATATTACACAATTTTATAACTATTCCCAGATGACAAATTCATGGCCATACTATTCAAAAAAATCCACATTAGAATCCTGCTAGCAAGTACTTTGTCAACACAGTTGTACCTTCTAGAGATCTGATCCTGGTGTGGCCAGGGCCTCTAACTGTAAAGAGGAGAATGGTGAGACTAGGAAGGAACAGAATCCATTATTCCCACAACACTAATTTTTAGCGACGTCTAGTAAAGGATTCCTGTGCCCAGGAGTTCACTTGGACAGGAACACAACAATTGCGTGTGGATCAGGACAGGCCCTTCTAGCCCAGTCTCCTGGCTCCCAGTGACCAGCACCAGATGCTTCAGAGGAAGATGCAAGAAACCCTGCAGCAGGCAGATATGGGATAATCTGCCCCCCGTAAAGGTCTCACCCTAATCCCTACTAATGAGAGACTGTTTTAAGACCTGGAGCATGAGATCTGATATTCCCTCCAGTACCTCCCTTTAGTTTTTTGCATTAAGTATAACTCTGTATATTCTTTATGAATATCCAAGTTAATGGATCTAAAAGACCATTGTGAGAATTCCTAGTTTTAATTAGTTTGGTTCTATGTAGTATGAACCCATTACTTTAACAGAGGGGGGAAAGGTGGAAGCACTTCAAAGAAATGAAAAGTACATGTGTTTTTCAGGGAAGCAGTGTAGTCTAGTGGTCTGATCACAGACCTGCAGTCAGAGAGCTCATCCTGACTGACGGATTCACTCTACAATTATTTAGCATTGTACAGCGTTCTGAAGCTGTAAAAGCAGTATGTAAATACCAAACAGTATTGGATTTCCAAGCAAGATCTTTTCTTCCCTGCGCCAGCGGGAGCTAGAAGCACTGTAAAAGCAGCATGCTAAGCTTCTGGGGAAGGGGTTTTTGCACTGCTGTGCAGTGACCCATACGGCCGAGTTAATATAGGCACCAGTAAGTGTCAAAAAATTAAATCTTTACCTTTGTATCATGAGCTGGAGGATGAGGAGAAGGAGCTCCATTGCCAGGCCAGGATGGAGATGATTCTGAAACAAATGGACTTCCTTGGGGTGTTGAAGCAGCAGGCCAGGCATAACGTGGCTGCATCCCATAGATGCCAGAGGAAGCCCAAGATTCATCCTGGGGTCTTGGTTGTGGTGGTGGAGGCCCCTGCTGTGGAATGCCAGGGTTGGTATCTCCTCCATATGGATAGTGGGGGACAGGCATACCTGGGGTCTGCAGGAAGAGGGAAACGAAGGTAGTACTTTCAAGGTCATGTTCACTCAGTCATTGGAAATACCTTTGGACATGCTTCTCCACTCCTACTAAACACTCCTTGTTAAGAGCCACAAAGTCAGACCAGCTACCTTGGCTCTGACATGTCAGCCTATTAATTCTGAGTCCTAGGCCAAGGGAGTGGTTACACATCTTTATAAGAGTGGGCATGGCTGGCTCTCTTGGCAATTTATGTAGTTTAGCTGCAGTCTAAGTCAGCACAGTGTCAGTCAAAATACTGGGCTGTGTTGGAGAGATGAGAGACCTGGGGCATGAGATGGACCTCGGGGTAAACATTTCCCGTGCTGGAGCCAAGAACAGCAGCTATGTAGTGCACTTCTAGGGCTCAGACCTGACTAGCTGGTAGCTGGAAGGGCAGACTGCCCTTAGGCTAGCGCATGCCAACCTTTGCTTCAGAAGGGCTATATCCAATACTGAGCTGGGTTGTACTCACACCAGCCCCAAGCATATTCCCAAAGGAAGCATGTATTCCTTGTATTAGCTTCCTTACCGATGGTGGGGAGTATCCTGGGGCCTGCCTCCTGAGAGAGGGGCCTTCCGGGGGGCAGTCTGGTGGGGGATAATTCCAGTGCGAGGCTGGCGATGGCGGCCGGTACATGCTCGGAGACTCTGCTGGATAGGCGGCCCGAGGGTGCCCAGAAGAATAGTAAGTGTTTGACTGTGGCAGATTAGCATAGTGTGGAGCAGCCCCAGGGGCTGAGGGGTAAGGGGCGCCATAGGCTCCATTTGTGTAGGGAGACTCCAGTCCCTGAAAAACAAGCAGAGAACATATTTGAGAGATGGACACAGATTGAATGTGGACAACACCAACCGGGGGGGGGGGGGCTACGAGCACTTTGGAGGACAGGAATGAATGCCAATTTGTCAAGATTGCTTTGAAAACTGGTCTGAAATAAGTAAGATAAAATCCAATGTGGAGAAATGCAAAGGACTGCACCTAGGAAGGAAAAAATCAAATGCAGAAATACAAGACGGGGAAATAACTGAGTAGGCTGCAATACTGCTGAAAAGGATCTGGGGGTTACAGTGGGTCACAAATAGAATATGAGTCAACAATGTGATGCTGTTGTGAACAAGGCAAATGTCATTTTGGGATGTATTAACAGGAATGTTGTATGTCAGACATGGGAGGGAATTGTTCTGCTCAACACTGGTCAGGCCTCAGCTGGAAAACTGTGTCCAGTTTTGGACACCACACTTTAGGAAAGATGTGAACAAACTGGAGCAGTCCAGAGGGCAGCAATAAAAATGATAAAAGGTTTAGAAAACCCGATCTCAGAGGAAAGGTTGAAACAATTAGGCATATTTAGTTTTGAGAAGGCTGAGGGAGGATATGCTAAGTCTTCAGATATGTGAAAGGTTGTTACGAAGAGGACAACACGCAATTGTTCTCCGTGTCCATCAAGGGAAGGACAAGAAGTAATCGGCTTAATTTGCAGCAAGGGAGATGTAGGTTGGATATTAGGAAAAAATTTCTAACCAAGTATTACGTACTAGAATAGGTTACCAAGGGAGGTTGTGGAATCTCCATCATTGTCTAACCTGTCCTTAAACTCCCAAACCCCTGTCTAGGTACACTTAAATCCTGCCCCAGAAAGACAGGAGGTTGCGGGGGATGGATTAGATAACTTCCTGAGGTCCTTTCCAGCCCTCCATTTCTGTGATTCTATGAGTGGCCAAAGGCTCTAGGGTCTGGAATAGGAGCAGCAACATAGCTGTGTAGGAGAAGAGTGGAATAGGTTTTAGACAACTGCAAAATAGGGATTTTAGTCTCAAATCAGGAAATTCAGAGTTATGGTTTCCATAGCAACTGTGCACACACCAGCAAGGAATATTAATCTTGTTGCTGTGGGAACCATAACTCTTTCTCACTGGAGTGATTAAAGTTTTACCATTGAAGTAGGATAGAGGTTTTGCATTTGAAAATTTGTGGGTTGGGGAAAAAATATAGGGTAGAAATTTAATTGTCTTCCTCCTGCCATGTCTTATTATCAAGCATTACAGAGATTCCAATGAGAGGCTGACAAGAATGCTTTACAAACATTAAGCCTCTCCACCACCCCTGTAAGGCAGGTCAACATTATTTCACTGTCAGGTGCTGCTCAGCACACTGCTTGTGATCCCTACCTTGTGCCCAGGTATACTGATTAGTACCGATTAGCCCTCTACAGGCTTATCCACATAACTGTTTCTGGTGCTCCATGGCCCTAGAATCCCTGGAAAAGGTTGATTTCTATCACCCTGACAACCAAAGAGGTCAATCTCTTTTCCATTTCAACAGACCCTCATGATAGAATACCCCTTAGCCCCAACAGCCCTCTTCCCTCCGCAACCCCCTCTCTGGTTTTCACAATCCCTGCCTTTATACAACACTTACAGTCAGTGAAGGATTTGCAAATACTACTCCACATCCTGATTCCCCAAACAACCCCCCCATATCTATCAGTTTCACAAGCCTTTCCAGTTCTTGCTTCCACTTCCTGATTGAGCTGGCCATCAGCACTGATTGTCTATCTCAGGAGCATACACTTGTTTGTCATATTGTATTGTCACGTCAATCACAGAAGCACCATGATTACTGAGCCCCTATATTTGACACTGATATTGGATTTGGAAAAGTAAGGAGAGTCACATAAGAACCAAGTTAAAGTTATACAATGTCATTGTGATACCCACAAGGTTATATTCTTCAGAAACTTGGCAACAGGAAACTTAACGCATTACATAAGAGATGCTTACAGAGAGTACTTGGTGTCCACTGGTGGGATAAAGTAACTAATGCTGATGTGTTACAAAGGACTGACCAACAGACTGTAGGGACAATGATTTGAGAAATAAGGATGAAAGTGTTTGGGTATCTTGTACAGATATGAAAAGACTACGGCTGTCAAGTGATGAAAAAAATTAAATGCGTGATTAAAAAATTAATCACGATTAATCGCACTGTTAAACAATAGAATACCATTTATTTAAATATTTTTGGATGTTTTCTACATTTTCAAATATATTGATTTCAATTACAACACAGAATACGAAGTGTACAGTGCTCACTTTATATTTATTTTTGATTATAAGTGTTTGCACTGTAAAAAATAAATAGTATTTTTCAATTTACCTAATACAAGTACTGTAGTGCAATCTGTTTATCATGAAATTTGAACTTACAAAGGAAGAATTATGTACAAAAAACTGCATTCAAAAATAAAACAATGTAAAATTTTAGAGCCTGCAAGTCTACTCAGTCCTACTTCTTGTTCAGCCAATCGCTCAAACAAGTTTGTTTACATCTGCAGGAGAAAATGCTGCCTGCTTCTTGTTTACAATGATACCTGAAAGTGAGAACAGGCATTCTCATAGCACTGTTGTAGGCAGCGTTGCAAGATATTTACGTGCCAGATGCGCTAAAAGATTCACATGTCCCTTCATGCTTCAACCACCATTCTGCGGGACATGCATCCATGCCGATGACAGGTTCTGCTCGATAACAATCCAAAGCCGCGCAGACCGACGCATGTTCATTTTCATTATCTTATTCAGATGCCACCAGCAGAAGGTTGATTTTCTTTTTTGGTGGTTCAGGTTCTGTAGTTTCTGTATCGGAGTGCTGATCTTTTAAGACTTCTGAAAGCATGCTCCACACCTCATACCGCTCAGATTTTGGACAGCACTTCAGATTATTAAACCTTGGGTTGCGTGCTGTAGCTATCTTTAGAAGTCTCACATTGGTACCTTCTTTGCGTACTGTCAAATCTGCTGTGAAAGTGTTCTTAAAATGAACAACATATGGTGGGTCATCATCCGTGACTGCTATAACATGAAATATATGGCGGAATGTGGGTAAAACAGAGCAGGGGACATACAATTCTCCCACAAGGAGTTCAGTCAAAATTTAATTAATGGATTATTTTTTTAACGAGGATCATCAGCATGGAAGCATGTCCTCTGGAATGATGGCCGAAGCATGAAGGGGCATATGAATGTTTAGTCTATCTGGCATGTAAATACCTTGCAACGCCAGCTACAACAGTGCCATGCGAATGCCAGTTCTCACTTTCAGGTGACATTGTAAAAAAGAAGCAGGCAGCATTATCTCCTGTAAATGTAAACAAATGTGTTAGTCTTAGCAATTGGCTGAATGAGAAGTAGGACTGAGTGGACTTGTAGGCTCTGAAGTTTTACATTGTTTTATTTTTTGAGTGCAGTTATGTAACAAACAAAAAAAATCTACCTTTGTAAGTTGCACTTTCACGATAAAGAGATTGCACTATAGTAACAGTATGAGGTGAATTGAAAAATACTATTTCTTTTATGATTTTTACTGTGCAAATATTTGTAATAAAAAATATACACTTTGATTTCAATTACAACACAGAATACAATATATGAAAATGTAGAAAAACATCCAAAATATTTAATAAATATCAATTGGTATTCTATTGTTTAACAGTGCAATTAAAACTGCAATTAATCTTTTTAATCAAGATTAATTTTTTGAGTGACTCGCGTGAGTTAACTGTGATTAACTGACAGCCCTAGAAAAAACACATTCCTAGATAAGCCCTTGACTGGACACCACTTGGTGAAAGATGGAAAAGAGGAAGACAGCAGATGACATATAAGAAAACTATTGACAAAGATGTTGCTGTCATGGAACAGACTACAATGGAGTAAGAAATGTGGCAACCCTGGGTTGCCTCATGTGTCATAGGGATGAGAGCATCCGCTTTGAGCAGGGAGTTGGACTAGATGACCTCCTGAGGTCCCTTCCAACCCTGATATTCTATGATTCTATTATTCTAATCCAATCCCCACCCCTCCACCCACAGTGCAGCACTCTCAGGGTCGCAGTAAGCTATGTGACCATGTGTGCAAGCTTCCCAGTTTCTCATCAGGAAGCGCATTTGTGGTCCTTGAAGTCATAATCCCACCCCCTGCTTTTCCAGCCCTACATTTCTCCCTCACGGGACATTCTGGAGGCCTTACCAGTGTTGAGCACTGACCATGCTCCTTGATGGCCAGGATGTACTCCGCCAAGGACACAGCCCTACTCCCAGTGTCTGGCCTGTTCCTCCTAACCCATGCCTGAACATCATGTGGGAGGATCTGCAGGAATTGCTCTGTGATTAGCATGTCAGCAATCCGTGCTGCACTCGTGCTTTTGGGCTGGATCCACTTGTGGCAGAGCTCAGATAAGTGAGTGTAAGCCTCCTGGGGCCCTCTGCCTCCTGGAATCTGTACTCCCTAAACCTGTACCGACACATTTCTGCATAGTCGTCAGCCTCCCTCACATCACTGCAATGAGTCTCTTGGACTTATACGTAGGGACCACTGCTCTTTCAGCCACTGATATGCCCTCTGAATGTGTATCCAGAAAGAGCGTGATGGCTGTAAGTGGTCTGGAGAAGCTAGGTGAGGAGGGAGTGCTTCTCCAGGTCTGACCTGGGAGCTCAGAGCCAACCTGTTCGCTCTCTTTCCTAGCTCCAGGAGAAATTGCTGAAATTTTGTTTCTGCCTCCTCCCACCTTTTCTCTGCCTCCTTGCGCCTCCTCTCCCCTTCCAGAAGCTGGAGGAAGAGCCACTTCACCAGATCATCTCTTTCCAGAGAGCCTATATCCTGTTTTGACTGTGGGCAAGCAGCTGCAACACCCTGGATCAGACTGTCTCCTCCAACATCCCCATCTAAACACAGCGGAGAGGATTCAGAACCTTTCAGTGAGTCTTCTCCTTCCATCACCTCCTCCTCTTCTGGCTGCAGAGCTGTGGCCATGTCCCTCTCCAGTGGATGATCTTATTCCATCATTACTACTTCCCCCTGTAGTGGACAGTCTCCCTGCTTTACCTCTTCCAGGGGTAGCAGGTGCTGTGCTGCAGCACCTTCCAACTTGCCTTTGCTCTTCAGCCCTGCATCCTCAAGCACATCTGTCTCAGCTGGCTTTTGGGGGGGGCACTTTCCCCTCAATCTAGCATTTTTCCTATAGTAATTGTGTATTTTCTCTTGCGCAGAGAAATGGGATAGTACACTCTGCCTTCAGCTGTTATACGTAAGTTTCCTTCAGCCCCCAAAATGGGCTGTCTTGGGGCTTCAGGTTTCTCTGACCCAAATTGGAGTTTTGGCAACTTGTAGCTGTCTTTGGACTGCCCACAGTGAGTGGTCACAGGGGCCTGTAAAATCACGATGGCTCCCACCAGCCTTGAAATCTCTCCTTAGTCTTACTACATACATCTTGGTCATATGCAACATGTATATGTAATAATGGTGGTCAGTGACACACACCAAGGCTCTTAGCAACGAAGCATAGGAAGCAATGAGAGGGAATGGAATGCAGTGACATCCACAAGACAGTTGGAGAAGGTCAGTTTTGTTCTGACCAGGTAAGCTGGTAGAAGAGTCTGGTGTAGGACTGAGACGTGGGAGGCTGAAGTTACTGTCTGTGGGGAAGCTGTGTTTATAGCCTAACCCCTCTCTGTCTCTGTGCCTAAATCTGCTGCACTGAGAAAGGCATTTGTTAGTTCTGTCTCATCCTCACAGTATACTTCGTCTTTAGAGGAAGAGAGGGCCACAGCGGTCACAGCAATAGAACAGTCAGAACTAAGAAGGTGCTGACTTTATAATGGTTACATTCTCAAGAGTAATAAATAAATTAGATAATTTTGGAGGGGAGAATAAACTGACAGCCTTAACTGCGCATTGGCAAATTTTGTTTGGAAACATCCAAGCAACTTAGATACGAAATATCTTGGAGCATGTGATCTGGTGAATTAATATTTACTGATGTGGCTATAACACAATGGGATCCTGGTCTGTGACTCAGGCTCCTTGGCACTACTACAATACCAATAATAAATAATACTAACAGCCAAGAAGAGTGAGTCATGGGACCAGAGAGTAGAGAGAAAGTATTCTGTCAGTTCCCTTTTTTCTGCAGGCAAGCGGAAGTACAATGCCCTCTACTGAGGATTAGACTATTCTTTTTTATTATTTAAAGTGTCAGCCATTCTTACAGATTATCAGGCATTTCACTACCTACACAGCTGGGGCCTTTTATTTTGTTAATCTCTTTAAAAACGAGGAAAGTCATAGGAGTCGTTCTCAAGCACTAAATTCCCATCCTCTTCCCCTCCATTGGAGGACGCATTGAGTTCCTAGATTACTTTGGCTGTAATGCAACTAGCAGTTGGGACCAGACTCTTTCCCTACATGCACATCACATGTGTATTCCCAATCGTGAGGTTTGCTAAACAGTTTCCATACGCTCATGCCTGATGCAAGTCCTGTCATTTATAATGACAACAGCTGGCTGACATTTTTCAAACAATTTATTCCAATTTAAAAAATGGCCTATTTGAAGAGGGAATTTTTTGCAAAAAATTCTCTTATTTGGAAAAAATTGGAAGAAAAATTTAACTACTTTTCATTTTGTTTTTCCTATCCCCACCTTTTTCAATTTTGCCAATGAATAAGACAGGGAGGAAACTACTTTCCATTTTTTGTGTAAAATGTTGAATAAATTAAGTTGCTCCTTTTCAAAAGCTGGGAATTAAAATGATGCATTTTCTGCAAAAAGCGTTTGTTATCTTTTACTAGTGCTAATACTGACTTTGCGTATGAGTAAGTGTTATTATTCCAATATTCCTAATAAGAAATATGTATTATTTGTAGTGCATTAGCATCACAGGGCCCATTGTGCGAGGCACTACACACCCACACTTGCCATTGCATTTATACCTTTTCCAAATAGCAACCGTTTGACCTGTGCATATCCAAAGGCTCAAGTTGCTTTTCCTACATGGCTTGTGTTTTTACAGATTTTACTGTACATCCAAGTTCATTCAAGGAGCATGAAACACACCTTATCCATAGTCACCAGAGTGAGGGTGTTAGTGTTCCCAAAACAGAAAAAGCTCTTTCCTTTTCAACCAAATAAAAAACGCACTAACACTGTCAGGTAAGAAACACGGTCACTCTGGTTCTCAAAAAAAAGAAGTGTAAAGTCCTTAGAGAATGACTGCTCCAACCACAATCACGACGGGAAACCAAATTCATCTTGTAACACAAACCCTAGCGCATCTCATGCTATAGGAGCATAAGGTGAGATTTTACTGTTATACTTTAAGCAGATGAGATGCAAGTATGAAACCCTAAAGCAACACGTGCTTTGTAATTAGCTAAATAACGTTTTCCAATGAGAGGAGTGTTCAAACAGAACATACCAGATTGCTATTGTATAGAGTAGGGCTTTATAAACAGGGTCACCAGCCATACCAATGTTGTATCTGCTTTAGTGGCAAGATAAGAGCGAATTTCTTCAGCTGGCAGGATAAAGAAACCAGAAGAATTTGCCCAGTACCAGGGTGCAAGAATTCCAAACACACATCAAGGATGGGCAGGAAGAGAAGGGCAAGGAAGAGTCTACTCTGCCCGCAGCTTTCGGGGAGTGGGCAGAATGTGTATGTCTTTCAGCATTTTCAGTCTATAGGATTAATTTTGGCTGCAATGTTAAATTACACAGGCATTTTCTTGCTTTCCAGAGCTCTAGTTTCAGATTGTAGCTTCTAGGGTGATCTAATGGTAGGGCAGAGGAGTAGGTTCTATTCCCACTTCCACCACTGACTCACTGCGTGACCGCAGGCAAGTCACTTTTTCTGTCTGTTCCTCAGTTTCCCTATTTATAAAACAGAATAAAAACCTGCCTAACACATGACTGTTTTAAGAGTCTGTAAAGCATTTTGGCATCTTTGACTGAAAGACACTAGAAGAGTCATTTGGGATTCTTCATTTAGTTGGACCACTGATAAAAAAATAATTACCCAAATTACTCTCAGTTTGCTGGCAACAAGACACAGTGCATTTCATATCAAGCAGCTGGAAGTCACCAACACTGACAGCAAAGGAGATTAATACATTTGCACTGAGCTTCAACAATTAGCTAAAGAGTTTCAGGCATGGATGCTAAAGTAGTTTAAAGTTTCAGTGTCCAGTTCAAACCCAATTTAATATTTTCACATCAGTATGTGGGATTTCCTGATGCTAATGCAGTCAGGAGAAATGGGCAAAGGAACCAAGTGCTTAGGAACATCGCCTGTGGGGGATTCTTGGGTCCTTTCTTTTCAAGGGAAACCAGCCCTTTAGTATTGGGGTATGGCTTTAACCTCACCCCAACAAGACAAACCTTTCAGATTCAAAAGAAACAAGAGGTGAAAGAGTTGCCCTTCTACTATACCTGGCTTTGTAACTCAGGTCCAGCGGGGTACGGACTTGGGTAGGGAACTCTGGGCTGCACCGCAGAGTTCCAGTAGTTGGAACCATAGCCAGGATAAGGAGGCTGCTCCTAAGAAGGAAAATAAAAACTCATTTGCAGATAGCAATGGTCACAGTCCAAGGGCAACTGCACGTTTATTCCTCCTTCATGGTCCAACAAGAGCACCTTACTCTCAGATTTCTGGCTCCCCAGCCATCACCTCTCTTGAGCAGAGACACGTCTCTCCCCCATTACTGGAGTACTTCCAGGCTGCACAGATCCCTGCCTACACTGTGATTTCCCCAGCTGTCAGACTGCCTAAACAGGCCTGCTTTACTTTTCTCCTCAGAGGCTATAAACAGTGTAATTGCCTACAATAAAGTTACCACACAGCTCTAAGCAAGCAGATTTTATTCTTAAAGTAAAAATCATTACAGAGAAAAAATATAAAAACAATAAAAGAACCTACACGCATGCTAATAAGCTTACCAGAGATGTCTCCCTAACTCCAACAAGGCTTCTGGCCGATGAACAGTCCTCCCAACCCCACACAGGAGTTTTTCTGTGGCCACAAGTTCATAACAGCTTTTGCTCAGAACAAGTGCAACCCCCTCCCCACCTGCAAATCTGAGAGTCAGTCTTGTATCCAGTTTGGGCTTCTGAGCTTGTCCTCGTGTAACAGGCAATCAGCAAACAACACACTTTCCTCAGGGCACAGCTGCTAAAAATTGGGTGAGAAGGCACCTTCCCCTCCTCCCAAGTATTTCCTAGCAAGCCCACTTAATTTGGTTTGTCTAACACAGTTTCAGAGTCCTCTGAAGCTCACAGCACTTCCCAGGGTTTACATTAGTCCTGTCCCCCCCCCCCCCCAATTAAAGAAGCTGCATATAATCCCACAATAATACATAAACATTAGCATTTTTATACAATCAACTCCTAAGATACTTAAACTTCATTCAAGTGAGGTTTGCCCAGGACATTGCCATATCGGTCACAGTAACGAACAGAAGTCTCCCCATTCGGGAAAGAAAGGGGAAGAGTTCATTCCGTGTATAACGAGGAACAGCAGCCCAAGCTCATTAAAGATACAGCAGCCACAAAGAATTACAAGAACTCATGCTGCCCATTTGCTATTAGCAATACACAGATGCAGTTAACTCCTCATGAAAAAGGCTCTTGGAATGTGCTCACTGACATTCATGCTAGGTACTGCTGCAAACAACACTTTTACAGACGCACCTCTCCCCTGCCATCCTTGCCTTTGCTATATTCAAGCTTACTAGGTGTCTTTCACTGTAAGAGCTGGCTGCTGGCAGCCAGGGTCAGCCTGATGTCAGGAACTGATGTGGAACACTGGCAAGCCTTGCTCTGAGCTGTACAGGTAGCAACACAGCCCCTGCTGCAATCTTCAGTCCCAGGAACCTGTCTGTGCTTAGGGTGAATCAGACTGTTACCATCTTACTGTGACAACAGAGCTAGGAAACCATTCTTATCTGACACCCTTTTCAGCACTGCACTGTAATCCACAGCCCTTCTCTAGCACCTTCCATCAGGGGATCTTAAATTGCTTTTCTAAACAAATGAGCCTCACAGTTCCCATGGGAAGAAGTTACTCCTCTAATTGTACAGGATGCAATGAGATCGCCAACCTGCTTTGTTCCTCTGAGCACGTATTGTGGGGGTCTGTACAGAGAAAGGAATTGAAAGAGACACAACCCCTTTCTAAAAGCATGTTTTAACACATCTTCAAGCTAGCTCTGCTCTCAGCATACTTCTCACAGCTTACAGGAGGACAAGCTCCCAAGCTTGTGATCCCCAACTCTCAGACCAGGGCAGGGTGCTGACAGCACCACAGAAGTTGGATGCTCTGGGTAATTTCACTTTTGACCATGAATAAAAACCTGAATGTTCTAGACTCTAAAGTAGATGAATTAACCTTTGGAGTCCAACAAGCAGTGTTAACTCTAGAAACCACCGTTTGATCCACTAGTTCTCTGCTGCTTAGGATAGGAAAATTCAGACCTCATTCTGTTTTTCTGATGTCTCTTTTCCTTCTACAGTTCTTCCCAAGTCACATAAAGAGTGAGTTACCAGATCCCACTACCCAGGATAACTCCACTCACCAGCCACACTTCATCACCCCTTAGCCTGCCTGAAGAATTGTGCCTGTGGATTCTGAGATGATACTTGGCTACCACCACAGTGATGTCTAGACCCACATGCCTTAGGAGAGAGATTCCCTTTAGCCTGGTGACCCATCTGCTAAAAGGACCAAATTAAAATACAACCACAGTCTATTACCTCTTTGCCTTGAACTATATGAAAAATGGGTTATTTGGGGGAGGAGGTTAACTAGGGGAGGGGAGGGGATGAGTGCAGACTTAGGAAAGAGCACATGATCTGCATTCATGTATACCCACTGTCCCAGAGGGGTGAAAAGTGACAGCACTAGAACTAGCAAAAGATTAGACAATGTCTAATCAAAAACATGCAAAGAGAATCCATAATAAGATATGTTGCAGTGCTGTGAATCCTAGAATACCAGAGTTGGAAGGGACCTCAGGAGGTCATCTAGTCCAACCCCCTGCTCAAAGCAGGACCAATCCCCAACTAAATCAGGGAAAGAAGGGCTTGCCTGAACAGTCTGCTATATGTGACTTAACACATTCTATAAAGGCCTGAAAGCATGTTAAGGTGTCAGCTATTTTCAAATCCTCACACACAATGTAATTACAAGCCTTTCCAGGCTTCTTGCCTCTCCAGGCTAGCTGCCAAAACCAGAATTCCTCCCTCTCCGGCCTTTGAGGTGGCATTGCACAGAGGCACTTTCCAGTAGCTGTAGGCTCAAGCCTCTAAGATAGTGCACCAGCTTAAGGGCGAGCTGATGGAGAGTCGCCTTGAGTACAGAAACAGCAAGAGAAATGTGTAATCAATTAAGCAGAGGAGTGCAAAGGATTCAGGAACACAGCAACTATTTAGCTTAATTGCATCTTAGGGCAGTCATCTTTTCCACACCAGGCTAGTGACAGACCACTACACCTGGGGCATCTGCACCCTGGAACCCCAGGAGCCTTCCCCAGCTCCCTTCAGGAGTGCTCATAAGGTACACCCACACCCCCGGTCTCTAGGGCAGGAGCATGCCCGGGGACGCCCCCAGCGATGCTCCCCTCCCAGCCCCTAGGGGCCTTCCAGGCTCTGTCGCAGGACTACCCCCCACAGAGCTCGCTCCAGCCCCGGATCGCCCCCCACAGAGCTCGCTCCAGCCCCGGGATCGCCCCCCACAGAGCTCGCTCCAGCCCCGGATCGCCCCCCACAGAGCTCGCTCCCCCCGGGATCGCCCCCCACAGAGCTCGCTCCAGCCCCGGGATCGCCCCCCACAGAGCTCGCTCCAGCCCCGGATCGCCCCCCACAGAGCTCGCTCCAGCCCCGGGATCGCCCCCCACAGAGCTCGCTCCAGCCCCGGATCGCCCCCCACAGAGCTCGCTCCAGCCCCGGATCGCCCCCCACAGAGCTCGCTCCAGCCCCGGGATCGCCCCCCACAGAGCTCGCTCCAGCCCCGGGATCGCCCCCCACAGAGCTCGCTCCAGCCCCGGGATCGCCCCCCACAGAGCTCGCTCCAGCCCCGGGATCGCCCCCCACAGAGCTCGCTCCAGCCCCGGGATCGCCCCCCACAGAGCTCGCTCCAGCCCCCCAGGGGGTCCCAGTTACCTGGGGGCCGCCGCCCCGGCCGGGCCTGTCCCAGTAGCTGCCCCCGGGCCAGGCCGGCCCCATCCCAGCCCCGCGGTGCTGCGGGCACGCCCGGGGCTCCATGCCCCAGGGGCCTGGGGGCGGCTCCGGCTCCGGCCGAGCCCGCTCCGCCTCCGGCCCGTACAGCAGCCGCCGCAGGGCAGACATTACCAGCCCCGCTGCCGGCTCGCTGCCACGCTACCGCGCCTGCGCCAAGGCCGCCCGCTGCAGCCAATCCCCATCAGGGATACAACCTCCACCAGCAGCATAACCAGGTCAGCCAATGGCCCTGACGGTGCCATCTCAACTCTACAGCTCCTGCAGCCTTAGCCAATCACTGAGATGGTACCGCCCACGCCGTGCATATCAGCCAATCAGCCCTAGCGTTCCGCATCTAAAGTCTCAAACAAAAATTTAGCCAATCAGCGTCAACTTTCCGTCCGTCCCAGCCCGATCCACCAATCAATGGAAACCGGGCTGTGCACAAGGCACCCGTTTCTTAAAGAGACAGGCACACGATGCCCTCGCCGAGTCCCCCGTCTTAACTCAGCACAGCCCCGCCCGAGCCCTACCCGGGGAGCGCTGGGCGAGGCTGTGGGTCGGGGGGTGCCCCACCCCCACCCCCGTCACGCCGCGCTCGAGCGACGGGAGCCCAAAGGGGCCCCGCCCGGCCCCTCACGCAGCCGCGGGCCCGCGCCCCGGGGGGGCGGTGATCCCGCGGCGCGGGGCGGGCCGGGGCGGGTCCATCCGGGGGCAGATGGCGGCGCTTCCGCTGCGTGCGGTGGGCGGCGGGAGCGGGGCGGGACCCGTCGGGCTGGGGCCGCAGGATGAACTACATGCCGGGCACCGCCAGCCTCATCCAGGACATCGACAGTGAGTGGCGCCCGCCGGGGGGAGCCGCCCCCTGGGCCCCGGACCGGCCCCGCCCCAACCCCACGGGCCCCCCGCTCCAACCCCCCGGACCCCCCGGCCTGGCCCCGCCCCAACCCCCCGGGCCCCCCGCTCCCGCCCCAACCCCCCGGTCCAACCCCCCCTCCCGGTCGGGCCCCGCTCCAATCCCCGCCCCACCCCCCCAACCCCCCGCCCCCCCCCCCCCCCCAACCCCCCGCCCCCCCCCCCAACCCCCCGGTCCAACTCCCCCTCCCGGTCGGGCCCCGCTCCAATCCCCTGGGCCCCGGCCTGGCCCCGCCCCAACCCCCCGGGCCCCCCTGTCCCCGGACCGGCCCCGCCCCAACCCCCCCCCCCCCTCCCCCCCACCCCCGTCCAACCCCCCTCCCGGTCGGGCCCCCTCCAACCCCCTGGGCACCACCGCTCCCCTGCAACCCCTCGGCCCCCGGCCTGGCCCCGCCCCAACCCCCCGGGCCCCGGTCCAATCCCTTGGGCCCCAGCCCCCCCCCCTCCGCCCCCGGCCAGGCCCCAGCCCCCCCTCGGCCTCGCTGCAACACCCCGGGCCTCCCGCCGGGCCCGCTCCCGCTCCAACCCCCCGGGCCCCTGCCCCCGGCCTGGTCCCGCTCCAATCCCCTGGGCCCCGGCCGGGCCCCGCTGCAACGCCCCGGATTCCGGGCTCTGGACCCCCCCAGCCGGGCTCCGCTGCCGCCCCTGGACCTCGGGTCCCGCTGCCGCCCCCGGGCTCTGTAGCTTCACGTCCTTTCTCGAAAGGCTCCAGGTCTCAGTTCTTGAGCCTGAGGGAGACCCGCGGACTCCCCCCGGAGTGCTCGGCGCTGTGCAGGTGGTCCGGGTTCCCCGTGTCTCCCTCAGGGCTGGGCTCCCCTCCCCGGGCGCCCTGCCGAGAACCGTGTTCTCCCGTCGGCCCAGCTCTCCTCTCCGTTCAGCTTAATAACGGTCATCTCGGCGCTAACTGAGCCGGCTGGGGCTCCCTTTCCTTTGGGAAGTCCCCTATTTCCTCCTCCCTCCCCTGCCAGGCTCCGTCTCACCTTGGCTGCCTTTTTCTGGTGCTGTGTGTAGTTTGTGAAGGGCTGCAGCATCCTCCAGGGTGCCGGGTGCTTCCCAAGTGTACCTTTTCAATCCTCTTCTGGGGTGGCTGTTTCCAAATTTCCAGTGCTGTAACTTTCTAGAGTCTCAGTATCCTCATTTCAAATCTGGGTGGCACTTACAAACTAATGGCCTGGTCTTTCAGCAGTGTGTCACCTGCAGCAGCTCCCCTTGATTTCAGTGGCAGCTGCATATGCTCAGATAATCCGGCTAAAAAACTATTGTAAAATCTTCAGAGCAGAGCCCTTCTTGTTATCTGTCTGCGCAGCACCCAGCACAATGGGGCACGGGTCCATGACTAAGCCTCCGAAGCACTGTCACAATGCGACTAATGCCATTTAATGCTGATTAAAACCTTCTTGTTCAGCATTTTAGTTGCTCTTTTGAATTTGGTCTATGTATGAATTGTAATCATTGCTTGATATTTTCTATAACGACTAATACTGATTTAACATCTCTTCCAGAAAAACACTTGGTCCTCCTTCGAGATGGTAGAACACTGATAGGATATTTACGAAGCATCGATCAGTTTGGTATGTGATCACATGGCCTCGCTTTTCCTCCAGCCCTCTCTGCCTCATGCAGCAGGTTTTCCTTCCCCTTATGTATGTCTTTAATGATGATATTTTAAAAATATCTACTTTACCATAAATCCACTGTTCAGAAGTCTCCAGTAGACAGTGCTGAAAGCTAGTATTCCATGTATGATGCATGTGCGTCCCAAGCCTTTGACCTGTGACAAATAGAAACATTCTTGGAAAAGTTACATGTGCCAAACCCAGTCCATGAGGTGTGGAGGGAGGTGAGGAATGCTCATTGTTAGTAATCAGCATTGGTTTCTATGGTACTGCTGCTTGGAGAAGCTTGCTGACAGATTTTAAAACGGCTGTTACTCTGAGTGCTGTAGAGAGAAAAGGGAGGAAATTTCACTGTGTGTGTTTGACTTTTAATTCTTCCTGTGTGCTCAGACATTTTTCAGCACTGTTTTGGTATGTGGCCACCCCTTCTTGATTGCAAAGATCTGCATCTTGCATCAGAACTTAGCTCTGAAAATGCTTCTAGTTTCAAAGTTGTCCGTTAAAATGTTTTTTCATTTAAAAAGAAAAGGAGGACTTGTGGCACCTTAGAGACGAACAAATTTATTTGAGCATAAGCTTTCATGAGCTACAGGAAAGGTGAGCTAATTCCAGCAGGAGAGTGGGGGGAGGGGCGAACTTTTTGTAGTGATGATCAAGGTGGGCCATTTCCAGCACTTTACAAGAACAGTAGGAGGGAAAATAAACATGGGGAAATAGTTTTACTTTGTGTAATGACCCATCCACTCCCAGTCTTTATTCAAGCCTAAATTAATTGTATCCAGTTTGCAAATTAATTCCAATTCAGCAGTCTCTCCTTGGAGTCTGTTTTTGAAGTTTTTTTGTTGAAAAAAGAATAAATGGACACAAATCAGACGTCAAGAATGATAACATTCAAAAACCAGTCGGAGAACACTTCAATCTCTCTGGTCACTCACCTTTCCTGATCACTCTTGTTACAGTATGTATGGTAACACCCATTGTTTCATGTTCTCTGTATATATAAAATCTCCCCACTATATTTTCCACTGTATGCATCCGATGAAGTGAGCTGTAGCTCACGAAAGCTTCTGCTCAAATAAACTTTAGTCTCTAAGGTGCCACAAGTACTTTTTACGGATACAGACTACACGGCTGCTACTCCCACCTGTTGATCACTTTAGATAAGCTATTACCAGCAGGACAGTGGGGTGGGAGGAGGTATTGTTTCATATTCTCTGTGTGTATATAAAGTCTGCTGCAGTTTCCACGGTATACATCTGATGAAGTGAGCTGTAGCTCACGAAAGCTCATGCTCAAATAAATTGGTTAGTCTCTAAGGTGCCACAAGTACTCCTTTTCTTTTATCATTTAAAGACTTTCTTAGCTCACCACTGGGGGGAGCCAGACACCTCCCAAAAAGTGCTTTAAGAATGGAGAGGAGCCACGTGGTGCACAGTTTTCACCAGCATCATAAATATTTATCTACTTGATGACTGTTGGCAGGGAGGAGGGAATGCCTTGGATGGGGCTCTTCGTGCACATTTTGGGGGGTAGAGGGCTTATAAAGATAGTAACTTGATAAGGATCAGGAATAATCCTGGTTGCAGCATTTTGTAAATGTGTAGAAGATACAGCAGTTGTGGGTCTGGGCTGTATGTCCAGCTGATGTCAGAAATTTAGCTGTGCTGCGGCCTCTTTCGATATGTCTACACTGCAATTTAAGTCCAGGGTTAGTGGGACTGGAGCCAGCTGACCTCTGTTAGGCAACCCTGGGTTTGTGTCTACATTGTATTTTAACCCCATGTTAAGACTTGTCTAACCCGTGCTCTGGCAGACCTGAGTCAAAGTAACGATGTCCCAGAGTCCCTAGTGTCCCTCTTCTCCCCCCCCCCCCCCCCGAAATGTAGCTGCTCTAGCCCTAGGACCATGGTACACTGTGAGAAAAGTTTACTGCCCCCCTGCACGGTACCAGGAAGGCGCTCGCTTGCAAAAGTCTTGATGGGTTCGCTCTCCGTTGCAGGCCCTGGAGGCGCTCTGACAGCGTGCTTGCAGATCAGAAGAGTCTGGGTTAACTCTGAGTCCTGAGCTGCTAGCATTTGCAAAGCATCGGGGCTTTCCTTTTTCAATAGAGTGGATTGCAGATTGTTGGGAGAGGGATGACTAAGGAAGTTGTCCCGTGGAATTGTGGGATACTTCCAGCTGACTCCTGGGACCCACGTCAAGTGGTGCTACATCTACACTGCAAAGCAATAGGGCTCGGACCCTTGTGCTTTAAGCAAGGTAACTTCTGTGGTACTTGAGCTTTCCAGTAATAGGAGCAGTATAACAGGATCTATGCTACCTTGCCCATGTTTAGACAAAGCTGTATGACATAGCTGTGGCAGATTTTAATCCGTGTAAAGATTGGAAAATATAGGTTGTAGCCATCTCTTAACTCAGGGAGATTCCTAGGCTAAAATATGGTTCTCTAGTACTAGAACAGGCTCTTCGGTCCCATAGGCAAGGGCAAAGATGTGGTATAAAACGGCTCTGCCCCAACTCTCCCCACACCTGGTTATTTTTGCAGTGTGGACAGGGCCAGTGAGTGCTACAGCATGGGACATGAGGTGACTCCCTGGGGCGGGGGGGGGTGCACGCTGCTGAGATGACATCTCACACTGTGCCCATTCCTACTTTGCCAGGCTTGTGAGTCAAGAGCTCTTCACCTTTTCAGGGTGTTGCTCCTCATCTTTAAAGCCCTGCAGGACCTAGGTCCATGCTGTCCCAGATGCTGCCCCTCCCTCCACATCCAGCCCTGGCAGAGATAATTGACGGGTGTGCTGCAGCTGGAGTGGCTCCCGAGGTGCAACTTTTTGGGGTACGGGGCCGGGCAGTCTCTGGGTAAGGCTACGGGGTTTCCTGCCAGTGGAGATCAAGATGAGTCACTACTTTGAGTGTGCAGTGCAAGGTCTGTAGGTCTGCCCAGCAGTGGCAAAGCACTGTGCAGACACTACTGCACTGTGAAGGTTCGCTGGTGAGGATCTTTATCCCCACTGCAGTGAAACACACAGGGGACGGGACTCATCCAAGGGCTCTGCCAGAGCCAGGACCTCTTGGTTCCCACCCCTGCGTCGCTCTCCAAGCTGGGCTGCTACAGACGGGATGTGGAAGGCAACTGGCCAAGTTGACCCTGCTTGTGTGTTTGGCTGAAAGGAGGGACGGGGAGAGTTTGGGTTAAATTTTGGACAGAATTCAGTGCCAGGCTTGGTTATGTGTGCAGAGCCTGATCCTTCTGTTGACTTAAATGGGGCATGATCACCTGAATGGTGCTTAAATACTGTGGTGGCTGTTAATGATACATAGCAATCCATAGTCTTAAGGGTGGGCAGCTCGAGGGATTAGGAATGCATAGGCTGAGAGGGTGCTGAAATTTTATCACAAAGAGCAACCAGGAGACCATTTTTCTGCAAGATCTCTGAGCAAAAGCAGTGAAACAGAAAATCTCCACTGAGGTTAAAGACATAGTGACTTTGTAAACAGCAAGTTTGGATCTGATGAGTTTCCTGTTTCATTTCTTTCCTGTGTGATCTTGGGTGCAATAGCTGCATAATCTCGAATAGCAGTGCTGATTTCTTGTCATGTGCCTGTCATAAACAGTACTGCACATTTCCTCAACTCCAGTCAGTCAAGGCTTAAAAGCACTGATGTGTATAATAAAGTGGTCTGACTTGAAATCTGAATTTAAACCTTGTTTGTGTTTTTAAATAAGTGTGTGTACTCCTTATGGTTCAGAGCTGGCATTATAAGCATTCTTATCTGCATAATCTTTCCCCTTGAATTTATGTGCATGTTGGGGTCTGGTTTTCTTCAAGATAAGCTAGTTTAAGATTTAGCTTACCAGATACTGGGTTTTATATATGCAGGCATTTGGTTGGTAATAAAAAAACAAAAAACAACCCTTTAATAAATGATGGTTATGTTAAAAGAACATGTCAAGATGTTCTTACTTTCTATGGTTTGTTAAAGCCTCTTTTAAAAGCTGGCTAATATATCGTCCCTTTTTTTTCTAGTTTTTTTTTTCCCCCCCTGCTTTTAATTGGCAAATGCTGACCTCTTTTCTCTTTCTGTGGATGTTGACTGAACAATTTTATTGAGTCTAGGACAACTGCAATTTAAATAGCCACTGAAGATGAAACATCTTGGTCTTTACCCCAAAATCAACAATTGAGTCCGTACAGCTCCAGGGACCGTGTGACATTTAATTGCTGCTGCAGATGGAGCACAGGGTTCGTTTTCATACGGCTTGTACAAACACCAGTGTCTTCAACTTCACAGCGGTCCATAGAGATACAAATGAAAATATCGAGACTTTGCCACTTTTTTCCCTTTCGGATTCTGACAGACTTCAGTCACACGTGGACTGTGGAAAATGTGGAGTTTCCGAGTTTCAGGAAAAGGAGGATTAGGATGGGAAACCTCCAACCTAGACACGTGTCGTAGCTTCAGGACGTGGTGCCAGTGACTAGCTTCTGTCGTGACTAGCGCCCCGTGTGGTGCTGTACCGCTTGTGGGCAGTGCTCTCGGGTGGGTCTTGTGCTCATCAAGGAGCTGTGCTGCTGCCTGTAAGAGTAGGTGTTGAGCCCAGAGCCCTGGCAGCCTTGGTCACTTCCCTTGCAGTGGGGTCTGGTGCCTAACGCCAGGGCCTGGATGTCAGGTGACCTGCGTTCTCTTCCTGATTCTGACACTTTCCCTCCCTGTGCCCTTCTCTCCTCCCAGCCCTTGTCTTGTCTATCAAGGTCTCATGCACACATGAAAGTAAATTCAGATTGTGGTAGGGTGTGAATTTAAAGCAGATTAACTATTCCTGGTTAACTCTGTGTAGACACTCTTATTCTGGAGTGTGAGTAGTGTGTCCTTTAAGGGGAGTTCTTCTTGATTAACTCCATAAGTCTGTAAGCTTTTCAGGTCAGGGACAGCCTCCCATTCTGTCTGGAGAGTGCCTAGCCCAACAGAGCTCCAATCTCAGGTGGGGCCTCTTGGTGCTAAGCAATACTGCAAATTGAAATACTGCAAATGGATACAGTATTGTGCATTGAAGTGGTGGGTGAAATTCAACTGCCCTTTGCTAAAATGCTCGGAGATACTGGATGCTACCAAAGCATGAGCATTAGGGTGGCTTTGCAGTGCATGTGCAGCCCCTCTGCTTTGGGTTGGGACCACGACACTGTAGCCTCATTCAGACAAAGTCACAAAGGAGTCTGTTTTCTTCCTCCCTTGAAAACTGCAGCAAACTTGGTGTTACACCAGACGGTGGAGCGCATTCACGTGGGCAAAAAATATGGCGACATCCCTCGAGGCATCTTTGTCGTGCGAGGCGAGAACGTTGTCCTGCTGGGGGAAATAGTAAGTAACCCTCTCGTCTGTCGCTGTGCTGGACCGCGGGCTCCCTTTTTGCCCGGGATTGTAGTCTGTTACTCTGAGCAGCATTGCCAACAAACCTGACACTAGAGCCAGGCCTCGTCAACACCTGGCATGCGGGTCCCTTCCGTGTCAGTGATGATATGGTCACGCAGTGCCAGAAAAACAAGCACAGCGGGAATTATGTAACCCTTTACCCTGGCTCATGGAATGTGCCGTTACGTAGGCAAAAGGGCCGACCCTGCAATCGAGGGTCCTGAGCTTTTATTGTCCCTTCAATACTGTAAGGAGAAACCTGGTGCCTTCCTCTGGCTGCTCCTGGGGGTGGGGCAATGCAAAGAGTTTGGTGCAGGTTAGTTCATCAGAGCCAAGTGGGAAAGTGGGTGCCCGCAGAAGCTTTGAGACATTTCCCACCAGCTCCAAGGGTAAAGTGACCTTGAAGCACAGGGTGTGTGTGTGTGGAGGAATCTGCCGTGGTCCCAGGCTGAATGCAGTACTCCAGGTGCAGCATGGTCAGTGCTAGACAGAACAGCTGTCCTCTCCCTCCTCCCCCGGCCTTGCCTTTTTCCAGGTCAGATTTCCTCTTGATTTCAGGCTGGGGTCTTCAAGGAAACTTAAGGAGTAGGTGCCCAAATCCCACTGTAATTCATATGTACTCGTGACACTTCGTGGCTTTCTCAAGTGAAATCTGGCATTTAAGAATCCGCATCCCAGAGCTGGGATAAAACATTGAGATGGTTCCCATCCGCCCTCGTCGTGGGGGGAGTTGGGCGTATCCTGGGAGACAGATCCTGCCATGGCTCAGCTTCTCTGATCAAGCAGGCCAATGAACTGATCTTTGGGCAATGCTAGGTGGTCACAGCCAGAAATACCTAGCAGGTCCTTAGGGGTGAGCACAAAGCCCTCTCCAGAGTCCATAGCATATGCCCAGGCATCTCTAAAGTGCAAGTGTGTAAGATTTCTGTTAGTACTCTTATGACTCTGATTGCAGACATGCCTTCCCTAAAACCTCTCTGGTGTGGGTCTGCCCTGACCATTCAGAGCATCAACAAATCATACATTGATTCCTTCACAGCTGCCGCTGGCTGGGAACAGTGTTGCTCCAACAATTTGCCGTCTGCAAAGGTGGAGCATGGATTGATTTTTCCCCCTTTCCTGTGCTCCATTCTAAGGAGACAGTGTCAGCTGCAGCAATTCCCCCTCCTTGGGAAATGTTAAGCCCAGTACTAGGCACACAGTGGGTCCTGCATCAAATGACTCGAATTGAGAGGAGGAGATGGGTGAGTACTTGACATCCAGCAGGCCCCGTGGGATTCTTGGAGTGTGAGCAGATCCCGAGAGCTGTGATCTCAGCTATGACACATTCCTGATTTTGTTATGAGAGCAGAACATAATAGATTAATTGTGAAGCTGCTAAGGACCAATTCAAGTGAAACCTCCGTGATGTACCACTGGGTTCATGCCCTGCAGCACAACGTTTGTACTGAGTGAAAGTAGAGAGCTCCTGCTCCTCATACACTGAATCCCTCCATCCCTTTTGGGATCACGTCTCCTCTCTCACCTGGGGTGACTGTGTAAGCTAGGGATCTTGGGCCACAGGGACTTGCTGGCCACTGCTTCCCACATCTCCGTGCCGTGCCTGCCGACGGTCAACGTAAGCAAAATGTCTCGTGGCCTGCCAGCGGATTACCCTGATGGGCCGCATGCCGAAGGTTGCCGACCCTTGCTCTAGGGCAGTGCTGGAAATCCTGGGACTCTTATCCTGTCCCATGCATCTGCATTGCAAAGCGGTGGAGCTGCCTGGGGACACATGGATTCTCGGCCAGGTTGTTAATGTGCTGCTTGTGGTCCAGGCCGTGCTGTGTTAAGCTCTTTCTATAATGTCACCGGTGGTCAGAGCAAGCAGAGCCTCAGATCTCACTGCTAGCTCCCTCCCGGCAACCCTGAATGGTGCTTCTTTTGCAGGACCTGGAAAAGGAGAGTGACACGCCTTTGCAGCAGGTGTCAATCGAGGAGATCCTGGAGGAACAGCGCGTGGAACAGCAAGCCAAGCAGGAATCGGAGAAGCTGAAAGTGCAGGCACTTAAGGAACGGGGCCTTTCAATCCCGCGAGCAGACACTCTAGATGAGTATTAGGTGTTCTGCCCATCGGACAATTCGCTCTGTCCGAGCAAGCAGAGCACTTTGTGTTTAGACCACACTTGGTCAGAGGGTGTGTAGGTCTGTTTGGAAAGGCTGTTTTTTGTTTTTAATTTTGGGCTTATCTGTTTTCCATGGCACAGATACACTATTAAAATCATGTCATTGTTTTCACAAAATCATTGTTTATGAAGAATGAAGGTGTCTGCATAGCCTTGAACATACCCACATGCAATGGTGCAGTTAGAGCATGTGTGCATGGAGAGAAATCTATTTTTTATTTTTTTTTCCCCCCTCATGTGATTTTGGGGAAAACTGCTCTTCAACATGTAAATAAAACCTGGATCCTGACAATGTAATCAACAGTCACCTGTACTGGAATCTGCTTTGTTTTCTGGGCTGTATCTATATGGAACAAACAGAACATGGTACTGATCACAAATGGGATCTTACGCCCGCACCGCTTCCTTCCAACCTAGAGGGTTTCTCATATCACAGTCCAGGGAGCTGAGGAACCAATGCACAATGGAGCACTCTTCTTTCTAGCTTAGTGGAGGGGGTGGGAGTGGGGCACTTCCTGGTTATCGGCAGAAGGCTGGAGCCTGTTGCTGTCTGTATTTCTAGAGGGAAGAGCAGAACTCTGCTTTCACTGTAGTCAGGTGAATGGCTGGTGGTAGCATAAATGTGTCTGATCCTACAGTATCAGTGGACAAGTGACTCCAGTGGCTGTCCAGCTAACCCTCCTTGTCACTGACTGTGCCCTTGCAAGTATGAACCATCCTTTTGTCATTAAAGCAGATACTGTAACAGACAAGACAAGGAATCCACTAACTCTCTCCATTAGCTCCCTCTAACCTGGCTCTGCAGGGTCCACCATACTTTTTTCCTCTTAACAAGAAACTGGACTAGGTTTTGCTACTCATGATACACACCTGCTGCTCCTGTGCTGAACTGCCCAGGTGTGCCCAGAGCAGGCACTCGAATGGGCTCGCAGTGGCAGAAAGGACACCTGTCTTGATGCTGAATTGGCCAGGATGCTCTTAGATATCTTGGGCTGTATCACTCAGCATGTCTGTGATGTTACAAGGCCTCATCCACCCTGCAGCAAATGGTAACTTGGCAGCAAGAGTAAGGTTTTGCTGGGGGCAGCTTGTAAGGCTCTTCACTGTGATCTCCACAAAGGTAAAACCAGCTTCTGGTGCAGTGAAATGAGCAGTTCTTGCCTCCCCCTTGAGCTGCTTCTCAGAGCCTTATGTGCTCTTCCTCTGGAGGGACATTAGAGCTCGGAGACTTATTTTTCATGGAGGTAAATGTGTGATGCAAACTGATTCTCATCCCCTTCACTGGGAACTGTGTGGGCACTGTGCACAGAGATTCCTGTGAGAGGACTTCATGGTATAGTGTTAAAATCAGATTGGCCGTGAGAGTTACAGTAGTTGCCACTCTGTGCCTCTCTCCCAGTGTTCATGCTAGAACAATCCAGCAGCATCAGGTGTTCAACCTTATCAACCTGTATAGATTACACCTGAACCACTCTCCGTGGCTACTGTCCAACCTATGCAAATGCTCTAGGAAAAATAGTAGGTATGGTTGAGGCTGGTGACATTAAAGGTACAAATTACTTAAGCAAATGCAATTCCTTTTAAAAAAATAAACATTTTCTTTACAGCTCAGAGCTTGGGCAGCACTACTGGGACCACCCTGTACCATAAGCTATGAACCATACACAAACTGAACAGGGACTGCATCAATTATAAACCATGCTTAACCAGTGGGAAACAGTTCTTCCAGTTTTGGAGACTTTCAGTGAGTTCTACAGCCTAATCGGTTGGCAGCCTGTGACGTTCCTGTAACTGGAAACAATTCTACAAAGAGGAAGTAGCCTTTTTTCCTCCAGTAGCGTCTAACCGTTGCTTTCCTTGGGCATAACACAGCTCCTGCTTTGCAGAGTGCTAAGGGCCATTTTCCTCCTGTTTTGTAGATGCTCAGTTATTCTGTGGCACTCCAGGCCTTCGTGCACTGAGGAGGAAGAAAATGTAAGAAAGGATGAGGCAAATTCTGGCATTTGATACATTTCTTTACTTGTGTTACTAATCCACCTGGATGGTGAACAGTGAGAATTCAAAAAATCATGTGGTTGTCACACCCGCTGGGGGTTATTTTATTGCAATTCTGTCATCTTGGCCAAAGAAAAATCCATGAAGTAGGTTTTGTTTGCATGTTCTGTAGTCCTGCTGGGCTTAGGTCTCAAATACTGCAGGGAAATGTTTTCAAATAAATAGCTGTTTTGTTTGGAATACATTGTGGAAACATTTCTGTGGATTTATGCTTCATCTACGTGGATTATACTGGTATAACTCCCCACCTTATTCTGGTAGAAGAGTGGTTTTTCTGTATAGATTAAACCTCTTCCCAAGCAAGGTGAAAAGAGGCACTCTTATTTCAAAATTAGAAGTGTCCGGACTGGTACAACTATATTGGTTTAGATTCATACCTGATGTTATACCCAAAACACTTTCTCAAATGCACAAGGCTTTAGATTATGTAATATCTTTTTAAGTTGCAAGTGTCCTTTCCAGTTCCATGGGAACAAATTAACAGTGTGCTTAAATTAAATTTGGTTCTTATTGAATTCACTTTACATGTAATTTGTTTGTCAGATATCACCTATAAGGAGGCTCTAGAATTCAGGTGCACTTTGGGAATAAAAATAGCTCTGTAACTGTGGCTAACACCATCCTTCTGAGGTCCAAAGAGTTGCTATTACAATTTGACCCAGAAGCCAGGATTTAACACCTCGAGTCCTGTGAAAAATGCCATGGGCTCTTTAATAGGCAGGTTTTGAAATGAGCTCTTATGAGCATATCAAACCCCTTTCTGCCAAATCTTGTGTGTGAGATTCCTGGGGTCGTGGGCAATGAAGGTGGAGAAGCCCAAGTAAATCCTCTATCCCAGGCACCTATGCCTCACACTGCTGCCTCTGTTTCTTCATGGCACTCTATATATTTCACCAGTACGAAACCTTCCTATTTAGCATTAATTCTCTTCCCTTCCCCGTCAGTCCTGTTTACATCCTCTTGGGCCAGCAATCCTGGCTCTGTGGGCCTGGTTTGGCTTTTGTGGTGCCAGAGGACAAGCGAAGACCATAAAGCTGCCTGTGGAGGTGAACAGCATGTCCCTGGTAGTGTGTGCAGCCTTTTCCATGCTGCCTAAAATCCCCTACTTACGATGAGCCAGTTTGAGAAGCGTAGGCAGCACCAGCTGGGTTAGGCTGAGAGCTAGGGAACGTGGCAAAGCCGCTAGGCCTGTCTGTGTGTCCAGCTGCCTTCATTAAAACAAACAGAAACTTCCCCATAGTAGTATAAGAACATAAGAATGGCCATACTAGTTCAGACCAACGGTCCATCCAGCCCAGCATCCTGTCTGCCGACAGTGGCCAATGCCAGGTGCCCCATTAGGGAGTGAACCTAATGATCAAATGATCTCTCTCCTGCCATCCGTCTCCACCCTCTGACAAACAGAGGCTAGGGACACCATTCCTTACCCATTCTGGCTAATAGCCATTAATGGACTTAACCTCTATTAATTACAGGGGAGTGCTGTCCATTCTCTTGCTGTGAGGGCAAGCCACACTCTGGCCTTGTTGGTACAAATGGGAGTGCCCGGCATTGCACAGCACCCAGCCTAAAGAACCCTTTCAAAATGGTCTGCCTTAGACGTGAGGAACTGATCTGGCAAGGCTGGGTGAGAAGATTGTGGGCCCACCCAAGTAAGTTGTCAGGTGACATGGTATGGTGTGCACAGCCAGTCCCTAGCCACACTCCAGTGCTGTGTCCAGTACAGCTGGGACCTCACCTCACCCGCCATACTGGGATAGCCAGTCCTGGCTGGAATGGGGTCATCCTTCCTGTATGCAAACCACAGATAAAGGTAGCAGAGGGGAAAAGCCATTCCCAGCCTGGGGTGGTTAGCAAGCTGTGTGTGGGGGAGAGATTGCTGTCTTATCCCCATCATAAATCACAGCACGAGGGATTCAAAAGTGCAAATAAGGGGAGGTGGTGGTTGAACTACGTTACCCAGGATGCATTTGTGATTCCAGGCTTTATTTTTCTTGGGGGGGGAATGGGGGAGTTACATAAATCCTAGTGCGTTGACCATCTGGTCCCGCCCTATGGAACGTCAGCTGCACTAAGCCCCGCCCCCATGGAACGTTTTGTAGCCAGTCAGTTTCAGATTGCTATAGTCTGTTCTATTCCATGCTATTTCCTGCTGCTGCTGGGGGATAGAGGATACCAGTCTTCTCCTTCCCCTTCGTGGGGCGCTGGATTTACAGTGGGGGTGGGGGGGATCCTGAGCCCCTAACCTGCTCTGGACTCAAGGGACTGAACCCAGCATCCTCCCCTGGGTATGGTGCGTGGGGGTGGGAGGTGTTTTTCCCCCCAGCGTTGATGACCCCAGTGCCCCCAAAATCCGTGCAAGGGGCTGTTCTCACGAGCCGGAGATCTAGTTCCTGGGGTGCGGGGGGTGGAGGGGGGGGGCTGGGGAGGAGGTGGAGGGGAAGGAGCCGCGGGGAGTCCTGTATCCTGGATTGCAGTCGTTCTAGGAAGGATCCTTTCCTCCTTTTGGGTTTGTGCTGCTGACTCTTTACCACCAAAGACTCCAGATCCTGGCCTCTGCGACTCCGAGTGACTCTTCTAGAAGAAGACGGGAGGGTTTTGATTTTGTTTGGGGTGATTGCTACATTCAGATTTTGGGGGTTTAGCCACCTCGTAGACTGTTCTCGAGGACACAGCTACTCCTTCCTTTTTCCATCTCTTTCCTCTTCTTCCTCCGGCAACATATCCAAATCTGGATCACTATGGAGCTGGAGAATATTGTGGCCAACACAGTCCTGCTGAAAGCCAGAGAAGGTAAGAGAATAACTTGGGTCATTTTGGGTGTATGATCTGAGTGTCTCTGAACATGCCTTGACACCGTGACTAACAGAAGGAAATTGGGAACAGGGAGTGAAGCATCTGCTGCTTTGTTGCAGCTCTCTTGATTTTACTGAGTGAAAGCAAACTGCCCGCGGGGGTGAGAACAGGATATTTTGTAACCTGAAATGCAGCTGTAGGAAACAGACCTGGAAACTGGGGTTTAGTGGGTTTCCTCAGTAGTTCCACAAGATGCTTTATAATACCAATATTTAGCATTTATAGCTTCATTTACAAAACATCCCCTGGTGTTTTCACCTACTATATACAGAGCAAACGTTTGAAAACCAGGCTTTTGGTTTTTGTGTAAAGTTTTCTCTGCAGTGACTATGGCCTGGGGATGGAAATTTTGCATCTCCCCTCCACCTCTGAACTGCAATGTGATTTTCTTGTGTGAGCTAAGAATTGGATTCTGGCTCTGTCTTTGAACAGGAAGCATGAAATGCATGTTTGCTGCTCTGTCTGATGCAAAACTCTGACAAGCAGATAAGGAAAAACATAGAAAGCATGTTGTGACTTTTGTTTACCACAGAAAGCTAATGCTGTGTTGCAAGAGAATCCCAAGACTGTGTGTTATACCTGACCTTTCATTGATATTCTACAGATGGTCTGTTTCATGAGATTTGATCTAATTTATTATGCTAGGGAAAAGTGGTCATGCTGCTGACCTGGTGTAGTGTGGTATATTTTGTGTGACTGTGCTGTAGACATCACAGCAGAAATTCTGGTTGTGGTACATTTTAACCAGGCGTGGTGTAGTGGGAGATAGCTTCTCTTTATTTTCACCCATTGCACCACAAAAACGGTTTGACCTTCCTTATCTTTAAACCCTTAATGTAAAGTGGCTGCTGATTGTTCGAGTGTGGTAAATATGCGGGAAATGCAGAGGGATACTGTTGGAGGTGAAATTTTCAAAGGCATCAAAGTCCCATTTCCAGAAGGGAAACAGGGAGTTAGCAGCCAGTTCTCTTGCCTTTCATTGAGACTTTGGCCGGTTCTACACCGCTTTGCTGGTGTAGCTACCTAGGCTATACTGGCAAAGCGCTGCTAGTGAGGACACGGTTTATACCAAGGTTGTTTTGCGCTTTGCCAGCATAGCTTATTCCAGACTTCTTGAGCGAAATATCCTGTTCTAGCAAAAGCGCAGTTTTGCTGATGTAACTACATCTGTGCTGAAAAATGCTCCTAGTTCAGGTATGCCAGTCACAAATTGCACTGCATCACACCCCTAACCAGGGTAGCTATGCCAGCAACCGTCTGTCCTGCAGACCTGGCCTCAGGCTCCTAAGTGCCTACATCACTTTTAAAAATGGGACTTATGTTCCTAAATCACTTGAAAATTTTACTCTATGTTCCTAAGCTTTCATAACTGAAAAGCAAACAGGAGCTTAGAGTGACTTGAAATAATGAAAAGGAGGACTAGTGGCACCTTAGAGACGAACCAATTTATTTGAGCATAAGCTTTTGTGAGCTACAGCCCACTTCATCGGATGCACGCACTCCTTTTCTTTTTGAGAATACAGACTAACACAGCTGCTACTCTGACACCTGTGAAATAATGACAGGTTTCAGAGGAACAGCCGTGTTAGTCTGTATTCGAAAAAAGAAAAGGAGTACTTGTGGCACCTTAGAGACTAACCAATTTATTTGAGCATGAGCTTTCGTGAGCTACAGCTGATGAAGTGAGCTGTAGCTCACGAAAGCTCATGCTCAAATAAATTGGTTAGTCTCTAAGGTGCCACAAGTACTCCTTTTCTTTCTGTGAAATAATGAAATCCCTTAAAGTGACTGGGGGAAATATCTTGCTTTTAGGATGATCCCACAGCAAGCTAGTATTTATTGGAAGGCACATTCTTCTGAAGGGAACCCTCTCTTATCAGTGAACGCAGTGTGGGAGAACAGTGGGAGAACTGCTTGCCACACACTCCTATATTTGTATTCACCAACTGGCTTGCTTGCTTGCTTGCTTGCTAATTGTGCCTCAGCCTGGAGCTTGGGAGAACCATCTCTACAGAAGAGAGTTCAGACTCTGTGGCTCATTTAGCCCTTTGCCTTCCAGCCAAGACCCGCATTCATAGGCGTGTGTGCTTTGTGAGCTGCCTAGCTACTCGTATGGGCACCTGTCTACTGAACTAAGCTCCTCGGCTCTTTTCACTTAAGCCATCGGATGTCCGATGAAAGCTCCTTTTGGCCCATGCTAACTCAAGTCAAAGTTGAGCTGGTGTGAGTTGGCTTCACCAGAGCACTGTAGCTCAGACTCTCTGCTTATTTCTTTCCTCCGAGGAAGCTCATTGTTAGGCAGGTGAACACCAGGCAGGAATGTGTAGCTTGTAAATTACTAGTATCAGAAACACAGACCGTTTTAATGGGAGGCAGAGCAACTATAAAAGCTCAGACAGAAATAGTGTGTTAATTTCAGCCCAAGATGACAACAAGCTGTTCTCTGATGGAGGCAGGAAAGTAACTCAACTGCCGGTCCTGCTATTCAAGTGCAGTGAGGCGATTTCCTTTCAGGCTTGATAACGGTTACTTTCCCTGATTTTTCATCCTGGGTGGGGTGGGTGCGGGGTCCCCTCGTGCATTCTGACCTTGGACATCTCCAGAGTCTACTTTTTCCAATTCCCAGTCTTCCAAGGCTGGAAACCTGAGCTACTGGAATCCTTCAGGAATGATTTGCACGAATGAGCTGCTGCTGCTGCACATCAAAGCAGCGAACAGTTCGTGCCACTAAGGAGCAGCACCAGTGTACAGTAGAAAGAACAGGAGGACTTGTGGCACCTTAGAGACGAATCAGTTTATTTGAACATAAGCTTTCGTGAGCTACAGCTCACTTCATCGGATGCATTCAGGACATTACTGTAGCTAGCTCATGGCAAAAGTGTCTCAATTGCCAAGCAGATCTGGGCCATTGTAATGTTCAAATCCCCTGCACACCCTAGGTCATGATCTATTCCAATGGGCTTATTGTGGATAAAAGTATCTGGACTGGGTCTTTCAAAGATGCTTAGGGGATTCAGATGCCAAGATCCCATTTAATTGAAACAGGCGCTGGGAGTCCAAATGCAGCTTTGAAAGTCTTCAGAGGTGGATCTGAGCTCAAGTCTGGCTTCCGAGGCATGAAAAGGGTCACAGGAGGGATTTATTTTTCTCAGGCTTGTGACTCCTGTATATTTGAGGTTGGGGTGAGCCTAGGGGTAAATAACTGGTCCTACAGCTTCGGGCTAGTGTAAGCGTGGCAGAGATGGTTTAGGTCTCTGACTTTGCCTCTCCCTTCTGCATGCCAGCCAGCATGACACCTGGAAATACTTGATCCAAATGTCATTGCAGAAATATCCCTGCTGCCATAAAATGCACTGGAGTTTAACCCTGTACTGACATACGTGCCTGTGTTTCTGGAATCCTGAGTCTCCTTTAAGTGCTGGGACTTGGTCAATATCCCATGGAAAAGGCCTGGAAGTGTGTTTAGCAAGGTGTTGGGTGCTCTCTTTGCAGGGCTTTTTTCCATTGTGTATTTGCTGTGGGCTCGGATGGAGTCCTGGCTCCAGGCTGAGCTGCTGGTTCCAGGACTATAAAGCAGCAGCTAGTGTCTTCACAGCAAACACATTAAAATGGCAACTGTGCGAAAACCCCTCTGCCTCAGTGGCAATTGACTGCCCCAAGGGCAGCATTGGGGGAGCCTTGTCTCAGGGCCAGAAAAACACTTCTGTATGCGCTGCGGGGGGACTGAAGCATGGGTGCGAGGCAGAGTCAAGGTCCTGCCTGCGTGCAGCCATTAGAGATCATGCGGAGGTGTTAACCCTGGAGCCCTGGCCAATTAGACAAGGATATTCTGCCTCCCTATATGTCCCCACTCCTGCTCTTCCAGCCGGCGGTAGGAGTCTGGTCTGGAGCTGCTGTGCTGGGCACTAGGAGAGAAAACAGCTGCTGCCTTCTGCCCCAGTGTTGGTCAAAGGGATTCTGCTCTGTGGACACACGATGCCTGATCCTGTTTCTGTTTAAACTTCTTGCTGTGGTGGGATGACTAGGCCCGTTACCTGTAAAAGCCAGGTTAGTCCCTTGGGCTCCTTCTGGGGAGCTGGCTACGTGTTGGTCGCTGTGAGTGGCCTGTCAAAGAGGGCATCACTGGGGGTGAATCCGCAGTGACCTGACTGCCCCTGCCAATTCTGGCATGCAGGGCCTTTGATCTAGCTCGTGCACTCCTCCCCATGGGGACCATGGCACTTGAAGGTGTGTGGCCAGGCCAGAGTCTGTGGGCAAGGCCTCATCCTGGCCCAGGGCAGATAGAGCTGTGTGTGTGTCAAGCTGGTTGGAGTGCAGCTGGAACGGACGTCTCGGTCTGCCAAATGGTTACTGATCAACAGTGACCTGTGCTAAAGGAGAGGCTGCAAACTCCGGAGGGTTTAGGGATCTGGGAGTGCTTTCCTGGTGCCATCGGTGTTCCCGGTGGAGTCTTTAGAGGCCGTGTGGTTCAGGAGCCAGAATTTCCTGACTCCCCTCCCCAAAGCCAGTGCCCTCAGCCACCTTCAGTGAATCCGGTTGGGCGGGATCCTCATATGCTAGGGCCCCTTTACACCACTCTCACAGGCTGCTGGGACTTCACTGCACTTTCAGGGCCCTTTGCGCTGTCAGCGGTATTCCCAACCTCAAGCGTTCACAAACCATGAGCCCGGCCCTTCTTAAAATCCTGAGATTGCACCGGGCATCTGTCCATATTCCAACCACTGCTGTAGCTTCCCTGGTGCGCGCCCCTGCTGGGAGCTAGGGTCAACGGTGCCAGTAATTGCAGGATAGCAGCGCTTTGCCTGTCTGCACTAGCGGCTGACATCTGGGCGAATCCCAGTGTGGGCAAGGTCTGTGTCTTTGCGCCTTCAACTGGCCCCTAAATGGGGGATGGCTTAGAAGACTGTGTGACATGAGGAAGTATGGAGCGTGAGTGA